GTCAGCTAAATGTATGAATGTAAATAAATGAACGTATGATAACACACATGGCACAACCCAATTTAAACCTCATCCAGCAGTGCTGCGCGTTTTGAGCCTCTGCAGCTCTAATAATTGATGAGCGTCACACGCCTGGACGAACACTTTCCCACAATCCCACGCTCTCGCCCTCCGCATTTATCATGAATATATTGATGCGCTCGGGACAAGACCAACAACAGAAACAGCATTTGTGCACTGAAGTTAGCCCACGGACACATGCATCTGACCAGTGCAATATCTGCCTGATGATGAGGATGATGATAATAAATGACATACAGTTAAAGTCAGAATTTTTAGCCCCCCTGTATGTTTTCTTTTCTCTTTGTCATGATGACAGCACATAATATTAGACTAGATATTCTTCAAGACACTAGTATTCAGCTTAAAGTGACATGTAAAGGCTTCACTAGGGTAAAGTTAGGGTAATTAGGCAAGTCATGTATAACAGTGGTTTGTTTTGTCGACAATCTAAAACTAATATTGCTTAAGGGGGCTAATAATATTGACCTTAAAATGGCTTTAAGACAATTAAAAACTGCTTTTCTTCTAGCCGAAATAAAAAAAATAAGACTTTCTCTAGAAGAACAAATATTAGAGGAAATACTGTGAAAATCTTCTTAATATTACTTGAGAAATATTTGAAAACAAATAAATATTGCACAGAAGGGCAAATAATTTTGGCCTCAATTGTATATTTTCACTGAGCACCGTTTAGTTGGCTCAGAAAAACTGCATTTGTGCATAAAAGTTTGCATTTAACCAATGCAATAACTGCCTGATGATGATAATAATAATAATAATAATAATAATAATAATAATAATAATAATAATAATAATAATAATATTAATAATAATAATAATAATAATAATAATGATGATGATGATGATGATGATGAATGGCATGTACATAATAATTGTGCACAATTTATTTGGCTCAAAAAACTACAACAGCATTTGTGCATAAAAGTCAGCTCATAAGCACATGCATCTGACCAGTGATGTCAGATCTGAGCAACATCTGCCTGATGATGATAAATGACATGCACAAATTCACTGAGCACTATTTGTTTGCTCAGAACAACAATATTTGTGGGTAAAAGTTAGTGCATGGAGATACGCATCTGACAACTGCCGTCAATTAATAGCAATAACAGTGATAATACCAAAGATAAATTTAAAAAATAGTGATAATAACAATAATAAATGGCAATAATAGTGAAAATAATAAAAATAAGGGTCAATAATAGTGATAAAAACAATAATAAATGGCAATAATACTGATAATAACAATAATAAATAGTAATAATAGTGCAAATAACAATAATAAATGGTAATAATAGTGAGAATAACAATAATAAATAGCAATAATAGTGATTAAAACAATAATAAATGGCAATAATAGTGATAATAACTATAATAAATGGCAATAATAATAATAATAACAATAATAAATGGCAATAATAGTGATAATAACAATAATAAATGGCAATAATAATAATAATAACAATAATAAATGGCAATAATAGTGATAATAACAATAATGAATAGTAATAATAGTGCAAATAACAATAATAAATTAAAATAATAATGATTAAAACAATAATAAATGACAATAATAGTGATAATAACAATAATAAATGGCAATAATAGTGATAATAACAATAATAAATTGCAATAATAGTGATAATAACAATAATAAATGGCAATAATAGTGATAATAACAATAATAAATAGCAATAATAGTAATAATAACAAAAATAAATGGCATTTATAGTGATAATAACAATAATAAATGGCAATAATAGTAATAATAACAATAATAAATGGCAATAATAGTGTTAATAACAATTATAAATAGTAATAATAGTGCAAATAACAATAATAAATTAAAATAATAGTGAAATAACAATAATAAATAGCAATAATAATGATTAAAACAATAATAAATGACAATAATATTCATAATAACTATAATAAATGGCAATAATAGTGATAATAACAATAATAAATGACAATAATAGTGATAATAACAATAATAAATGGCCTATAACATGCACATATCCACTAATAACACCTATTATTACCTAATAACATGCCTAATAACATGCACATATCCACTGAGCACTATTTATTTGGTTCAGCATTTGTGCATTAAAAGTTAGTTCATAGACATATGCATCTGACCAGTGCGATATCTGCCTCATGATAATAATAATGATAATAATAATAATAATAATAATAATGATGATGATGATAATTAATAATAATGATGATGATGATAATAAATAACATGCACAATTGCACATTTCCACTCAGCACTCTTTATCAGGCTCAGAAATACAGCAAACTCTGTGCGCGGGCCTGAAGTGCAGTGGAGATGTGATCTGATATGGGACCCCACCCCTGGTATCTCCCTGCCCCTCTGCAGAGCACTCACCCGGGCTGGTGCGGCTGTGGAAACTGCCTCTTTTGCCTGTTTTGGCTTTGCCCCTGGGCTGCGCTGGAGATGCGCTGCCTTCCGACATGCTGCCGAGTGTCTGTCTGCAGGCTCGGATGCAGGAGACTGATTTATGCACTAGGAGGCGGGGCTTGGGGATCTCTTAGCGCAGTAGTGGAGGCGGGAGCACTGCCGTAATGCATCAGCTAAGGAGGCGGGGATTAGGATTCCCCCACAACACCCTCAGCCTCATTCTGATGTGTTGCTGCAGCAACCGCAGCACTGATGAGAGGCATGCTAGAGTACTAGTTCTGCTGTATGAAGTGGAGTGTCTGAAACACTCTGAAAATATTAATCTTTGTACATTTTAGGATTTAATTTTTGTGCATGTAGTAGGTATTAACTAAAATGCTAATAATAATAATAATAATAATAACAATAAAATAATAATAATAATAATTATAATTATACTAATAACAATAACAACAACAACAATAACAATAAAATAATAATAATAACAACAACAACAATAATAATAATAACAAAAATAGTAATAATAATAACAACAATAATAACAATAACAATAAATAATAACAATAACAATAATAATAATAATAATAATAATAATAATAATTCATAAATAAATAACAACAATAATAATAGTAATAAATAACAATAATAATAATAAATAACAACAACAATAATAATAATAATAATAATAATAAATAACAATAAAAATAATTAAAAATAATAATAATAAATAATAACAACAATAATAATAATAATATTGATAATAATAATAATAATAATAATAATAATAATAATAAATAATAATAATAAAACCAATAATAATAATAATAATATTAATAAATAATAAAACCAATAATAATAATAATATGTTATGTAATTTCTGCGCTTTATTCTTTATTAAAAGAGTAAAATAGGAATAAAATTGTAATATATTACTTTTTACCCAACGCTGTGCATTATGTTCAGCACACGCTACTTTTGTGTGCTCTTTAATATCGCTCGGATTATGTTACGGATGTACTTTTTTTAATAATATAAAACAGTATGTATTGTTTGGCACATATTTTCACTAGTGCAATTAATCGCATTTAAAATAGGGATATTATGATACTGGAATTCGGTACCAATCAATACTGACATTTTAAAAACGTCCATTTCCCACCAACATATTTGTGCGCTATTTTCACACGCTCAGCAGAAACAATTGTGAGCATGACACCACAACGGCAAATCAGCATTGTTTAGGAACGTATTCAACAGCGCACAAATGTTAGGGTTAGGGTTTTTATTTCAGTATCGATTAGTACCGAATTCCATCGTAATATCCCTAATTCAAAATAAAAGTTTGTGTTTACAAAATTTTTTTTTACATATTTAATTTTACAAAACTTCTTTCAGATCAATATTCTATACAATATTCTATATTGTATATATATATATATATATATATATATATATATATATATATATATATATATATATATATTAGTAAACTATTTTTCAATTTAAAAAATATACTACTTATACTATAGTATTTTAAAAACAGTATACAGCATATCTTTAGAAAACAGTATAAACTAAAGCATGCATTCTACTCCGCATACACTACACTGTACTTTGTAAAATGTGTAGTATGCAGCACATAGTTACTAGTTCATAATATTTCAATTGTTATTAAATTAGTATGTAGTGTGCACTTTATTAGGCACAAAATACTTAACACTGTTGAATGCACCATTTTTTTAAATAATAGAATTAAGTAGGCATTATGTTGACCACATCTACATTTCAAATACATACTACTACTATTTCATCTCCGTTTTAATAATAGTTTAATAATAATAGTTTGTTTCATATGCCATTTAAAACCATTTAAAAATATATTAAATAGTGTGCATTGTTCTGAGCATAGTACTTAATTTGGTTTCATACTATGTTGTAGGTTATGTAGCCCGTTACACACATAAGTATACTTCCCTGCATAGTGTGCAAAAAACAGTATGCTAGAAACTGACATGAGGAAGCGATAATCAGATGCATGTTCATGAGGACTTTAAACTTCCTTACAGGAGAACTTTAACCTGGTTAAACATTAACATGAGAAGAAAAGGGGTTAAGTTAACCTATTATACAGTGGAAATAAATAAAACAGATGAATCTAATGTTGCTTATATCAGTGACAAAGTAAGAAAACAATACAAATACACAATCTGTAAGTTAGCCGTTAGCTGATAGTGTTAATTTTCAGGGGGTAAAAAAGTGAATAATGGTTAATTACTGTTGAATGTTGTGTGTATTATTCAATTGTCTTATGTGTAGTATTGGACAAATTATGTACAGATAGATATATATATATATATATATATATATATATATATATATATATATATATATATATATATATATATATATATATATATATATAGTCGTGTGGAATTATTTGTGTGTGATGTTAACTTTACATAGGCAAGTTTGGTTATTCTGGACTCACTCGACATGTCTGTTGATGTTGATCCGGTTCGATCCAAACCTGCTGCTGATAAAAATAAAATTAAGGATGATGATTGTGATGATGATGATGAATCTAGCAGATAATGTCGTTTTAACTGTTGTAATTCTCGGTTAATGCTAATCCAGAAGCGTCGCCTTCATAAACTCGGACCGTTTGAGTTTTTCAGGAACTTTGATAAAAATTTCACTGAAAATGGAGTCACGCTTAAAGGGACCGCAGCGCATTTACACGCAGACCAAAACACGACGTAAATTGGACGTGTTTAAAGTAGAAACTTGCTGTCACACTTGCTATTTATTTATTAAATTAAAAACTTGAACACATCTATTAATATCACGTAAAAACTCGCTTGAAATGTATGAGGCGTTCAATTCCTTTCAGCGCCAGCATGAGGCGCTGTTCAGCTTATGTTATTACCATTATAGAGAGAAGCTGCGTCCCAAATCGCATACTTATGCACTATTCTACGCCATTTTGTAGTATGAATAGTGTAAGTAGTGTGTTCACACTGAAAATTCTAAAAATAATAAGAGCACTTAAATTACCCGGATGATGCACTCATTCAGCCGCTAAAATGAAGTGTGTAATGATGGACACTTCACGCACTCAACGACCGCAGGTTTGCTTACGTAGCGGAAGGGGCGGAGCTATCGGACGCACATGTTGAATAACTTTATTTATTTTGGATGGTGAAAGCAAAATTCTCCTATGAGAGTGATTATAGCGCCTCCCGATGGTGAATACGGCAGTACTTACGGCATGTATTATTTGATAATTCAGTTGTTTATTTCACTGATTTGGCAACCGTCAAACGTCATCAGGGAAACGGTCTGAATTTCCGCTTAGTAAAAAAAACATTAGTGTGCCATTTGGGACAACACTACATACATATACTATCCTGTTGAGTGTGTAAGTGCATAAGTACATAGTGCATGAGTGCATAGTGTATAGTGTGCCATTTGGGACGCAGCTTGAGAGAGAGAGAGAGAGAGAGAGAGAGAGAGAGAGAGAGCTGTATTTGTATAATTTCGAGATAAATAAGACTAAACGCTGATCTCTTAATGATCCTCTTAATGAGTGGTTTATTCAGTGTTTATAATCTGAGCCTCATCAATATAATCGCCCATGAACTTCTCCTAACAGTTCCTGTTTTCGCCTCATTCGTGTACATCACACGTGTAAATTCCCCCATTTAGCTCATTTTATTGTCAAAAGACTCAATTAAACAGCATAACTATCCTATTGTGTCCAGTGTTTGGCTTTTAACACTTTACAATTACTATTCAATCTGTTGGTCATCGACTGAATGAATGCATTACCTTTAAATTCACACCAACATATCTGAGTTGCTTTGTAAAATAACAGCATAGACAGCTCCAGTGCTCATGGTGAGAATAATCAGGAGTGATCTATAGAGGTTTTGTGTGTGCTGCTGTGTAAACGTAATGCTCAAACCGTAGTAAAAAACTAGATGTGAACTTTTACTCATCTCATGTACACAAAAACAGCAATAACAGTGAAATACAAACTCAAAACATTACCCCAACATGAATGTTAAATAACTCAAATGTAATTTATGCATTTAATTCTATTGTAATATGGGCGGTACTGTCGCCTCACAGCAAGACGGTTGCTGGTTTGAGTCCCGGTTGGGTCAGTTGGCATTCCTGTGTGGAGTTTGCATGTTCTCCTCGTGTTGGCGTGGGTTTCCTCCAGGTCCACCAGTTTCCCCCACAGTCCAAACACATGCGCTAAAGGGGAATTGATGAACTATATGAGTGTGTGTGTGGCATCCACTGTGTAAAACATATGCTGGAATAGTTGGCAGTTCATTCCACTGTGGCAACCCCTGATAAATAAAGGACTAAGCCAAAGGAAAATAAATGAATGAATATTGCAATGCATCAACAACTACCATAACGGCATTAATTTATTCTTATTTATTCACATTTATGGTTATTCTATGATGAACCGTGTTTCTTATTAAACACCAAAAACAAGTTCATTATAGGTTGTTTGTTCATTGCAAGTGTGTACGTTTGTTTTCTTAGTATATTCTTTATTTACACTCTTATTGACCATTTTGAGGGATGTAAACAATAACAATGGTCCCAACGTACGTCCTGTTATGCATTTTTAATTTCTACAGCTGCGAAAATCTGAAAACAGCCACATATTGATCAATAATGTTGTGAAAGTTAGTTTGAAATTAAGTTATGATTGAATTACCTCTTGTTAGTGATGAAATAGTTTGATAACAAGCAGGAAATGTTCATGGGTCAATGACATCACCACATTGAAATGGTCTATATTGATTATAATAGTTGTTTTTTACAGTAAAAGCAGATATAATTTGAGCTGATAGTATAAAACACTTCATAATTAGTTTACCTTAAATCAAAAGACAGTTTTAAGTGAACTATGTGTTAATTAGAAGAAATATAGGATTTTAATCTTTGCAGATCTGCCCCTCCTCCTTCAGTGATGCCCCTCCCCCTTAAATGAAGCTCCTCCCTCTTCAGTTCAGCTATAAATACTGGAGTATTCCCATCAGTCTACAAGTGAAGACGAGCATCAGAGCATCAGGAAGAGGTGATATTTGAAGGACAGAGAGAAGATGAGTGATCCAGAACCCTGCAGAACTGAAGAGGAAGAGGCTGAAGAGCAAACAGGTTGGTGTTTATTCCTGATTCCTCAGTAATGAGGCTGATGAACGATAAGGATAAAGAGCTTTGAACATTATTATTATTGTTTTAAAATGAAAACAGGAAAATAAATAGACTTTATAATCTCCAGGTGAAAAGGGAAGACAGACACTCAGCGGGCTTTAACTTACATGTTTATTTAAAAAAACATTATCATAAGGCCAAACTAAATGTGATCTGAACTGATTAATTTGATATTTTGTTAACATTTTTTTCACATTTTTTTTCTTCTAAAACATCTAAATTTACTCTACCTTAATATGCTTTAAACTGAAGTGGATTGTATACTCTGTGAAGTTAATCTATATATTCAAATTATATGTGTATAATCTGCTTGTAGACTTTCATACCATTAAAACAATTACAGTGTTATGTAGAGTGAGTAAGGGGAAATGGCCTGAGGAAACCACTAAGGGTCACAAGAAGTGGATGAGAAGAGAGCGGGAGAAAGCCTGAGTAAACAACTAAGGTGTCTCAGGAAATGGATAAGAACAGAGCAACACATGTGTAAACAGAGACGTATAGATGGATAAGATATATAGTTGCCAGGTTTGGGTCAGGGGTTAACCTAGGTGGAATTTGTGTGACATATGTAGAAATAAGGGAAAAACAGATGACAGAGGTGGAATTTGGGGTCAGGGGTTAAACTAGGAGGAATCTTGTGTAATATATGGAGAACAAAGGAAAACAAGTGTTGTCAAAGTATATTTAAACAGGCCAGCACATTAGTGAGGCAGAATTTTTCAGACAAAGACGCTACTGGGGGTCTCCTGAAAGTTCTCCTTTGTTGTCGACAATAAAGTATACTCTTCTGATATTCATAACCTCCAGACTGAGTTTGATTCAGTAAGAGAAAAACCAAGAAAACCACTACAATACCTGATAATGATTTTTAGAAGGATATGTATTTTCACGTCACAATTTTCCTCTGATTGTTTGTGATTAACTAAAAAGTGAACCTTGTTAACTCTGATTTCAGACTTTACTGAAGAGAATGAGGAGAATGATGATGATGATGGACTTGTAAAAGCTGAGAAAATCCCTCATTTATTGACTGAAGATGCTTTTGTAATGAAAAGGGAGAAGAAATGTTTCACCTGCACTCAGTGTGGAAGGAGTTTGGCATCCAAACAAAGTCTCCAGCTTCACATGAGGATTCACACTGGAGAGAAACCGTACACATGCACTCAGTGTGGGAAGAGTTTCAGACAATCATCAGCGCTTAAAACACACAAGCTGATCCACACTGGAGAGAAAACACACACATGTGATCAATGCGGCAAGACATTTTTTTGGGCTTCACAGCTGGAGAAACATCTGAGAGTTCACACTAAAGAGAAACCGTATTCATGCTCTGAGTGTGGGAAGAGTTTTGGACATCAGTCAAATTTAAAAGACCATCAGAAGATCCACACTGGAGTGAAAGAGCACATGTGCTTTGAGTGTCAGAAGACTTTTGTTAGAGCTGGGGACTTGAAACAGCACCAGATGATTCACACTGGAGAGAAACCATACAGGTGTTCACACTGCGACAAGAGATTCAGACAGTTTGGAACCCTGAAAGCACATGAGAGGAGTCACACTGGAGAGAAACCGTACACGTGTGATCAGTGTCTGAAGAGTTTCACACATTTAAATCAGATTAAGACACACATGAAAATCCACACCGGAGAAAAGCAGCACACGTGACGTCAACATAAGCAAAGCATTCTCTCATGTGTTACGGGTGTGACCATCAGAAAATACTGGAGATTAGGTGTGGAAATTAAATCCATCCGTCTCCAGTTGTTGCTTTTATTACCAATAGTGTCATCCATATCAATAGTTTCATGTTCATCTTATTCCATGATTACTATTTACCTAATAGGTCAGAATACGAATGTACATTTAATTGATTGAATATATTGTTAATTTCTACAGCTGCAGAGAATCCGGAAAGAGCCACATATTGGTAAAAACTGTTATGAGAGCTGCTTTAACATTACGTTATGATTGAATTACCTCTTGTTAGTGATGAAATAGTTTGATAACAAGCAGGAAATGTTCATGGGTCAATGACATCACCGCATTGAAATGGTCTATACTGATTATAATAGTTGTTTTTTACAGTAAAAGCAGATATAATTTGAGCTGATAGTATAAAACACTTCATAATTAGTTTACCTTAAATCAAAAGACAGTTTTAAGTGAACTATGTGTTAATTAGAAGAAATATAGGATTTTAATCTTTGCAGATCTGCCCCTCCTCCTTCAGTGATGCCCCTCCCCCTTAAATGAAGCTCCTCCCTCTTCAGTTCAGCTATAAATACTGGAGTATTCCCATCAGTCTACAAGTGAAGACGAGCATCAGAGCATCAGGAAGAGGTGATATCTGAAGGACAGAGAGAAGATGAGTGATCCAGAACCCTGCAGAACTGAAGAGGAAGAGGCTGAAGAGCAAACAGGTTGGTGTTTATTCCTGATTCCTCAATAATGCGGCTGATGAACAATAAGAGCTTCTGATTAATCATGCGCACTATTGGAACATCATGATTATTATTATTATTTTGAAATGAAAACAGGAAAATAAATAGACTTTAGGGCAGAGCGGGGCACAAAGTAACACTTTTTGGCTTTGGCTAAATAATGAAGAAAGTAATTGGGTTAGACAAGCCTTATTTTTTTACTTACAACACACAAGCCTCTCCTACAAGTGAGCACTGAAGTTAGGATCGCCGGATCTGTGGTTTCTGCGCAGTATTGCCGAATGTACCAGGAGTAAAAATGATACTATTTACCCCCCCCTGTGGGGCAAGTTGTAACAGACAGGGGGGTTAGTTGTATCAAGCTGCAGGCCCGGAGACTCAACCGCATGCCAGACAGTAATGTGTGAACTGTGGAGCAGGCTAAATCAAAAAAAGCATCAGTATTTTTAGTAAGTGTGCTTTTTTTGCTTCTATTTTTGCAATAATAAAACATTTATTTGTAGAGCAACTCATGTTCTGCTGTCATTAATATTTTAATAAATTGTAATAGGTAGAACTGTTCGAGATATGAACAAAAGCAAGTGATGATGACCAATGATTATTTGCTAGAAATAGCAACAGCAGTGGGAAAGGAGGAGAGTTTATGTTAAAAAAAGTTTGGAAAAACCTGAGGGATCAGTTTTTTTATGCCAAGAGAGGCCATAGCAAAAGTGGAGACCAGGTACACAATTACTGAATATGTCTTTCCACCAGTATAGGTTTTACACTGATGTATATGGTTGTGTATACAGACTAAATCTAGAAAAAAAACAAAAAAAAAACATCAGTTTTTTTTTTTGCAAGTGTACTTTTTTTTGCTTTTGTTCTTGCCATAATAAAAAAAATATTTGTAGAGCAACTCATGTGTTGTGATTAATATTGTAATAAACTTTAAATGGTAAAACTGTCTGATATGTAAACAAAAGCAAGTGATCAAAATTAGATTAAAACATTTAATGGTTATAAATATGCTTATAATCATTATAGTAATGTATTAAAAACGATATAAAATAGTTTAAAAGTATTGAATGATATGGTAACACTTTACAATAAGGTTCATTAGTTAATGCATTTACTAACATGAACTAATCATGAACAACACTTGTACAGCATTTATTAATCATAATTGAACATTTACTAATGCATTATTAACATCCAAACTCATGCTTGTTAACATTAGTTAATGCACCATGAGTTAACATGAACTAACAATGAACTACTGTATTTTCATTAACTAACAATTACTAACATGAATAAAAACTGTAGTAAATGTATTGTTCATTGTTTGTTCATGTTAGAAAACACATTAATTAACATTAACCAATGAACCTTATTGTAAAGTGTGACCAATGATATTAAGGATATGACGTTGTAAGCTGAGAAAATATTATATACTTTTCCTTCTATGCTAATGAAGGACTACTGAGACATTCCAAGCATGGGAGGGGTCCTCCTGGTGTGGCAGAGTTCCTCACAGCTCTGATACACATCTCTGCCATTTGCTTGCAGTGACCATGTGCTCTTCACCATACACAATTCATCTGCTCGTGATCTTCCTTCAGATAACTATGTCATGTTTGGTGTCATTTGACAGTTCATGACTTCAGTGTTGTAGTGATGAAATCAACAGAGACATTGATTAATTGTGTTTCAATCTACAATATATTTACTATTGTTGGGTCATGGTCTGAGGAGAGTATGTTAATGTTCTTCTCCCCCACTTCATCTCTTCAACTTTGCTCTCATGTTCAGCTGGTCTTGGGGGTTGGTTTTCACTCATGTTTGACAATGCTTTGCTTAGGTTATAATAGGAAAAGGTAACTGTTGATCTGGGAGAATGGCTTTTACTCTGCATCTCCCGCACACCAGTGTGTAGCCTCATATGCTAACAAAGGCAGTTTCACTGTGTTTGTTGCTCAGCAGTGCATATGTTACAGCTAATTTCTTTATACAGTATGTTAGTTTGTGTCATTCTAATATCTGTATATTTAAACATGTAACTTAATAAACTACTTTGCCTGCTTTAAGACGTAGAGATTCTTTCTCTTTATCAACAATGATAACAACTTTAATGGAGTCAGATTAATTACAATGGAGTCAGATAAATAATGGATTTAAACACGCCGTCCTTCAACTGCTTTCTATTTCCGATTATTGGTACAGAATAGCAGCGTAAGCTTTAAGCCTTACAACGTACTTCCGGAAAGTTCCTACTTCTCTGTTTATCCGTCTGATTTTACGGTGGGTTTCTTTTGACCGCCCCCTGTCGTTTAAAAGAATATCACAACGAGTATAAAAGCCTCGTCTGTCTCGCGAGGTACGCACGCAGCCAGCGGAGGTGCATATATGTACATATAATATAGGAAAACGGGCAGTTTTATATATGTCACATATATCAACCTATGTCAACATATCAGACCTATATCAAAACCTATATTAAGATATATATGTCTTAAAGGTTCTTTCCATGTGGGGTTTCTCATCCAAATTTCACCAAACTTTTTCAATATTTGGTAGGAAGATGTGTCGGAAGCATTACCTGAGCAAATACCTTAAAACTCTGTTACATTTAGGCCCAATCCCAATATTTTTGCACCCCTTCCCCATGGCCCTTACAACCAAGTGTGAAGGGGAAGAGCTTCAAAATTTACCCCTGAAGCCTGGTTTATACTTCTGCGTCAAGTGACCGGCTTAACCCACGGCGCATGCAATGCGTGTGGCTGTGCATTTATACTTCTGCCCGCTGTCTCTGTCGGTCTGCATTAACACTTCTGAAACGCTAGTTGGCAGTGAGGTGTAAATGTTCCTCTGTGTCGAGTTTCTTCGCTGCTTTTTTGCTTTTCCTGAACACTTCCTGGATGTACAAGTGGCTCAAACTCGCTCATTTTGAGGCAGGAAGCGGCGGACGTGCAGCAACTTTAACTATGAGGTAAACACAAAACAAAACTTTCCATCCAGAGCTCCTTCACGGGACTCCACACTTGTAAACAATCGCTAGCACCATTCGCGCGGCTCTCGGTCCCCCCCAGACTCGTCAGCGCTACCAAGCCGACCAATCACAGAGCTTAAGCTACGCGTCGTTGCGACGTGTAGTTACATTTTTTGAAAGGTGCACGTCAGTGACGGCGAAGGGCTATGAGTCAGTGCCGTAGCATATGCCGGCGTTAGACGCAGAAGTATAAATCAGTCTTTAATGTTCCTCTGTGTCGAGTTTCTTCGCTGATGTTTTGCTTTTCCTAAACACTTCCGGGATGTACAAGTGGCTCAAACTCGCTCATTTTGAGGCAGAAACCGGCGGACGTGCAACAACTTTAACTATGAGGTAAACACAAAACAAAACTTTCCATCCGGAGCTCCTTCACGGGACTCCACACTTGTAAACAATCGCTCCATTGGGCTAGCGCGGCTCTCGGTCCCGCCCAGACTCGTCAGCGCTACCAAGCCGACCAATCACAGAGCTTGCGCTACGCGTTGTTGCGACGTGTAGTTACATTTTTTGAGAGGTGCATGTCAGCGACGGCCACGGCGAAGGCCTGTGCGTCAACGCCGTAGCATACGCCGGTGTTTGACGCAGAAGTATAAATCAGCCTTAAGAATTGGGACAGCACTGCAGCACCTGCACATATCTTCATATGTCATTGCGATCTCCTGCTTCAGACGATGGCGACTGCTGTAGTGATTGCAGTTGCTTTGTTTTTTGGTATTTATCTTCAGGAAATCACTGAAGGCATATAGTATGTTATGATGATGATCTAATGTGGCAATAAGATCATAACTTTACTGTGCATTTACACAGTGGCCATATTCATCAAGATAAACACACCAAAAACAACATTAACATTATAGCAGACACTGTAAACAGCCCATTCCCAGCCACTAGACATTACTGACAGGGTATACCAGCATCAGAATGTTGTGGGACTGCTGTACAGGAGATATTAATAGAGATTATAGATTGCGAAATTTAGCGTTTTTTTTTCAAAGCATGACAGTAAAACACAAACGCGGTTATGAATATAATAACATGTGCTTGTTTGTCGTAAAAATTCGTAATAATGACAAAACATACTAATTTGTGGATCTCCTAACTTCTGAAGTGGATTTTATACTCTTTAAAGTGTGAAGTTAATCTATATATTCAAATTGTATGTGTATGATCTGTTTGTAGACTTGCATACCATTAGAAGAAGTACCATATCAGAAGAAATGGATAAGTTATATAGTTACCAGGTTTGGGTCAGGGGTTAACCTAGGTGGAAATTGAGGTCATGAGGTGGATTTTATATTCTTTAAAGTGTGAAGTTAATCTATATATTCAAATTATATGTGTATAATCTGCTTGTAGACTTGCATACCATTAAAACAATTAAAGTGTTATGTAGAGTGAGTAAGGGGAAATGGCCTGAGGAAACAACTAAGGGTCATAAAAAAGGGATGAAAAGAGAGTGGTAAAAAAGCCTGAGGTGTCTCAGGAAACAGATGTCAGAGGTGGAATTTGGGGTCAGGGGTTAAACTAGGAGGAATCTTGTGTAATATATGGAGAACAAAGGAAAACAACGGATGTAAAAGGGTATTTAAGTAAAGCCAGAACAGGAGTGAGGCAGAATTTTTCAGACAGAGATGCTACTGGGGGTCTCCTGAAAGTTCTCCTTTGTTGTCGACAATAAAGTATACTCTTCTGATATTCATAACCTCCAGACTGAGTTTGATTGAGTAAGAGAAAAACCAAGAAAACCACTACAGTCAGGGGTTAACCTAGGTGGAAAATGAGGTCAGGGGTTAACCTAGGTGGGATCTTGTGTGACAAATTAGAACAAATGGAAAAAACTGTTGCAAAAGAGTATTTAAGCAGGCCAGAACATCAGTGAGGCAGAATTTTTCAGACAGAGATGCTACTGGGGGTCTCCTGAAAATTCTCCTTTGTTGTCGACAATAAAGTATATTCTTCTGATATTCATAACCTCCAGACTGAGTTTGATTCATTAAGAGAAAAAGCGAAAACCACTACACATCCAGGTTCAGCAATACTGCGGTTGTGGCAGGTGCATTCTGGGAAAATTTCTTACCACTTGGTTTCAAGTGTGGTCCTGAAAAATCTTTGTTCGAAGAGCTATTCACCCCTTCCCCTGAGCCCTAACGCCCCATTCACACGGGGCTTCAGCATCAACGCTTGACTGAAGGCGTGTCTGAAGTTGGGGCTGTAACGATCGTCATAGATCAGCAAAAGGCCACTGTCTAGCTGGTGTATTTGCATACAGCGATCTGATTGGCTGATGCTTCTGTCAGCGATTGAAAAGTTGAGCTAGTCCCAACTTCTGCAGCGAGCAATGCTTCTGAAGCGGTGCTGACGGATCCACAATGCAGTTCGGCAACGCCTGACGTCACCCATTTAAAGTGAACGGGAAGCGTTGACGCTGAAGCCCGTGTGAATGGGATGTAAGCCTTCAAGCTAAAGAGAATTGGGACACCCCTACCCCTTGGCGTGCATGCGCAAAATGAGGGGGAAGGGGAAGAGCTAAGGGGTAAAATTGGGAATGGGCCTTAACCCTGCGTTACTTTGTGCCCCGCACATCCCTATCCGCTTGTTAAGTGTGACGTCACGCGAATCGGCTTCCGGGTCCAAGCGCTCTATTGAACTGAATGGGGAGACTCATAAAATGGTAATAATAAACGTTTACAAAGCGATTTAATACTTTCAAAAATCACGATCGCAATATATATGTCCATGCCTAATATCCGATGGCCAGAAAGTGATCAATTTTTTTATAAATTGATACATTTTTGGTTTTTGTTATGCAGCAAGGCCAGAGACTGTTGTGTACACTATGACTTTATGTAAAATTAACTTTAATGTGTGATAGGAATAAAATGTGATCATATACGAATGATTTCTCCACTCAAATGAATGGACCCGGAAACAGTATTACATACGTCACAAACACGTCACCACTTAACAAGCGGATATTCTCCAAGTGAAAAAGGGAAGACCGACACTCAGCTGGCTATTATTTACATATTTATTTTAAAAATATATGATCATAAGGCCGAACTAAATGTGATCTGAACTGATTTATTGGATATTTTTGTCACATTTTTTTCCCTCTAAAACATTTAAATTTACTCTACCTTAATATACCTGATAATGATTTTTAGAAGGATATGTATTTTCACGTCACAATTTTCCTCTGATTGTTTGTGATTAACTAAAAAGTGAACCTTGTTAACTCTGATTTCAGACTTTACTGAAGAGAATGAGGCGAATGATGATGACGGACTTGTAAAAGGCGAGAAAATCCCTCATTTATTGACTGAAGATGCTTTTGTAATGAAAAGGGAGAAGAAATGCTTCACCTGCACTCAGTGTGGAATAAGTTTTGGATACAAAAAAACTCTCCAGCTTCACATGAGGATTCACACTGGAGAGAAACCGTACACATGCGCTCAGTGTGGGAAGAGTTTCAGACATTTATCAAGCTTTAATCGACACAAGCTGATCCACACTGGAGAGAAAACACACGCATGTGATCAATGCGGCAAGACATTTTTGAGGGCTTCACAGCTGGAGATCCATCTGAGAGTTCACACTAAAGAGAAACCGTATTCATGCTCTGAGTGTGGGAAGAGTTTTAGACACCAGTCAAGTTTAAAAGACCATCAGAAGATCCACACTGGAGTGAAAGAGCACATGTGCTTTGAGTGTCAGAAGACTTTTGTTACAGATGGGGTGTTAAAACAACACCAGAGGATTCACACTGGAGAGAAACCATACGTGTGTTCACACTGCGACAAGAGATTCAGACAGTTATCAAACCTGAAAGCACATGAGAGGAGTCACACTGGAGAGAAACCGTACAAGTGTGATCAGTGTCTGAAGAGTTACACACGGTGGTCGCATCTTAAGACACACATGAAAATCCACACCGGATAAAAGCAGCACACGTGACATCAACATAAGCAAAGCATTCTCTCATGTGTTGCGGGTGTGACCATCAGAAAATACTGGAGATTAGGTGTGGAAAGTAAATCCATCCGTCTCCAGTTGTTGCTTGTTCATCTCTTTCCATGATTACTACGTTTACCTAATAGGCATTTCATACACAGTGGCAATTCAAAGTGCTTTACATAAACAGGAATAAAAGAAGCAAGAATAAAAACAAATAATAAAAATGATTAGATAAAATGTGTTAAAAAAGAATGAAGAGAAAGACATAATAGTGCGATCTGCTGGACGCAGCACAGTGCTCATTCAGTAAAGGCACAGCTAAACAGATGTGTTTCAGTCTTGATGTGAATGTGCCTAATGTTGGAGCACATCTGATCATTTCTGGAAGCTGATTCCAGCAGCCGGGGGCGCTGTTAGTAGCTAAAAGCTGATTCCCCTTGCTTTGACTGAACTTATGGAACTTCTAGTTTATATGATCCTAGAGATCTGAGTGATCTGTTGGGTTTGTATTCAGTGAGCATATCTGTGATGTATTGTGCTCTAGGCCATATAGTGATTTATAGAGCAGTAATAATACTTTAAACTCTATTCTGGATGTAACTGGGAGCCAGAGTAGAGACCTGAGGACAGGTGTGATGTGCTCTGACTTCCTGGTTCTGGTCAGAATCCTGGCCGCAGCGTTCTGGATGAGCTGCAACTGTCTGACTGTGTTTTTGGGAAGACCAGTGTGGAGTCCATTACAGTAATCCACCCTGCTGCTGATAAAAGCATCAACAAGTTTCTCTAAGTCTTCACTAGAAACAAAGCATCTGATTCCTGCAATGTTTCTGAGATAATAGTATGCTGATTTACTGACTGCTTTGACATGACTGTTGAAGCTCATGAAGGTCAGAATGTAAATGTACATATAACTTATTTCAGCAGACTTGCATTAAAATGTTCAAAATTAAAACTCTTCTCCAGTGTTTACATTAATTAAATTTGTTGCCAAAAGGAATCCACACATCTCTGGATCACCTGTCATGTGTTCAGGTTGGCCTAGGTTAAATACAAGCAGATATTAACATTAATTGAAATACTTCCCTGCTGAAAAATCCAACTTAAACCAGCCTAGGCTGGTTTAAGCTGGATTTTTCAGCAGGGTTAAGTCAGTCACTGCATTCAAATATATAATTTAATATTTGCCGCCATCAATTGGGCAGCTAAATTGTATGAGTGTGTGTGTGTGTGTGTGTTGATGTTTCCCAGAGATGGGTTGCGGCTGGAAGGGTATCCGCTGAGTAAAAACGTGCTGGATAAGTTGGCGGTTCATTCCGCTGTGGCGACCACAGATTAATAAAGAGACTAAGCCTAAAAGAAAATGAATGAATTCTGTAGCTATATCAGACTTTAGCTCGGTTGTTTGGCACTGTTTTTATTAATTAAAATATGACTTTCGCCATCTTGTGTCTTTCCCCAGGAGACTGGATTATTTTCGCGCCAGTTAAGTGTGTACAGTAAAGCATCAGGTAGGGGACATTATTTACCCCTCTTCAGCTTTCTTATTGTTTTAGATTTACTTCATAAACAGATTGTAACACTGAAATACATATTTCATGATGTATTTGGTCAAAATAGTGAGGATTAGGCCGTATGAAAACCTTTAAAAACATACATCTACCCCACACGGTACCGACTCGTCTATGTTTTGGTCCTGCATATGTTCTGCCGTCATGACGACCGTCTCCCGCTTGTGACGGAAAAACAGCATTCGCTGAGTAACACAGGCAGCCAATCAGCACTCGTTGCGCAACAAAGGCAGCCAATCAGCGTTCGCTGAGCAACACAGGCAGCCAATCGGCGTTCGCTGAGCAACGTGCAGGCAAAATATCCCGCCCTCGGCGCTTATTATGAGGTGGAGAGAGAATTAATCGGAGCGTGTGTGTAATTCCACTAATGTTACTGGTGTTTTGTGTTCATTTAAAGTAAGTGTTTTATTTGTGTCATCTGTAACGTTTGTGAGTGTGATATGCTTAGCTTTGCTGCCGTTTCTTGCGGTTTAATCTGCTTCGAGTCATGTAGACAATGCTAATATACTTAGCATCCGGTTAATATCTTATATTCATTCACAGTTGCTTATACTAATGTGATTTATGTACATTTTATTAAAGGACCGTGAGTAAATGAGGCATCCAGAAAAATCCTGCAAAGCTGGAGAGACTGAAGAATGAAAAGGTTGGTGTTTATTCCTGATTGTTCAATAATGAGGCTGAAGAACATTAATAACAAAGAAGTTTTTTTTCATTTTGTGCGCTAAAGGAATTAAAATTCCACAGAAAAACAAATAGCCTGGTTCAGTTTTCAATTATTTCCATGTATGAAACATTTATTATCATAAGATTAAATGTCATTTGCTGTGATTTATTTTAGAACTGATCTTTTTTTTAATCTATTTGCTACTATTTGCTATTATCCGATTAGTTTTGTACTCCCTTATCTAAAAATACGATACCCTAATATATGCTACTAACCCGGGCCTGTATTTATCAAGCTTTTGAGAATTGCTCATAAGAACAGTGCTAAAAATTGAATCAAGAGTAAAAAAAAAACAGCTTAAAGCTGTGCTTTACTCAAAAGTTACTTATCGTACTGTTAGGAAGAGGAAATTAACAGTTTAAATCAAAAAGCCTCGTGTGTTAGGTCAAGAGTAGACTCAGCGCGTACTCGCACCAGGTACAGTTGCCTCGCACCGTAGTGAAGCGTGATTGTCCCTAATCCCCTCTCCCCCAAGGGCCTGCACTCACGCTGCATTTTGCCTTTTGAACCTGAGCACGCTTGAGTCATCGGTGATGCGACTGTTCATTTTAACAGAAAGAGAAGCGCTCTCGCTGGGCACAGTGGAGATTGCTTTAGTTATATCGTTTTAGTCATTTGGGATTTAATGATTTTGCCGAACAGATCCACAACTTTAATGCTCATCAATTATCAAGTCCTCGTGCTCGTACCTTGTACAGGTATTAGGTTTGCTGAAGGTGCAGCGAGGGGTTTGCGTCTTTAATAAACTATGACAGTTTGCGTTCATTGAACAGTAAGAATGATTAATAAATTCATATTAAACATGACGTTTCGAGCTCAGGTACACTTTGCTCTCACACTAAAAGCCCAACCGAACCCTGCTGAATCGTGCCTGGGCCCAATTCAGAGCACCAGGGGCGCAACTGCACATTTACTGATGGGTATGCGGCTTCAACTTTTCCGCGCCCCCCCCCTTCAATCCAACTATATTTTAAAACAGGCAAGTGATAAAATGTGGAAAATATTTCCATCAATAAATTAAAGATATTTTTTCATAAAGATATCAATATGCTTCATAAAATACAGTTTCGCAGTTCTGAACACAACTGAAATAGTATGAAGTAGTAAAAGGTATAATTACATCAAGCATGTTAAGTCGCAAAGAAATGCATCTCATACCTCCCCAAATTTCTTCTCAATTTAATTTTCCCTCACTAAATGATTATAGCACCTTGACTAGCCTTGCTTTTGGACTTTTTGTACTACATTTGTCAAAACAAAATGATAGACATGGGAGTCCTAAAGGGCGAAAGAACATTGCGATTACTTCTCACATGTATAAAGTGAGAAGTGTAAAGTCTGTCTTTGCCAGAACAATTGACTGAAACTGCTAAAAGTGAAATAAAAAACACTTTCAAATGTTTAGTGTAAAAAAATAAAAACAAACTGTGAAATGTTCTATTTAATTGAAATGTTATAACTTTGTTTGTAGCTAAAATTAAAATAGTTTTGAGCTAAGAAGTTACCAAAAGGCCTGATGAATCAATATGTTACATAATAAATTTATAAAAACATGTATATGGTATGAAAAATGGGGGGAGGAGTGGAATGATTTTTTAATTTAATAAAATACAATATTATACGCGTATAAAATGCTAAATAAACATTTTTAACAATATATATATATATATATATATATATATATATATATATATATATATATATTATTTGAAACTTTTAATATGGATAATTTCAAAAATAGTTGTGGCACAATGGCGCCCCCCATGTGTGACGCCCCTATGCGCCGCATATACTGCATACCCCCTTTTTGGAGAGGGTGCTCGCTGCAGAGCCATTTGAGGAGAGGTGAGCTCCAGAGAGGGGGAGCATGACGTGTCGCTCCTCCTCCTGTAAGCTATTTTAATGCGTACACCAACCCCACCCCTAACCCTACCCCCAGTGACATCACTCGTAGAAGAAGTGCAAAAAAGGAGGAGCTCAAGCTTAAGCTCCCCCTCTCTGGAGCTCACCTCTCCTCAAATGGCTCTGCAGCGAGCACCACTTGCCTTTTTGCGCCACTGCAGAGCACTGACACTTGTCAAATGAACTGGGTGTGAGTGATAGTGTGAGTGCACCCTCAGAGTCAGAGATTTAATTTACTGAAGATAGTTTGCAGTTTTGTGGCAGGACGGCTTCACATTTGCATTGAGTTTGCTGGCCAATCTCTCAAGCCTACAGTACAAAAACAGAGCAGTTATACTCTTAACGAAGACCAGAAAGCTGTAGCTAAGGTAACATTACATGAACTGGTCACTTCCGTTTCCACTTTCAGTATGAGGGTGGCTTGATCGTCGTTTGCCTAGAGCGCCAGTTCAGCTTGCTCCAGCCCTGACTACACTAGATATTGGAAAAGAAACTCGTTTCCCAAAATGTATGTTTTAAAGCATAGATCAGTTAGTGGTGAAGTGATCAACCTCGAGTTGCTGAGTTGCTTAATTTTTGTTTTGGTTCAAGTAAATTAATTGTCAAACGCACAAAACGCTCAATTCGCGCCACGCTATTCAAGCATATTGTGCCATTCGCACCACGCCGTTCGCATCATTCGCACGTGTCGTGCCGCAGTAAGTCTATTAGCGCGTTTGCCTTAACCTAACATTAAAATCACTCGCGCTTGATGCTTCTTCTGCGTCTGGTGTGAACACAGCTTTGCATCTCCATCACAAACCCCTACTGGCAACTCCTCATAGATATATACACTAGATGTCGCCTACCCTGTTGTTGTCTATTGGAAGGAATGCGTCAATAGAGCCGCCATTTTGAAACAGGGTAGCGCTCCTTTGAAATGAATGCGGGACCAAGGTACAGTGGCGGACTGTGGCCATCCAAAGCCAGAGATATACACATATACACATATATCTATGATCGGGAGTTTTCCTGGATGTTAGTATGTAATTTTTTTTTTTCTAATTACGAAAATTATAATTTTACATCACTTTTCTACATTGATGGATCAGTGACCGCACGGGCATTCCTGACAAAAAGCTTGTGTTTGTGTGTACAGAAATGTACTATTCACCCTGCCTGTTGAATTTGATCTAATCATGTCCTGAACACAGCTCCTCTCCTGCTTTCACTGCTCATACTGACGGAGGGAGCGACTCGTTTGTGAATGAATCCCCCGAACGACTCTTTCACTAACGTTATACGACAATAACACAAGTTTCTGGCAGCGCAGCATCTCGTTGTCATATTTCTTTTGCATTGTTTGCTGATTTTATTCAACAAAACTAGCATAAGCCGAGTGTTTAGTGCGAGTTGGAGCTGTTTTGGCGTATGGTGAATGCAGTAAGTGACTGTTATCATCAATAACGTGACCTGATTAGCACAAAAGTTCAGAACATACAAAAACTGAAAAAAACTTAATATTACCTATGAAATGTTCTGCCTTTGTGCTTTGATTTCTTTGTTTGCTCTTTTCATACACCCGTAGACAGCGCTAAAGTCCCGCATCTTCACCTAATAACACCGTCTTGACTAGTACGGTTGAGTGACATTTGTCCTGGGAGCACTGTACCAATGTGGCGGCGCTATACACTTATTTCACGCGGCCGCCATTTTAAAGAACCAAAGCGTGGCTGCGGTGGGAAGAAACCCGGAAGTATCGGACCAGCACTGTCAACATTGCAGTAACATGCCGTGTACTACAAACCTCCAGCTGTTGCCGAGATTTCAAAATGCAGAAATGGTGTAAACATCACTTCAATATTATTCAGTAAGTTTATTTTAAACAAATAAAAGCAATTTAGCATGAAGCAAGATCACAATCTCTGTGATACGCTTAAGTGTCCTCCTAGGCTGCAGTTCATGGCACTAGTTAAACACCGTGAGGACGCTTTCCTGGTGCAGATTATGTAACCCGGTGAGTGATAAACACTGCAGTCCTCTGCAGCACGCCCTCGTGTTGTCTGTAATAGGGTTGTCCTGGTCCTGAAGTTTTAAACCCGGCTATTTCCCGCTAACAACTGAACTGATGACCTTCTCGGCTTATCACAATCATTTCTGTTGAACAAGTGAACACAATGGCAAATCAGCGCTGTTTCAAGAAAGCCATCAACATTGCCTCAAATCTTAGCGCGAAATTGCCGGTTTTTCTTTTAATCCAGTATCGTGACGAGTCTAATATAGTGAAAGAATCAGTTTATTAACTCGAGTTTGATGAATGGCATCTAAAACGTGTGTTTGGGAAAGAAAACGTTCGCTAACTAGTGCCATTTCCCTTAACTTAGCTGAAAATGAGCTCTGATATCCCTTTTTACATTCACCATTCATTCAGAACGGACCTTCGGGTCACCCGGAAGGCGGAGAAATGATAAATTTGTCTCACTTTATCTTCGCTGATAAGATATACAGCCAGCTACACAACATTCCTATGTGACTCCCAATGATACTTCTGGGTTTCTTTACACCGCAGCCTCGATTTCACTTTTGAAAATGGCGGCCGCGTGAAATCAGTCTATTGACGTATGCTCAGGGTCCCTATGCGACATCTAGTGTATATATCTATGGCAACTCCTAACCCCTTGAGCATCCTCCGGAGCAATCTTGGATAACTAGGAGATTAAAAGTGATTCTGAGCTTTAAGAAATTGGATTATTTGCTCGTATGCCTATGTGTGTAAGTAAGAGGAAATTTCATGAACTCTCAGCATTTAAGACTAAAGTGGCTCTTTGAGGAGCTTAATAAACCTGGGCTCTGATATTGATTTTGAGAAAGAAATGTTTATAAATGAAGACTTTTCACCTCTCATTTTGCTCAGATTGTTCATGATTTACTAGAACGATCTACCTTTTCTACTCTGATTTCAGACTTTATTGAAGAGAACGAGGAGAGAGAAGATGATGGACTTGCAAAAGCTGAGAAAATCCCTCATTTATTGACTAAAGGTATTTTTAATAATGAAAGGAAAAGACAAGAAGTGTTTCACCTGCACTGAGTGTGGGAAGAGTTTGGGATGCAAACCAAGTTTCCAGTTTCACATGAGGATTCACACTGGAGAGAAGCCGTACACATGCACTCAGTGTGGGAAGAGTTTCAGACAATCATCAGCGCTTAAAATACACATGCGCATCCACACTGGAGAGAAACCGTACACATGTACAGAGTGTCAGAAGAGTTTTAGTCGATTAGAATACCTTAAATCACACCTGCAGATCCACATTGGAGAGAAAACACACACATGTGATCAATGCGGCAAGACATTTATGAGGGTTTCAGAGCTGAAGAATCATCATAGAGTTCACACTAAAGAGAAACCGTATTCATGCTCTGAGTGTGGGAAGAGTTTTACACAGCAGTCACATTTAACAACACATGAGAAGATCCACACTGGAGTGAAAGAGCACATGTGCTTTAAGTGTGAGAAGACTTTTATTACAGCTGGAGAATTGAAAAAGCATGAGAGGACTCACACCGGAGAGAAACCGTACACATGTGATCAGTGTCTGAAGAGTTTCACACAGTTGTCGCATGTTAAGAGACACAAGAAAATTCACACTGTAGAAAAGCAACACACTTGACATCAATGAAGCTAAACAGTTTCTCGTTTGTAACGAGGTGGTGGTTGGGCTTTTTTGTATAGTGCATAGTGCCCCTAAGTTATATATAACGATATATATTTAGGCATGGGACGATAATCGTTTTCAAGGTATACCGCCATTTGGAAAAGTTAAGGTTTTAAAACCTCCAACATTGCTGCACATTTCTGCTGTGTGATTGGCTATATATATATTTACATTTACATTTAGTCATTTAGCAGACGCTTTTATCCAAAGCGACTTACAAATGAGGACAAAGAAGCAATTTACACAACTATAAGAGCAACAATGAATAAGTGCTATAAGCAAGTTTCAGGTCTGTAAAGTCTAAGAAGGGAAGTATTAGTAGTATTAGTATTTTTATTTTTTATTTTTTTGTACAGTTAGTGTGATATTCAGAGAGGCAATTACAGATTAGGAAGTGAAGTGGAGACTAAATAGTTGAGTTTTTAGTGGTTTCTTGAAGACAGCGAGTGACTCTGCTGTTCTGATGCAGTTAGGGAGTTCATTCCACCAACTGGGCAGATTGAGCGTGAGCGTTCGCAAAAGTGATTTTTTTCCCCCTTTGGGATGGAACCACGAGGCGACGTTCATTCACAGAACGCAAGTTTCTGGAGGACACATACATCTGCAGAAGTGAGTGCAGATAAGAAGGTGCTAGGCCAGAAGTCACTTTGTAGGCAAACATCAGAGCTTTGAATTTGATGCGAGCAGCAACTGGCAGCCAGTGCAAACGGATGAGCAGCGGAGTGACATGTGCTCTTTTAGGTTCATTGAAGACCACTCGTGCTGCTGCATTCTGGAGCAGTTGAAGAGGCTTGATAGAGTTAGCTGGAAGCCCGGCTAGTAGAGAGTTGCAGTAATCCAGTTTGGAGAGAACAAGAGCTTGAACAAGGAGTTGAGCTGCATGTTCAGATAAGAAGGGTCGGATCTTTCTGATGTTATAGAGTGCAAATCTGCACGATTGAGCAGTTCTAGAGATGTGGTCAGAGAAGTTTAGTTGGTCATCAATCGTTACTCCAAGGCTTTTCACCATTTTGGATGCAGTAATGGTTGCCCCGTCCCCGTCCATATATATATATATATATATATATATGTGCGTGTGTGTGTCACGATAACCAGCGATCGTACTCCATAAGATTGCTGGATTTCAATAACAATAAGTTATGGACTACAAATCCGCCATTTCTGGACTACATTTTCATACATGCACTCCGGTCACACTCACACATGCTTCCTCATCTAGACTGATTACTCGCACTATTTAAGCAACACACTCACCCATTCACTCCTAGTAACACTACAACGCGGTTTCCTTATCTTGTTTCTCCGTGTTTTGACATTAGCCTAGTTTATCCTTTTGTCCTTGTTTGCCGCCTGCCTTCTGACCTCTTGCCTGTTTTTCGACTACGATTCTGGACGGTCTCCATATACCTGTTTGCACCTGTATTGACCATTGCTTGCCTGACTACTGATTAAACCTGCATTTGGATCTTACTCAGTTGTTTGTGTCACTTCTTCATGGTTACAATTTATATATATATATATATATATATATATATATATATATATATATATATATATATATGCTCTATGTTTTGGTCCTGCATATATTCTGCCGTCATGACGACCGTCTCAAGGGGTCCGTTCTTCATACGTGGATTACTCAGTTAGCTGGATTTGGATATTGACGATTTGACACGATCCAGTTTCGATCTTCAAAGCTGATCCGAGAGTTGTTGTCATAGCAACAGTTCCGCTAGCTAAAACCTGATCGGGAGCAGGGTCAATTGATATAAACAGGATTAGATCGGCTCAGTTCAAGCAAAGATAATACAGAAAGTATGTTCCGAATTCTGATATTTTCTTACAGTAGTAGTTATATACACTTGGGAAAATGGTACATATTTTTTAACTATATTTAAAGTTATAGTCATTAATAAAATAAATGAAGTTATACATATTAATAAAATTTATGCAATCTGCACCCTCGAAATGAAAGTACAAAGACTGCCACCTGCTGGTGCAAAGAGAAAACTTATTGATATGAACTTTTTAGATGGCTTTAGTACAAATTGTGTATAATAGACACAGAGCTTGCGCTACGTGTCGTTGCGACGTGTAGTTACTTTTTTTTAAAAGGGTGCATGTCAGCGACGGCCGTGGGCGTAGGGCTATGCGTCAGCACCGTAGCATACGCGCGCGCTTGACGCAGAAGTATAAATCAGCCTTAACATGCGTCCATAACACTATTGCGATGGTAGGATGTGTTTGGTTAAAATAGCAAGTGTGATAATCTTTAAAACATGCCTGTCAACTCTCACGTTTTGCTCAGGATTCTCTCGTATTTTACAATTCTATCTTGCTATCATCCCGTAAAGGTATTTACCGTATTTCTCCTGTATTTTCAATCTTTCAATGAAGGGTGGTGATAAACATTATAGGGCCATCTTCCCTACATGCAACCCATACTGCCGAACCACCAGGGGGCGCCCCTTTCTCTTAAATGTGAATCTGTTTTGTGCTTTCACTTTATTTATGCATAAAACACTTTGAATTAATTAGAAAACGGCGGGATTTCCTTTCCTTTTCATTACAGGCGTCGCTGCCCCTCCTATGCAATCTTCAAAACAGTTCATGTATCGGTGCGTGACTGTCAGACTCACCCCAGCTAGCAAAATTCATGTGAATCAATTACGGCCCACAACCAGACACTTACATCTGGCCCACATACTGAATGGAATGATGGCTTTAGGGTGGTCCGCTGCTGTTTGCCAGATCTGGGCCACAATTAAGCCATAGCAACATCACATATCAGCCAGAATTCAACCTAAATGAGCCAGAACAGACCCTATTCTGGGCCACAGTTTGCTTTTATTCTGGCCCAGAGCTGGCCCACACCAGACACTTACATCTGGACCACATACTGAATGGAATGATGGCTTTAGGGTGGTCCGCTCCTGTTTGCCAGATCTGTGCCACAAATAAGCCAAAGCAATACCACATATCAGCCAGAATTCAAACAAATGAACCAGAACTGACCCTATTTTGGGCTACAGTTTGCTTTTGTTTTGGCCCAGATCTGGCCTATTACTTCTAATATTGGATTAAACATTGGTTAACATCAATATTTTTTTCATCACAGGTACCTCACTTCGTTTTGTTTGCTTAAAACTTGTGTTTTAAGATAACTGGGCCACATTTGCCATATCTCCTCTGCTCCGCTTTAGGCTCACAGCCACATTAACCAGAGCTTACTAGGCCAAATATTTGCCAAAGGTGGCCCACATTTGTTTTAGGATAACTGGGCACCATTTGCCATATCTTTTCTGGGCCACTTTAGGCTCAAATAAACATTAGCCAGAGTTTACTGCGCTGAATATTTGCCAAAAGTGGCCCACATATGTTTTAAGGTAACTGGGCCACATTTTCCATATCTTTTCTGGGCCACTATAAGCTAACGGCTGCATTAGCCAGAGTTTACTGTGCTAAAAATGTGCCAAAAGTGGCCCACATTTGTTTTAAGATAACTTGGCCACATTTGCCTTATTTTCTCTGGGCCACACTAGGCTCACAGCCGCAATAGCCAGAGCTTACTGTGCCAAATATTTGCCAAAAGTGGCCCACATATGTCTTAAGATGACTGGGCCACATTTGCGCTTACACGTGTGAGCCACTTTAGATTTAGACCCAGATTACCCTTAAATGACCACTATTTTGCCAACTGTGGCCCACATTTGTCCTCTGTCATTTGGGCTAAATTGATCATTTTCCACATGGGCCAAATTGGGCTCACATTCAGGCCTCGTTTACACTAATGCGTTTTGCTAATGTTATGACATCCGTCCACACTACGCCGGAGTTCTCGAGCGCCGAAAACGGAGTGTTTTGGTAACGCTGGAGAGGCCGTTTGCTAGTGTGGACGCGGATCGTTTTTTATCTAAAACGCCGTTTTGAAACTAAAATGCACTAGTGTAAACGGGGCCTTAGATTACATTTTGCCATAAGTGCGAAATCTTTGTCTTAAATGGCCCATTTATGAATTTGAATCTTTGCCCCCCCTTTTGCCATTGTACAGGTGGGCCACTTCAGACTCGCATACATTTTGTCTGGGCCGAAGGAAGACCACCAGTGCCGCAAAACTGCCTAAAGTGACCCACATTCGTATGCTATCTAGAGCCGCTTTTCCACTATCGTGCTGAATCGTTCTTTAAACAGAACTGTTCCATTCCGTGCCAAACCGGGCCAGACAGCACGGATACGGTTTCATTTTCCACTGTCGTGCTGTGACAAAGCTCTTTAAAACATTACACAAAACGCATCAGTAGTTGCCTTGGTAACGCAATGTAAACGGCTCCCTTTGTTCAATCAAAGTTAAATAAGAGCCGAAACTATTTATTTCTTTTTTTTCATAAAAGCAAAAGCAACCATGTGACTAAACACTGTTATGCCGCTCTATCAAATAGGGGTGCTAAATGTGCACCCTTATTTATTTATATGTTGCGCAGCTCTGGCTAAATTTTATTTGGAGGGAAAATTAGGCTACCAAAATGTAACGTGATGATTAAAAATAATTGAAGGGGAAATAAATAATATTTAAAATCTCTGAACATAACAGAAAAATAAAGAATGATAAGACAAAAATAATAGTGCATTTGCATTATCGTGTCAGAAATATAATTTTGGACAGGCCTTGTCAAAGGTGAGCGGGCACTTTCACTAATAAAAACACAGCACATAAATTATTTCATTTTTAACAATTAATTAAATTACACTGCGTTTTTATATCAAAAGTTGATAATGATATAAAATATACTACATTTTGATGGTAAAATGAAACCAATTAAGCGATGGCTGTTATTTGTTTTACTATTTAAACATTAAATAACGAATGCAGCAAGTGAAAAAAAACGAATATGAAACAACACATATATCGCAGGATTTAAAGCATATAAAGCGCTATTATATTTAGCAAAATGCTGCTCTATTATCTTTTTATTTTGATCCTTTTATTTTTATAATTATTTTTGTGTTCATAATTAACTAACAAGCTGTAGGCGAATTATTGCTAGACGTTTTAGAAAATATTTGCGTAGCTATATTAAAGATCACCACAAAAAAAAAAAAAAAAACACAGAAACATGTTACATTCCTCATAAATGTCATATAACTTATGTATAACTGAATCATATAATTGCCTATAGCTGAAATGATGAAAATTGCTCATTTTATTTTTATAAAACATTTGTCAAAACGTATTGATATTTTAGTAAAAGCAATACTGACATTCAAGAATCCATATTTATTTAATTCATTCATTCTTTTGACTTATTTATTAGTGCATATGCTGTAATATAAATCATACAACAGTACCTTGGACGGTTACAGTGCCGCTCCATAAAAGCTTTCAAGCAAAGTCATTTGGACGGCCGACATTACAACACGAACACGCCGTCCTTCAGGTGGTCTCGCCGGTATTAACAAGCTGTCCTGGCTTTGAATTAAAAAGTGCAATTATTTCCTCGTTGTTAAAAGAGTCTGCAAGTTCGTGTTCCATGGATATGGTGATGTTGTTGTGGAATTTGGTCATCGACGATGCAAAGCGTGACTTTATTCGCTTTATTCGATGCGCAGCAGGAAAAAAAAGTCAGCAGCGCAAGTCGCTCTCCCGGATCAGAGCGAGTTTTGTGCTGTGGAATACAGCGCTGCGTGCAATAAACTCACATTCAGGCAGGCGAAGTAGGTCTGTATTCAAGTCAATAAAATAATAACTTTAATGAATAAAATATCTTCGTTAGAATGTGAGGAGTTATTCACTTCTCTGCCAGAGACTGCTCTATGGTTTTAAAACCCTTTTCAAACTGTATCGTTTAGACCTGGATCATTATTTTATATTAAATGTACTGTAGTTTATTGAGGATGTCTGATGACTAGCGCGCTTCTGCTGAGCCAGCTGTGGTAGCTTAGCAACCGAGTCGCGACGTCAACACACAGAATCTGTCAGCACAGTTCAGCACGGTTGTCTATCGTGCCAAACCGTTCTAAGAACACTTCGGTACGGTTACGGTTGTTTCTCCACTGAGCCTGGAACGGCGCGGCACGATTACAAACCGTTCTTGGCCCGGAATTTTTGGCACGGTTAGACAACCGTGCTGAACTGTGCTGACAGATTCTGTGTGTTGACGTCGCGACTCGGTTGCTAAGCTACCACAGCTGGCTCAGCAGAAGCGCGCTAGTCATCAGACATCCTCAATAAACTACAGTACATTTAATATAAAATAATGATCCAGGTCTAAACGATATTTGAAAAGGATTTTAAAACCATAGAGCAGTCTCTGGAAGAGAAGTGAATAACTCATCACATTCTTACGAAGATATTTTATTCATTAAAGTTATTATTTTATTGACTTGAATACAGACCTACATCGCCTGCCTGAATGTGAGTTTATTGCACGCAGCGCTGTATTCCACAGCACAAAACTCGCTCTGATCCGGGAGAGACATGCAAGCGACTTGCGCTGCTGACTTTTTTTCCTGCTGCGCATCGAATTAAGCGAATAAAGTCACGCTTTGCATCGTCGATGTCCAAATTCCACAACAACATCACGATATATATATCCATGGAACACGAACTTGCAGACTCTTTTAACAACGAGGAAATAATTGCACTTTTAAATTCAAAGCCAGGACAGCTTGTTAATACCGGCGAGACCACCTGAAGGACGGCATGTTCGTGTTGTAATGTCGGCCGTCCAAAAGACTTTGCTTGACAGCTTTACGGAGCGGCACTGTAACTGTCCAAGGTACTGTTGTATGATTTATATTATAGCATATGCACTAATAAGTCAAAAGAATGAATGAATTAAATAAATATGGATTCTTAAATGTCAGTATTGCTTTTACTCAAAAAATATCAATACGTTTTTACAAATGTTTTATAAAAATAAAATGAGCAATTTTTATCATTTCAGCTATAGGCAATTATATGATTCAATTATACATAAGTTATATGACATTTATGAGGAATGTAACATGTTTCTGTGTTTTTTTTTTTTTTTTGTGGTGATCTTTAATATAGCTACGCAAATATTTTCTAAAACGTCTAGCAATAATTCGCCTACAGCTTGTTAGTTAATTATGAACACAAAAATAATTATAATAATAAAAATAAAATGATCAAAATAAAAAGATAATAGAGCATCATTTTGCTAAATATAATAGTGCTTTATATGCTTTAAATCCTGCGATATATTTTCATATTCGTTTTTTTTTTCACTTGCTGCATTCGTTATTTAATGTTTGAATAGTAAAACAAATAACAGCCATCGCTTAATTGGTTTCATTTTACCATCAAAATGTAGTATATTTTATATCATTATCAACTTTTGATATAAAAACGCAGTGTAATTTAATTAATTGTTAAAAATGAAATAATTTATGTGCTGTGTTTTTATTAGTGAAAGTGCCCGCTCACCTTTGACAAGGCCTGTCCAAAATTATATTTCTGCCACTATAATGCAAATGCACTATTATTGTTGTCTTATCATTGTTTATTTTTCTGTTATGTTCAGAGATTTTAAATATTATTTATTTCCCCTCCAATTATTTTCAATCATCACGTTACATTTTGGTAATTTTCCCTCCAAATAAAATTTAGCCAGAGCTGCGCAACATAAGAATAAATAAGGGTGCACATGTACCTATATTTAGCACCCCTATATGATAGGGCGGCATAACAGTGTTTAGTCACATGGTTGCTTTTGCTTTTATGAAAAAAATAAATAAATAGTTTCGGCTCTTATTTAACTTTAATTGAACAAAGGGAGCCGTTTACATTGCGTTACCAAGGCAACTACTGATGCGTTTTGTGTAATGTTTTAAAGAGCTTTGTCGCAGCACGACAGTGGAAAATGAAACCGTATCCGTGCTGTCTGGCCCGGTTTGGCACGGAATGGAACAGTTCTGTTTAAAGAACGATTCAGCACGATAGTGGAAAAGCGGCTCGTGCCGAGAATTCCGGGCCGAGAACGGTTTGTAATCGTGCCGCGCCGTTCCAGGCTCAGTGGAGAAACAACCGTAACCGTACCGAAGTGTTCTTAGAACGGTTTGGCACGATAGTGGAAAAGCAGCTTAGGACTTCATACTGATATATAAACGATGTTTCCCAAACAGATTCTGTACACGTGATTTAAAGAGGAGGGAGAGTCTGGGTTTTGAGTGCGTGTTTGAACAGACATACACACATATTATTAATAATACCATCTAAAAATGTCGATCTTGGTGGATTCTATTCAAACAAAACTAATTATGTCATAAAAAGGCATAAAAAGTTAGGAAAGCAATAGAAAGCTTTCATTATAGATCTGTGCATTTAAATTAAATTAAATTAAAGATTCATGAGATTTGATAACTTGATTCTATTTGTTTATAATAGCTATTAATTTGAATAGGCTAAACTGCTAATTTATTTGCAGCTTTTTTTTATGTATACCTTGTTTGCACATGCCAATGTTGACAGGTTTAAAATCATAATTAATGTAGATCGTGGTTATTACATCTGCCACCGTGATGATGCGATCTGCTTGTGATTCCTTTGTTTCTAAATTCATATTTTTTATCCACCAAATTTATTTTCCCCTCCTTGGCATAATTTGGTCCCAGTTAACTGCTTCAAAGGTGTATCAAAGCCATATTTAAGGGCAGGGTTTTCATATATGACATTATAAAATCATTTATTGAACTGTGTTTGTGCACTCTGAACAGACCAACCATTAAAGCATTTACAATTTTACTGTTTAAACAAACATTAAAGCCGCATTCAGACCACAACTGATAGACAAACAGGCAGCCAATCAGCGTTCGCTGAGCTACACACAGGCAGCCAATCAGCGTTAGCGAGTCAACGTGCAGGCAGATATCCCGCCCACAGCGCTTAGTGTGAGGTGGAGAGTGAATCCATCGGAGCGCTGCTGAATGACAAACATTGCAGTTTAGTGTATATTATCACTGAAGTTACGGGTGTTTTGCGTCTTTTCAGTGTAAGTTTATTGAATATCTGACATTTGCAAAATTCGCGAGTGTGATATACTTAATTCTCTACCGGTTATCTCGCGGTTGTGGTCGATGCTAATACAGTATGTCATGTTTTTAGCTCGATACTACTCTGTCAATGTTTTACCTTTATTCTTAGTTGCTCACACTAAAGTTATATACGAGTCTTTCACTTGTAAATCGGTGTATTTTATTATTTTAGTTGTTTCAGAGATATGATAACATTGTAAGTAGCTTACAAATCCAAATAGCGCAGATCACATCCAGGACAAATCACAGCTGATACACTGTGACAGATGAAGCTGTCTAATGTTTAGTCAATGAATAAAACCTATGTCAATTTGATTTATTTTATCACTTTAATTGTGTTTTGTGCTTAACATTCATCATGTAGGCCTACTGTTTATTTACATTTAATTTTAACTCTGTTTTAATAAAAATAATTGCTTAAACTTCAATCAGTTTTGTTGACAAACGAATTTATACCCATAAAATATAACTCACAACAGCATTAATTTGGCTATTCTGCCATGCTGAGGGAAAGTGAGTGAGTGTTGTTCACCAATAATGAATATATTTGGTGTCTTCAGCTTCTCTTTTTGTAATTAAACATGTATAATGTGTGATAATATCATAGCAAAGAAATCCTGTAATTCATTACCTCTAAAACTGAGAGAGAGAGATATAAGCGAGAGATATAATAATGTATTAATTAGAAGAAAACACATTAATGAAGTATTTTTGGGTGAGTTTCTCTTCAGTGTTTGGGCTTTCAGCAGTGATATTTACACCACTCTGAACTGAACTTCATGTGTGAAAACTGAACTGAAGCAGGTTCATTTTGCTAGATCTTCATCTCTGTTAAGCTGCTTTCCCGTTGACACAATCTACATTGTTAAAGCTCTGTAGAAATAAACACATTCAATCAATTGAATACTTTAATATTTGTAGATCTGTTTCTCCTCCCATCAGTCTACAAGTAAAGACGAGTGTCAGATCATCAGGAAGAAGTGAAATCTGAAAGATGAGTGATCCAGAACCCTGCAGAATTAAAGAGGAAGAGGAGCCCTGCAGAATTAAAGAGGAAGAGACTGAAGAGCATATAGGTTGGTGTTTATTCCTGATTCTTCAGTAATGAGGCTGATGAACAATAAGGATAAGGAGCTTTGAACAGTACATCTGAATTATTATGTGCACTATTGTAATGTGTGTGTGTGATTTTTTTTTTTTAATTGAGTTAAATCTAGATTAAAATGAATCATTTGAATTCTGCCGAAGGCATTTGTTATATGTGTGCTAACCAAATAATGACTAAATAAAAGTCTTTGAAAACGTGTTTTAGTTCATAACTGAACTAAACAGAAATGAAATTAAGACATGTGGAGTATGCAGATATTAGCGGCAGGGGCGCAACTACACATTTACTGAGGGGTATGCGGGTTCAAATTTTGTGTGAACCCTCTTATTTTATATTAATTAATTAATAATAAATGAAGACAAATTTTCAGATTAATCTTATAACTTTTGACATTATGTATGATTTGACAGTTTATTTTGATAAAAACAAAAGCAAATCTAAACAGTTACATCTACATGAACACTTTCGGCTGTGGGACTGCATGTTATTGTGTTTAATGATTTTGAATTAAACAATAACAATATTATATTCGTTTAAAATGCAAAATAATGTTTTTTAACCAAACATATTTATTTATTTTTATTATTTGAAACTTTTAATAAGGATAATTTTAAAAAATAGTTTTGGCACAACGGCGCCCCCCCTATGTGTGGCGCCCCTATGCGCCGCATATACTGCATACCCCCTTGTTGCGCCACTGATTAGTGGCATTATCAAAGTAAACACCGCAATCAAACTATTACCGCCATGTAGGACTTTTCGGAATATTTTCCGGCTGTCAGTAAAGTAAGTAAGTAAGTAAGTAAAGTTTATTTATAAAGCACATTTACTTCAGTTTGGCACTGACCAAAGTGCTGAACAAAACCATAGCACACACTCTAAAAGAGTAAAAGATAACAATAAAAGTAATAATAGGAATACAAGTATTACAGCAACAACCACAATAAAGATTAAAAGCCTGGGTATGCAATAGAATAAAAATGTGTCTTAAGTCTGGACTTAAAAATAGAGAGAGAAGAAGCACTTGTAATATCCGGTGGTAGCTGGTTCCACAAACGAGGAGCAGCGACTGCAAAGGCTCTATCCCCTTTCAGTTTAAGTCGTGACCGAGGAACTTGAAGTAAAATTTTATTTGAGGACCTAAGAGACCGAGGAGTTGACTGTAAGTTAATAAGCTCTGATATATAAGAAGGTGCTTGCCCATTCAGTGCTTTAAAAACAGTAAGTAAAATCTTGAACTCAATTCTAAAATTAACAGGAAGCCAATGAAGGGATGCTAAAACTGGTAAAAGACCGCACACACACACACACACACACATCACAAAATGCGGACGTTTTTTCTCTCCATTTGGCATGCATTATTAAATTACTATAACACTCTCACCAGTTCTTACTCCTTATTTGCGTCTAATAGCCCAGTGTGTCACGGGGGCATGAATGAAATATTCATGAGTGAAAGTGAAACTGCCGAACTGCAGTTAAAGTCAGACAAAATGACAGGAAACTCTTACATGAAAGCACTTCACGTAAACACCTTAATTATATTATTGTCTATTAAGGCAAATAACTAGACTAGAGATGTCCATGTAAGCGTAGTCAGTCGTGTCTTCGAAGTTAGTGAAAGATCCAGAAGGGCATCCTGCTGATTTGATTCTGAAGAGCACTTGTTTGTCAGACGGCTCACCGGTCAGGTATACATCTGCGCTAAACTATCTAGGTGAAGGTCATCATAGCTTGCGTAGAATAGACCCAGCTCCCAACCCAACTTTGAGAACAGATTAACACGGATAGTTTTTTTTATCACGCAATTAGAGTTGAATGATTCTGGCTAAAATGTGAATCTCTTTTTTTTTTTTTGCTTAAAATCAAGATCAGGATTTTCTCACGATTCTATAAATGTGAAATAAAGGTTAATATGATTAGCTTATTATTATTTATTTCTCAAACATATGGTAAAACAACAATATTAATATTAGGCCTGTGTGTAGGTCTACTGTTGCTTAAAATGCTAAATTTTGTACAGTCATTATGGTGGACTTGAACAGACTTAAATATGTCCTGTTTGTTAATTCACAGTAAAATGATGACACCAAAATACAACTATTCATAATTATAAAGTTGATTTATTATGTTTAAGGCATGTGCTTGTCATCTGTTATTAACAGCATTATTAAACTGGTAAAATGAGAATTTTGTCATTATCAGATACTTCTTGCATTATATTCAGCATTATATATAGGCTAGGGTTGTTATACTGACACAGTAAACATTTATTTTCATGCACAACACTTTGTGTTCGCTATGAAAGAAAAACATATTAAATGTTTGTTGTAATCATGACTGTAAAATGCGGTGTGATCATTTAAATGATGTGCACACAGGTTTCACTTTCACTTCCGAGTGTGGCTCGTGGCTGCCGTCACTGATAAAACACACAGCCATGCAATTTAAACCTTCCGCATGACCCCTAAATGATCGATCTGTGCAACAAACTGATGTTATTTAACTGTTATTCACAGCCTATGCAGGTTCTGTGCACTAAAGTAGGCGTCATTGGCGTGCACGCGTAGTAAACAAACAGCTGTCGGTCAGCTCACGTGTGATTTTGCAGCCGTGAATACATCATTACATGAAGACAGAAATGACATTACTGGGTGAATTATACCTTATATATACAGTATGTGACACTTTTAACGCCATTTATAGGTGTTAACGTTGCTGTGAAGACTTGTGAAAATAATTGGCTGAATCGTAGAAAAGCTGAATTGAGGTTGTGTAGGGTCGAATCGAGATCTTTTTCCAGAAATGATCAGATGTGCTCCAACATTAGGCACATTCAAATCAAAACTGAAACACATCTGTTTAGCTGTGCCTTTACTAAATGAGCACTGTGCTGCGTCCGATAGAGCGCACTATTATGTTTTTCTTTTCATTGTCTTATAACCTAATTGAACACATTTTATGTGCTTTTTATTGTTATTTTTATAATTCTTTTTAATTGTTTTTATTTTCTTACACTTGTCTCTTTTATTCCTGTTTATGTAAAGAACTTTGAATTGCCACTGTGTTAAATGCACTATATAAATCAACTTGCCTTCCCTTTTTTCGATTAATCGTGCAGCCCTACACGCGATAAAAGTCTATATAAAAGTAAAGGTATCCTCTATATTCATTCGTCCATGGCGGGGCGCCACGCCAAAATTCATCCCGCCACAGCTACATTACAGGTTCTCATTCAAAACATTAAATTTTTTAATAGCAGGTAATAATCGCACCAAAACGTATTAAAGGGTAAGTGAATTATAACAGCGCAAACTTTTCTGTAACCGTAGTAGTGTTCACCCTTTAAGGTGACGGGCTGACTGACAGGCGCATGATGCGGGAGGCCAGCAAACACGACGGCTGGAGACATACTCTTTACATGAACGCACTAAATCGCACTTCAGCAGCGTTTATTTGAGAGCGCACAAGAAGATCTGCACGCTCTTGAAGCGGCTTATAATTGGGCGTGCAAAAAGTTTTGTGCACGAACAGAGGAAATCAGCACGCAAGCAAAGAGATCCGCATGCTGTAGGCTATTACATGAATGCGATCTCGACATCTAATACTGCGCTCACGACATTTGTCATTAAAAAAACGCCACAGGTAGATCTGTGTAAAAAAAAAAAGGCCTGCCGCCACAGCTGGAAAACATCCTAGAGGAAACACTGAAGTGTATATATATATATATATAAAGACTTCATATTCTCAGGGTGAAAAAAGAGACACTCGGTTGTCTTTTATTTACATGCTTTTTAAATATTTCTATACCTTTTCTACTCTGATTTTAGACTTTATTGAAGAAGACGAGGATAATGAGGATGATAAATTTGTAAAAGCTGAGAACACCCCTCATTTATTGACTGAAGGTATTGTTTTAAAGCAAAAAGACCAGAAGTGTTTCCCCTGCACTGAATGTGGAATGAGTTTGACATCCAAACAGGTTCTAAAGCGTCACATGAGGATCCACACTGGAGAGAAACCCTACACATGCACTCAGTGTGGGAAGAGTTTCAGTCGATTGGGAACCCTTAATGTGCACCGGCTGATTCACACTGGAGAGAAAACACACACGTGCGATCAGTGCGGGAAAACATTTTTGACTCACTCACACCTGGAGGTCCATCATAGAGTTCACACTAAAGAGAAACCGTATTCATGCTCTGAGTGTGGGAAGAGTTTTAAATACCAGTCAAGTTTAAGAAAACATCAGACGATCCACGCTGGAGTGAGAGAGCATGTGTGCTTTATGTGTCAGAGGACTTTTATTACGGCTCAGGCCTTGAAGAATCACCAGATGATTCACACTGGAGAGAAACCGTACATGTGTGTTCTGTGTCTGAAGACTTTCACACAGTTGTCGCATGTGAAGGGACACATGAAATTCCACACTGGAGAAAAGCAGCACACGTGATGATCGCCCCGAGGCTTGATTCAAATACACATTATTCTCCCCGCTTTGATAAAACAAAGAAGGTGTTGTGGCCCCAGCTGTTAGATAATGGCCCATCAGACTTGACATCACTATGCCAATTCAATTTCACAGCCAAAGAAAGACATTCGTGTCCTTCTGGGTGATCGGCTCCCCTTCTCTTTACCTGTCTAGAGAAAATTAACATGGCTATTGTCTGCGCATGAAAGGGATTTTGGACATTTCACGCTTAAAAGTGTGTATTTGCTTTAATGTATTCATGCTAATAGTTGTGCATGCTTTAGTATGTATGTAAGCATGTGTATATTGTAGTTGTGCATATAAGTGAAACGTGTAATTAACTGTATTTGATAACGTCCGTAATGTTTGGTGTTAAACAAGAGCTTTACGATTTCAGAAAACGTTGGTTTGAATGATAAAACTAGCTAACTATATCAAATAGTAGTAAGGAGAGAAACAGTACACGTGTGATCAGTGTCTGAAGAGTTTCACACGTAAAGGCTGATTTATACTTCTGCGTCAAACACCGGCGTATGCTACGGCGCTGACGCATAGCCCTTCACCGTGGCCGTCGCTGACGTGCACCTCTCAAAAAATGTAACTACACGTCGCAACAACGCGTAGCACAAACTCTGTGATTGGTCAGTTTGGTAGCGCTGATGAGTCTCGGCGGGACCGAGAGCCGCGCGAATGGCGCGAACCCAATGTAGCGATTGTTTACAAGTGTGGAGTCCCGTGAAGGAGCTCAGGATAGGAAAGTTTTGTTTTGTGTTTACCTCATAGTTAAAGTTGCTGCACGTCCGCCGGTTCCTGCCTCAAAATGAGCGAGTTTGAGCCACTTGTACATCCAGGAAGTGTTCAGGAAAAGCAAAAAAGCAGCGAAGAAACTCGACACAGAGGAAGATTTACACCTCACTGCCAACTAGCGTTTCGGAAGTGTTAATGCAGACCAACAGAGACAGCGCGCAGAAGTATAAATGCACAGCCACGCGCGTTGCATGCACCGTGGGTTACGCCGGTCACTTGACGCAGAACTATAAATCAGGCTTAAGAGACGCATGTAAATCCACGCTGGAGAAAAGCAGCACAAATATCAACATGTGTAACGTTTTCTGAGAGAGATTGTAAAGTTAACAATTCTCATGAGTATCACATTTACCCAACAGGTCAGAATGCAAATGTACATGTAACTTATTTCAGCAGATTGACATTAAAATGTTCAGAATTAAAACTCTTCTCCAGTGTTTACATTAATTAAATTTGTTGCCAAAAGGAATCCACACATCTCAGGATCTCCTGTCATGTGTTCAGGTTGGCCTAGGCTAAATACAAGCAGATATTAACATTAATTACTGAAAGTCAGTCACTGCATTCAAATATATATTTAAGGTAAATCACATCATAATGAACTTCCTCAAGACATGGGCGCTTTATAATTTAATCAAACTGTTTGGAAGCATTAAAAGTGTCCAATATGATGTCTAAAATCGTTACACGCATTGACCAAAAGACTGTTTACATGCACGTCACTGATGAGAAGATGATGGATGTTTACTGTAAGATGACAGCAATGGCCTTAAACACCCAGCAGGCATAAGACGTCAGATTGACGTTGTACCCCACTGTCATGGAGACGTTACATTTTGTTTGGAAATTAAAATGATGTTGACGTCAGAATCAATGTGAAGGTCAGGCCAACGTCCAACCTAAAACCAACCAAATATCAACGTCTGATGATGTAGCTTGACGTTGTAGGGACGTTACCAGTATGACGTCTATCACACGTTGGATTTTGGTTGCCATACCTGAGGAATAAATGTCAGTATTTGATGTCAATATGATGTGATGATAAGTTGGCTCGACAATGGATTTTCGTCACTTTCCAACACAACCTAAAATAAACCAAATATCAACGTCATTCGACGTTGTTATTGGACATCAAAATAACGCTGTTCTTAGACGCTGGCTAGACACTGAATTGTGGTCACCTGACATCACAACCTAAATCTAACCTAATATTAACACCTTGTGACATTGTGTGCCTGCTGGGCAATAACTAGATGCACTACAGAATGTTACGTTTACAGACGTCAACAAATTACATGTAAATATATCAGCTTTTTACAGCGTAATACTCACAACGCACTACTCTTGAGTACTTTAAAAAGGGCTTTTTACTCATACTTTGAGTAATATTTGCAGCAGAAACTTTTACTCTACTTACACTACATTTTTAGGCAAGTAATGGTACTTTTACTTGAGTATGATTATTCAGTGCTCTTTCCACCACTGCAATTGGGCAGCTATATCAGACTTTAACTCGGTTGTTTGGCACTGTTTTCATTTATTAAAATGTGACTTCCGCCATCTTGTGTCTTTTTCAAGAGAATATTTCGCGCCAGTTTAGTGTGTGCAGTGAAGCATCAGGTAGAGGACATTATTTACCCCACTTCAGCTTTCATATTGTTTTAGATTTACTTTATAAACAGATTATAACACAGTTGCGGTCATATTTAATGGTGTATTTGGTAAAAATAGTGAGGATTAGGTCGTAAGAAAAAACTTTTAAAGCTTAAATTTACCCCACACGGTACCGGCTCGTCTATATTTTACTCCAGCATTAATTCTGCCGTCATGACGACCGTCTCCCGCTTGTGACGGAAAAACAACATTCGCCGAGCAACACAGACAGCCCCACAGCACTCGCTGAGCAACACAGGCAGCCAATCAGAGCTCGCTGAGCCACATACAAGCATCCAATCGGCGTTCGCTGAGGAACTTGCAGGCAAATATCCCGCCCTCGGCGCTTATTATGAGGTGGAGAGAGATTTCATTCAGCGGAGCTTATCTGAGTGACAAACTTTGTTTCATGTATAATTCCACTAATGTTTCGAGAGTTGTGTGTTCATTTAAAGTAAGTGTTGTTTTTCTGTCACCTGTAACGCTCGTGAGTGTGATATGCTTAACTTTGCTGCCGATAACTTAAGCGGTTTTGATCTGCTTTGACTCATGTAAACAATGCTAATATAGTTAGCATCCGGTGAATAGCGTATATTCATTCACAGTTGCTTATACTAATGTTATTTATGTACATTTTACTTAAGGACAGTGAGAAAATGAGGGATCTAGAAAAATCCTTCAAAGCTGGAGAGACTGAAGAATGAACAGGTTGGTGTTTATTCCTGATTGTTCATTAATGAGGCTGAAGAACATTAAAAATCAGTTAACAGTTCATCTGATTCATTTAAGAATAGAAAAAACCCACAGATAAATAAATACAGTGTATTCTCAGGATAAACATTTGTTCTTTTATTTTCATGTATACAACATTTATTATCATAAAATTAAACAAAATGTCATCTGCTTTGATTTATTTTACAATTATATCATATATTGTTCAGATTATTTTTGCACAAACCTGTGCCCATGTTTATCACGCTTCTGAGAATTGCTCATAAGAACAGTGCTAATGAAGAAATCAAGAGTTAAAAGTTCTAGCTTAAAGCTGTGTTTTAATTAAAAGTTACTTATCGTGCTGTTAGGAAGAGGAAATTACCAGTTTAAATCAATTCAATTAAATAATTAAATTTCGATTTAATTAAACTAAAGAAAATTTACTGAAGATAGTTTGCAGTTTTATAGCAGGAGGGCTTCCAGGGCCGTTGCTAGACAAAGCTTACAGCTCCTGCAAAAAACAACATATATATATATATATTAGGGCTGTAACGATACACCAAACCCACGATTCGGTTCGTATCACGATTTTTTACCCACGATTCGGTTCGTATCACGATTTTTTTTTCGTGTGGGGTGGGAAAAAAAAGATTTTTAAAACTTTTTTTATTAAATAACATTTGAAAAATCTTTATAAACTAAACATCAAAGAACAATATTAACTATTCAAATTATTAACAATATAAATAGCCATATATAAAATAAATAAATAGCCAAAGCTATATCACTTTTGTTTTCTTTGTAACAAAATACTGTTGAAAAACCAAACAGAACTAAACTCCATTGTGTAGATGGTTCAAGCATGTTGAAAATTATTTTTCAATCAAGTTCTCTTACATAGAAAAAGTAAATTAAATGGCTACTAGGGATGCTCATTTCGGTTAATTTGGCTAACCGACAACCGCCGCTCATTAATCGGTTAAGTTGGTTTTGTTTTTGATATTCCTGACACATTCAGACAGTCCCTTACTAAGAGCTCTGTGCGAGCTCTCCTGGCTAAACGCTTATTGCGAGGGCTTAAACGATGCAGTGCTCGTAATGTCTAGCGGAAAAAAAGTGTTTCCTCACGTTCTTCTTCAACTAGCTCAACTTTTGCAGGCACGCGTGACGTTATTGGAAAGGTAGTCACGGGGTGTGTCGCGATTCTCCTTATCACACCGCGACACAGGATCGTAGATCTGAGTGTCGCGATTTCGATTTCATATCGTGTATATATTCACCCTGCTTTTTTTTCTTTCTTTTTTTACATTTTTCTGAAATTATGTTTAACAGAGCAAGGACATTTTCACAGTATGTCTGATAATATTTTTTTATTCTAGAGAAAGTCTTATTTGTTTTATTTCTGTTAGAAAAAAAGGCAGTTTTTAAAAAAATCCATTTTAAGGTCAATATTATTAGCCCCTTTAAGCAATTTTTTTTTTCCCAGGCTGTCTGCAGAACAAACCACTTTTATAAAATAACTTGCCTAATTACCCTAACGTACCTAGTTACCTAATTAAGCTAGTTAAGCCTTTAAATGTCACTTTAAGCTGTATAGAAGTGTCTTTAAAATATCTAGTCAAATATTATTTACTGTTATTAGAGACGAGTCATTAAAACTATTATGTTTAGAAATTTGTTAAAAAAAAATCTTCTCTCCGTTAAACAGAAATTGGGGAAAAAAATAAACGGGGGGGCTAATAATTCTGACTTCAACTGTCTATTATGTTGAATGGGGAAAAAGTTGTTGTTTTTTACCCTGACATTAAAAAAAATAAAAAAAATTTAGAGCAGTAATTATAATATCGTGATATTTTTACCGTCTGAATCTTATACCGGCCTATGCCTAGTCCTTACCAAGCCAGTCGACCTTGCTGTTTACACGTTCTCCCTGTGCTCACTAGGGTTTCCTCCCACCGTCCAAAAACATGAAACTTAAGTTAATTGACTAATCCAAATCAGCACCATAGACATTGTAAGAAAGTAAATGAGATCGTCTTGAAGGAAAAATAAGTTTTATTCCAGAAAAGTAGTGTCAAAGTGGAGACAACACTTCGGATTCATCGCAGTTGGAATTGAATGCCGATCATCCTCCGTTTAAACATCTTATACTGTTTCTTTCCGCTTAACATGTTATTAAGCTTTCACTTCAAATGTAAATTTAGAATAGCAATCCCAGACCTTTCGGTATGGTATTTAACATGTTAATATGCTTTCGCTTTGAATGTAAATCGAGAACAACAATAAAAGTGATACTCTTCCGTTCCCAGATCTTAAGTAGACTTTCTGGTGAGAATACCAACTGTTATGATAAATGAGGTTAAACAGAGATCCTTTTGGTCAGCAGATAGTTCTTGATGGCTCGCTGCCGCTGCCATGCTACAAGAAGTAAATTATCATTCCAAAGACATTTTTTAAATGCTTTTCTTGAGGAACTCTCCAGTCTGTGATAACTAAGCTCTTTGTGAAGAAAGGAGCATCAAACACTTGTGAAATAAAGTAGAAGTTGGGTCGAGGCAGACTAATTTCTTACAACATGCTCCTAGTGAGTAGTCATCTGTTCATTAGCTACTACAGCAGGGGAGTTCTCCAGATCTACCTGAGCTCAAACTCCCCTCTGTTTGTAATCGGGAGAGAGCCCCGGGCTCGAGGATCCTATGAGCTCAGGGCTCTCTCCCGGGACAGCATGCCAAACACGCTTCATAATCACTCATCAGCTAAGTGTGAACTCTCGAAGTATATATTATAGGGTATATGCCGAGCTAGTGCTGTTCCCATGCTGATATTCTTCCGGTGAGCTGTTATTGTGAACTTTTTTCCATTTTATACGGATCCTTATACAGCATCGATGTTGTAATGTCAGTAAAATACATTCAGTTAAATAAACTTTAGCATTTATTTGGTTGCTCAAGCGTTAAACGAGGCAAAAAACTGTTTACTCGCACGCGCCCGTCAGAATCGGCAGACTAACGCAGAAGCTTCATTAAATATACTAGGGTAAAGTAAATGCTCATATTATAAAGATATGACGGGGGGAATGTAATTTAATGCAGTGCTTCTTGTACAATCTGAGACCCACTTTAAATCGGAAATCACTCAGCTAGTGGAGATCGCTGTTTTTTAAAGAGAACAGACCTTAAACGCACCGGATTTTGCATTGGCATTCAATTCGCCGGAAGCGCTTAACCCAGGTTACTGGCAAATTAAAAGTCCTATTAGCATGCTTTAGCATATACCCCATTACAGGGTAAAGTCTCGACTGTGTATTTGAAAGCGGTGGTTCTTTTGTTTTCCTTCTCTAGTGACTAGCTAGTGACGTTTGTCTGTAAACCAAAAGCGTTCAGCTGTGCGTCTGGCTCCGCCTTTTGGTACTCTTTGGAAAGGGTATGCAAAAAGTGGTATGGTACGGTTCGTTTTTTGATACTGACTGTGGAAATGGCCATAAACGCACACTGAAACAACCAGTGGAAATCATTACATCTCCATCACAAACCCCTACTGTCAACTCCTAACCACTTGAGAGTCCTCTGAAGCTTAAATATCTGGGAGATTAAAAGTGATTCTGAGCTTTACGAAATTGAAATGTTTGTAAGGAGATGAATTCTCAATATGTCAGACTTTGAGAAGCTTGATTTACCTGGGCTCTGATATTACTTTTGAGAAAGAAATATATGGAAATGAAGACTTCTCACTTCCCATTTAGCTCAGATTGTTCATGATTTCCTAAAAAAAAAAACTTTTCTACTCTGATTTCAGACTTTATTGAAGAGAGCGAAGATGATGAACCTGTAAAAGCCGAGAAAATCCCTCATTTATTGACTGAAGATATTTTTAATAATGAAAAGAAAAGACAAGAAGTGTTTCACCTGCACTGAGTGTGGGAAGAGTTTGGGATCCAAACACTGTCTCCAGCTTCACATGAGGATTCACACTGGAGAGAAACCGTACACATGCACTGAGTGCGGGAAGAGTTTCAGACAATCATCAGCGCTTAAATCACACATGCTGATCCACACTGGAGGGAAACCGTACACATGCACTCAGTGTGGGAAGAGTTTCAGACATTTATCAAACTTCAAAAAACACATGCTGATCCACACTGGAGAGAAACCGTTCACATGCACTCAGTGCGGGAAGAGTTTCAGTAGATCAACACACTTTAATGAGCACATGATGATCCACACTGGAGAGAGACCACACACATGTGATCGATGCGACAAAACGTTTTTGAGGGCTGCAGACCTGAAGATCCATCTTAGAGTTCATACAAAAGAGAAACCGTATTCATGCTCTGAGTGTGGGAAGAGTTTTGGACGTCAGTCAAGTTTAAAAGACCATCAGAAGATCCACACTGGAGTGAAAGAGTACGTGTGCTGTCAGTGTGAGAAGACTTTTATCACAGCTGGTTTGTTGAAACAGCATCAGAAGATCCACACTGGTGTGAGAGAGTTTGTGTGCTTTGAGTGTCAGAAGACTTTTATTAGAGCTGAATATTTGAAACGGCACCAGATGATTCACACTGGAGAGAAACCGTACAGGTGTTCACACTGCGACAAGAGCTTCAGACAGTCGGGAACCCTGAACGCACATGAGAGGATTCACACTGGAGAGAAACCGTACACGTGTGATCAGTGTCTGAAGAGTTACACACGGTGGTCGCATCTTCAGAAACACATGAAAATCCACACTGGAGAAAAGCAGCACACGTGACATCAATGCAGCAAAACAGTTTCTCGTGTGTAACGAGTGTTTCACATCAGAAAACACTGGTGCTGCAGATGTGTGGATTCCTCTTGATTATTTGCTTCTTCATGATTACTGCATAAACCAGGATACAAACATATATTGTATTGATTTCAGCAGAGTAAAGGTCTGTGCACACCGAGACATTTTTTGCTCGCGTTTTCCGTCAACGTTTAACGCCTTGTGACTTTTAGCTGGTCATCTCAGCTAAGACCAGGCTGGAAATGGCTGGAAACGGCCAAAACCCCTCTAAAACCAGGCTGGTCAACCAGCTAAAACCAGCCAACCAGCCTAGGCTGGTTTAAGCTGGATTTTTCAGCAGGGTTAAAATATAAGATACATTATTTCTTTTGATAACACAGCAAATCAATGGTTGCCTGATGGTGATCAGAATATTAAGAAGTTGTTGACTGATGATTCTGGGTCTGGAAGCGGTACCCTCCCCTCTTCCTTCTGTATGTGCCATCAATTAGTCTCTTCTTGCTTTGTTTCTCTCTTTGAATTAGCAGGATTTGAATATGGGTAACATAAGACAGTCCAGTGATGTCATTTCGAACATGTTTAATAACAGCTTAACTGAACTATAATACACGGTCAAAAAACCTGTCTTGCTTCCATCTTCATGACACTTCTTCCTTCCCGGAAGCGTATACTTTATATAAAAAAATTAATTACTTTTAGTAAAATATTTTAAAGTTTGCTTATTACATTATTATTAATTTAACATAAATAAAACAATGAGCTTATGGCTCTTATACCAGGGGTGTCAAACTCAATTCCTGGAGGGCCGAAGCCCTGCACAGTTTAGTTCCAACCCTTTTGGAACTGAGATTGACACCTGTGCTTTTTACCTTGCTCTTTCCTAGCTGTGTTTTACCCCTAGATTTAAGTGGGAACATAACACTAAGGAAAGTCCAGTTTGTTATTTGCCTATTAAATGACAATAGACTACAGTTTTTAATTTAATACGTTAACAGATTCCATTTTTTTTATATATTCTGAAAATGATGCAATAAATATGTATTTTAAAAATAAGTATTTCTCCAAATGTCTTTATTTAAATCGTCAGGAAATATTTTTATATCATATTTAAATTAAAAAGTGTGGATATGAGAACCATCTGACAAGTTAATTAAGCTAAAAAAGTAGTGCTTAAAATGTGAGAATAACTTTTAAAGCATCAACAAGCGTTCTGAACACAAATCTTTTTTGTTGTTGTTGTTGCTGAAAGTGATTGACAAACAGGCAGCCAATCAGCTTTCGCTGAGCGACATACAGGCAGCCAATCGGCGTTCTCACATCAACGTGCAGGCAAATGTCCCGCCCACGGCGTTTAGTATGAGGTGGAGAGTAAATCCATCGGAGCGCTGCTGAATGACAAACATTTCCGTTTAATATCACTAATTTCACGGGTGATTTGAGTCTCTTCAAGGTAAGTGTTTTATTTCTGACATTTCTAACATTCGCCAGTGTGATGTGCTGCTGATTATCTCGCAGTTTGGTCTGCTTTAGCTCATGTAGTTAATGCTAATATATTTAGCTTCAGGTAAATATTTGACATTTAAGTCATCCTTAGTTGCTTATACCAATGCTATCTCTGTACTAGGTCTGCAAGTTATTAGAAAAACATGACTTGAATTGTTTCTCTGCGATATGAACAACTAAATATTGCACATATATAGCGCAGAATATATCCAGACAGATCACAGCAGATGTAATATGTGTCAGATAAAGCTGGCTAATGTTCATTCATTGTATATAACATAGTAATCAATTTTGAGTTGTGGTGACAAATAAACAAGTCTCTCGTATTTTAACTTACCGAACCCCCTGTGGCGAGTTTTAGACTTAACCAGCAGTTTACAAATGAGACTACTATTAACAGTAAGTGCTTTATACAACAATATTGTGATGTATCGTCCGTAAAAGCAACTTCCCCCATGTTTGTGACATAATCAAAATATAATAGTCATAACTGGAATATTCCCGTCAGTCTACAAGTGAAGACGACCATCAGGAAGAAGTGAAATCTGAAAGACGAGATGAAGATGAGTGATCCAGAACCCTGCAGAATTAAAGAGGAGGAGGATGAGGAGCAGACAGGTTGGTGTTTATTCCTGATTCTTCAGTAATGAGGCTGATGAACAGTAACCGTACGTTCACACCGAGAGCGTCAAAGTAGCCGGAAGTCATTCATTTTCAATGAGAGCAGGCGGCGAGGAGCAGTGCGGCGCATCTTCTCTGGCGTAGGCGTCCATAGATATATACACTAGATGTCGCCTGGCCTATTGTTGTCTATTGGACGGAATGCGTCAATAGCGCCGCCATCTTGCTACAGGGTAGCGCTCCTTTAAAATGAATGCGGCACCAAGGTACAGTGGAGGACTGTGGCCATCCAAAGCCAGAGATATACACATATATCTATGATTGGGAGTTTTCCTGGATGTTAGTGTGTAATATTTTTTTCTAATTACGAAAATTATAATTTTACATCACTTTTCTACATTGATAGATCAGTGACCGCACGGGCATTCCTGACAAAAAGCTTGTGTTTGTGTGTACAGAAATGTACTATCCACCCTGCCTGTTTAATTTGATCTAATCATGTCCTGAAACACATCTCCTCTCCTGCTTTCACTGCTCATACTGACGGAGGGAGCGATTTGTTTGTGAGTGAATCCCCCGAACGACTCTTTCACTAACGTTAGGCGACAATAATACCAGTTTCTGGCAGCGCAGCATCTCGTTGTCATATTTCTTTTGCATTGTTTGCTGATTTTATTCAACAAAACTAGCATAAGCCGAGTGTTTAGTGCGAGTTGGAGCTGCTTTGCCGTATGGTGAATGCAGTAAGTGACTGTTATCATCAATAACGTGACCTGATTAGCACAAAAGTTCAGAACATACAAAAACAGAAAAAACTTAATATTACCTATGAAATGTTCTGCCTTTGTGCTTTGATTTCTTTGTTTGCTCGTTTCTACACCCGTAGACAGCGCTAAAGTCCCGCATCTTCACGTAATAACTGTCTTGACTAGTGCGGTTGAATGACATTTGTCCTGGGAGCACTGTACCAATGTGGCGGCGCTATTGACGCATGCTCAGGGTCCCTATGCGATATCTAGTGTATATGTCTATGGTGGGCGTCGAGGAGAGTTGAAATCATGTCAACTTTATGGTAATGAGCTATGAAGCGGGTCGGCGGCAAGCAATCAGAATGAAGACGTCCACCGCATAATAGGAGTTCAGAGAACACAGACCTGTGAACTTTGGTTCCGATCACAGTTGTTCCCAAGGGTTTGATGATTGCGGTCGCCGGATTTCCAATTATTTACCATGTTTTATTACAGGAACATGCTTTAAATAAGTTACTGATGTGCAATAATGTTATATAAATTAATCTTAAAAAAGCCGGAATCTCACGCGACGTGACAGTATAAAACAGTATTGCTGCTTCAGGATATTTCAGACATATGGACACATATTGGATAAATAGAGCAAAGCCACACCACACGCAACTTGATCTTCCATTGTTATATGAATTTGATAAGAGGTGCGCAACATTTTCACACTAGAAACATGTTTATGCAGGAATGTAACTGATAAGCTGCAATGGCTCCTTTAAATACGAGATTAAGTTAGCGAGTTTTGACGCTCTCGCCGCCGGAGCTGAAGGCAGACAGCATTGTCGCCAGAGCGACCTTGGACGCTCTCGCCGCTTTCGGTGTGTATGTACGGTAAGAGCTTTGAGCAGTTCATCTATTCAATTGTGCGCTAGGAAAATATATTAAATAAACACACAGAAAAATAAGTACACTATTAAAAAAAGTGTCTTTTATTCACTTCATTTTTTTGAGAATTAAATGTATATGAATGAAGTCTTTTCACTTCACATTTTGCTCAGAGTGTTTTTGACTAATAACTGAACCTTTCATCTTTGATTTCAGACTTTATTGAAGAGGATGACGAGGAGACGTTTGTGAAAGCTGAGAAAATCCCTCATTTATTGACTGAAGGTGTTTTTTTAATGCAAAGAGGAGACAAGTGTTTCACCTGCACTGAGTGTGGGAAGAGTTTGAGATCCAAACAAAGTCTCCAGTTTCACATGAGGATTCACACTGGAGAGAAGCCGTACACATGCACTGAGTGTGGGAAGAGCGTCAGACAATCATCGGCACTTAAAATACACATGCGCATCCACACTGGAGAGAAACCGCACAAGTGTGATCAATGCGGCAAGACATTTTTGATTCATTCACACCTGCAGAACCATCTGAGAGTTCACACTAAAGAGAAACCGTATTCATGCTGTGAGTGTGGGAAGAGCTTTGCAACGCAGTCCAGTTTACGAAAACATCAGAAGATCCACACTGGAGTGAAAGAGCACGTGTGCTTGGAGTGTGGGAAGACTTTTATTACAGCTCAGGCTTTGAAGAAGCACCAGAGGATTCACACTGAGGAGAAACCGTACAAGTGTTCATACTGCGACAAGAGCTTCAGGCGGACAGGAGACCTGAAAGTGCATGAGAGGATCCACACTGGAGAGAAACCGTACACATGTGATCAGTGTCTGAAGAGTTTCACGCACTTTAATCAGATTAAGACACACATGAAAATCCACACTGGAGAAAAGCAGCACACGTGACGTCAATGCAGCCAAGCATTTTCTCATGTGTAAGAGGTGTTTCCTGTCTTCATTCAGCTTCTGTTGTTTAACTAGGTCAGAAAGGGGTTCAGAAATAAACTTATGTCACAGTACAGGTATCTTGGAATCTCAGGCCCCTTTACACTAGTGCGTTTTAGAATGAAAACCATCCGCGTCCACACTCACGTCTCTGAACAACTCTCCGTCCACATGACGCTGGAATTATACTCGCGCATGGCGCTGCATCGTGCACCTCCGCTGACTGCGCGCACCCCTCGCGAAACGGCCGAGGCTTTTATACTCGCCACGTTCGCCGTTGTGATATTTTTTAAAATGACAGTGGGCGGTCAATATAAACCCACCTTAAAATCAGACGGATAAACAGAGAAGTAGGAAGCTTCTGTAATGTAAATGTAAATGTAATGTAATGTGTATTTATATAGTGCATTAATTGTGTATGGCCGTACACCCAAAGCGCTTCACAATCATGAGGGGGGTCTCTCCACACTACCACCAGTGTGCAGCAATCACTTGGATGATGCGACGGCAGCCACAGGACAACGGCGCCAGTGCGCTCACCACACACCAGCTATTGGTGGAGTGGAGAGACAGTGATAGAGCCAATTCGGTGGAAGGAGATGATTGAGAGGCCATGATCGTATGGGCTGATAGAGGGACTTTGGCCAGGACACCGGGGTTACACCCCTGCTCTTTCACGAGAAGTGCCATGGGATTTTTAATGAGCACAGAGAGTCAGGACCTCGGTTTAACGTCTCATCCGAAAGACGGCGCCCACTGACAGTGTAGTGTCCCCTTCACTTTTACTGGGGCATTAGGACTCACGCAGACCACGGGTTGAGCGCCCCCCCCTGCTGGCCTCACTACCACCACTTCCAACAGCAACCTAGTGTTCCCTAGTGGTCTCCCATCCAGGTACTAACCAGGCTCAGCCCTGCTTAGCTTCAGTGAGTAACCGGTCTTGGGCTGCAGGGTGATATGGCTGTGGAAGTCTGTGGAAGTCTTCTGGAAGTACGTCATATCATAATGTTGTTCAATATTTTTAAACTAATTATTTGTGTTGTTTTTATAAATTATTTTAATGATTATAAGCATTTTTATAACCTTTAAGATTTTTTTAAGCAAACTTTGATGCATCACTTGCTTTTGTCCATATCTCTGACAGTTTTCCTTTTGAAGTTTATTACAATATTAATCACAAGAAAACACGAGTTGCTCTACAAATATAATTTTATTATTTCAGGGATAAAAGCAAAAAATAAAAAGTACACTTACTAAAAAAATACAGATGTATTACAAATACGATTCAATAACATACGTTAGTGTAAAAGCCATGACTGGTGTAAAAACATATTCAGTAATTGTGTACCCGGGTCTCCACTTTTGCTATGATTTTTTTAGGCATAAACAAACTTATCCGTCAGGTTTTTTTTTTTCTCCAATTTTTTTAACATAAACTTTCCTCTTTCCCTCTGCTGTTGTTAATAATAATTGGTCATCACTTGCTTTTGTTCATATCTCGCACAGTTAACCTATTACAATTTATTAAAATATTAATGACAGCAGAACATGAGTTGCTCTACAAATAAATGTTTTATTATCGCAAAAATAAAAGCAAAAAAAGCACACTTAGGCCCCGTTTACACTAGTGCGTTTTAGTTTGAAAACGCACAAGTTTTGCTGCGGTTACGCCATCCGTCCACATTACGCCGGAGTTCTCGAGCGCCGAAAACGGAGCTTTTTGAAAACGCTGGAGAGGCCGTTTTCATTCTAAAACGCTGCTGCTCCGTCTCATTGTGGATGGGGAAAGACGGAGACATCTGAAAACGGAGGCGGGGCTGCAAACGTTCGCCTCTCTGATTGGGGCTTTTCCTCAATATTAAGTAGCCCACACATACAGTTCAGTCTCGCATCCTCTTCTTGTAAGTTCAGACTTCGCAAGTTTGATCAAGGCTGCAGTCTCCCCCTTTTCAGTTTGATATGGAAAACATACCGAGGACACGGGTAAATCTTCAAAGGGAACAGTGTACTTTATAACTTCATTCACATCACCTTGGCTACGTTGTTTCACTTTATCAACATTAAAATGTAAACATGATATAAGGAACTGCCTATTTTCATTTTAATATTAGCAACTTAACAGACAGCAGAAATGTTGAGGCGTCGTGCTGCATATATGGGCGTCATCTTCACTGTGTGGATATTTATAACAAAACGGAGCCGATAACAACTGCCTCCTTTTAATTTCAGTAAAAATACGAAACGCACCCTCTCTTTTGCTGAATATCAGTTTTAATAATCGATAATTATATTGTAATGTATATATTATAATGTATAACATACAATAAGTTTATACATTGTAGGAAATAAAGGCAAGCGATCGGTCAATGTACCTGGATTAATCATTTACTTGTCTTTGCGCTTAACCAAAACATGTTACCCGTGAACAAGTAACTTAATAGATTCCAATGACCAAAGTCAGGGAATATGTCGTTAGATAAAGACAACAAGATAAATGAAATATCCCGTTTAATAAATATAGTGAGATTAGATCCAGCGGGAGATGCTTGATGAGAAGTCCGACTAGCAGAGCTCTCATCTGGGTAGAAATGCTGGAGCGCTTGCCCGAGAGTGTCTGTGTGGTCACGTGATGTGCGTTTTCAGCGTTTTGGTGTGGACGGAGAGCTGTTCAGAAACGCTGGGTAAAACGCGAGTGTGGACGCGGATCATTTTCATTCTACAACGCCGTTTTAAAACTAAAACGCACTAGTGTAAACGGGGCCTTACTTAAAAATAAAGATTATAGATTTAGCCCGCTCCACAGTTCACACATTACTGTCTGGCTAGTTTCTGTCCTATTCTTATGCTAAAAAGGCAGTGATGGTCCAACATTCCTGACCATCATCAACAATAAAGGCCAGAGAAACAGGCCATCAGCATATCTATTCCTTTCCAGTAATCAAAATAATTTAGTGACTTCATTATAGTTTTGTAACTATTAAATTGTTTTTAATACAAATGCATCAGTGCAAAACCTATGACTGGTGGAAAAACACATTCTGTAATTGTGTACATTTTGCCATGGCCTCTTTTGATTTTAATAAACTTATTCTTCAGGTTTTTCCAAATCTTTTAACAAAAACTTTCTCCTTTCCCATGGCTGTTGCAATTTCTAATCAAGAATGATTGATTATCTGGTTATCTCTCTGATCACGACTCATTAGATGTGTGTTCAGTCGTACTGTTTCAGATAAAATCTCTTCAAAGTGTTTCATGTTCAACTCAAATCAGTTGCGGTGGCGTGCGCACTCTTCGCTCGAGTCTCAAAAAATCCCCTGCGCACCGCCAGCTAAATCATGCGGCGCGCACCCAAATTAAACCTCCGCAAACTCCACGATGATTCGCCGCGCGCACTCAAGCGAACAAGCGGACGCGTCGAGTATAAACAAGGCTTTACACTGCTGGAAACGCACATCACCTGACCACACACACACTGGCATGCGCTGCCGCATATCTACCCAGATGAGAGCTGTGCTCGCCGGACTGTTCATTAAGGATCTACCACTGAATCTAATCTCACTATGTTTGTTAAACGTGATATTTAAGTCATCTTGTTGTCTTTATCTAACGACATATTCCCCGACTTTGCTATTGTAAATCTATTCTTGTTCTCAGGTAACTTGTTTTGGCTGAGCGCAACGAGAAGTTAATAATTAATGTAACCACGTACATTCTGTATAATGACTGATTGCTTCCCTTTTTTGGTAAAACTTATTGTACGTTATATTTTTATAATGGCCATTATTGACTATTAAAACTGATATTCAGCAAAAGTGAGGGCATGTTTCGTAGTCATGTTAAAGGCTCTGTTTTGATATAAATATGCACACAGTGACGATGACGCTCATATATGCAGCACGACGCCTCAACATATCTGCTGTCTGTTAAATTATTAATATTAAAATGAAAATAGCAGTTCGTTATATCATGTTTTCATTTTATTGTTAAGATAGGGAAACAACGTAACCAGGATGATGTGAATGGGGTTATACAGTACACTTTCCTTTGGAGATTTATCCGGCATGTCCTCGGGAGTCCATATAAAACTTGCAAAGTCTAAACTTAAAAGGAGAGGATGCAGGCAGGACTGCCTAGTATTATGTACATTATTATGTATAGTATTAGAACTCCGTGTAGGCTACTTAATATTGAGGACAAGCCTCAATCAGAGAGGCGAATGTCTGTAGCCCTGTCTTCCGTTTTCTTTCAAATAGACTGGACAAAGAGTGATGAGCAGGCACCCACAGTCTTGCTGCTTTCAAGACCCCAAAATTTGTCTTACTGTAGTCAGCACCGGTTGCTTTCACTTTGAACAGATTATTAATTAGCCTAAAGTTAACCGTGTGCATGTGATCATCCTTTCATTATCACACGGTTTGTTTTTCACCTGCTTTCATTTGCTTACGGTTTTTACAATATTGCTTTAATGGGAGATTAAGGCCGTACTCACACTAGGTACAGTTGCCCCGAACCGGGCCAAAGCACGCTTTTCCCCCCTCCTGTCTCCCCCAACGGCCCGCGCTCACACCACAAATGGGCCTCAGCACTTTTACGTCATCGATGCTGCGCTGTTCAGTGAGAAGCGCTCTCTCACTCACCAGCACAGTGGAGATTTCTCTAGTTATATCGTTTCAGTCGTTTGATATGCAGTCAAATATTTCGCCAAACAGTCCTTAGGGATGCGGGGACACGCAGTCAGATATTTCGTCGAACAGATCCGCCACTTTTGGCACTCAAAAACAATCATAAAGCTCTCGTGCTGCAGGAATGAGGAGGTCTGCTGAAGGTGCAGCTGTGGTGCTGTGAGGAGTCCTCGTCTTTAATAAACTACGGCAGTTTGCGTTCACTGAACAGTAAGAATGATTAATAAATCCATATGAAACAGCCCCTTAAAAGTCACGTCTCGCTTTCAGTTTCGGGCTTTGACGCGTTTTGCACTCACACACAAGCGTACCGCGCTAAAGCCCAAGTGAACCGGGCTCAGTCACACCTCTTCCAACAGGGCCAGAGCCGGCCAAGTGAACTGTGCTTGAGCCCGATTCAGCGCACTCACACTTCTCAAACGATCCGGGAAACGGGCCTGGGCACGGTACGGATGGCATAGTGTGAGTAGGCCCTAACTCTCCATTTATGTGTAGTTAACTGGTGATCCGACAGACTTTTAGCCAGGACATATGACTGTTCACACAGTAACTGACTCTGAGTTAAAGTGACCTCTCTTTCAGAAACAGGCTTTACTTACCCTGCTTTCTCGAGTTTAACAAACCTGCCATTTTGAAACGTAAAACCCAGAGTTTCTCTCATTTCAGGGTTAAAATACTCTGAGTTTTCACTTAACCTCCTTTCTGAAACAGGCCCCTGGTGGAATGCATTGTCATACATGAATGTGGCCGAAAGTGGGCAAGCTGAAAACATTTCACACCTCATTCAGACTTTGCACTGTCGCATCATAATAGCAGGTGTGAACAGGGCCTGAGCTCCTTCTTCAGTTCAGCTATAAATACTGGAGTATTCCCATCAGTCTACAAGTGAACACGAGCATCAGAAGTGAAATCTGAAGGACGGTGAGAAGATGAGTGATCCAGAACCCTGCAGAACTGAAGAGGAAGAGGCTGAAACAGGTTGGTGTTTACTCCTGATTCTTCAGTAATGAGGCTGATGAACGATTCTGTGTAAAAACATTCATCACTTAGTTTAAGGACAAAACTATAGATTTGTTTTAAAGACGGACTGATAAATACAGTTTATTCGCAGTGGAAGGGAAGTAAGGACTGAATCTCAGTTGTGTTTTATTTCCATATTTAAACTCAGTTTGTGAAACATCATAAAACTAAACTGCACATGATCTGAGGAGATTGAGGGCCTACTCACACTATGCCATCCGTACCGTGCCCAGGCCCGTTTCCCGGATCGTTTGAGAAGTGTGAGTGCGCTGAATCGGGCTCAAGCACAGTTCACTTGGCCGGCCCTGGCCCGGTTGGAAGAGGTGTGCCTGAGCGCGGTACACTTGGGCTTTGGCGCGGTACGCTTGTGTGTGATCGCAAAACGCGCCAAAGCCCGAAAGCGAGACGTGACTTTTAAGGGACTGTTTGATATGGATTTATTAATCATTCTTACTGTTCAGTGATCGCAAACTGCCGTAGTTTATTAAAGACGAGAACTCCTCACAGCACCACAGCTGCACCTTCAGCAGACCTCCTCATTCCTGCAGCACGAGAGCTTTATGATTGTTTATGAGCGCCAAAAGTGGCGGATCTGTTCGGTAAAATATCTGACTGCGTGTCCCCGCATCCCTAAGGACTGTTTGGCGAAATATTTGACTGCATGTCACTGCATATCAAACGACTAAAACGATATAACTAGAGAAATCTCCACTGTGCTACTGAGTGAGAGCGTATGGCAAGCCGTTTTAGCATTTAAACCTTGTTCTGACTATCCATAAATATATTTAGAGATATCTCTAATTATATTTTGACTAGTCATAATTATAATTGGACTAGTCAGAATGACAATTAGAGATATCTGCAATTACAATTGTACTAGTACGAAATCAGATTGGAGATATCTGCAAATATATTATGACTAGTCATATTCCTCCATTGACTTCCATTGAAAAATATTTTCAGATATCTCTAACTGAGTTTTGACTCGTCAAAAATCCAATTCAAGATATCTACAACTGTAATTCGACTACTAGTAAATTAATTAGAGATATCTTCAAATATATTTGTAAATATCTCTAAATATGACGAATTAAAGACATCTCCAAATGTATTATGACTAGTAAAAACTCAAGAGATATCTCTAATTACAATTGTGACGAGTCAAAACTCATTTAGAGATATCTGCAAATATTTTTCAATGGAAGTCATTGGAGGAATATGACTAGTCATAATATATTTGCAGATATCTCCAATCTGATTTCGTAATAGTACAATTGCAATTGCAGATATCTCTAATTGTTATTCTAACTAGTCGAATTATAATTATGACTAGTCAAAATATAATTAGAGATATCTCTAAATATATTTATGGAGTCAGAGCAAAGATTTAAATGCTAAAAAGGCTTGCCATAGAAAGCGCTTCTGAACAGCGCAGCAGCGATGACGTAAGCGTGCCGAGGCCCGATATGGTGTGAGTGCGGGCCGTCGGGGGAGACGAGAGGGGGGACAAGCGTGCTTTGGCCCGGTTCGAGGCAACTGTACCTAGTGTGAGTACGGCCTTATTGTGCATTTATGTTTTGTTCAGGGTTTTAAACTCTTAATAAAAAAATCGTAATGTTACAAATAGGGCTGGGCGTTTTTTCCGATTAATTCGAATTTACGTTTTGACGACGATTTAATTTTATATTAAATCGAGAATTGCGATTTTTAAAAAATATATACATTTAATACATTATAATGGCACCAATGCGCTTTGCTTCACTCTCTGTATGTAGCAGGAAGCACACCAGAAGCGCCTCTCGGCGACGCGCTCCGCAGCACCACGCAGCGCCATGGATTTTAGAATTCTAAACAGGTTTCTATACACACACAGCCGCAACACAGAGCGCCATCTGATTCGTTTCATGGTAAATATCATGTGAATGTGCGCGTTTGGTGTGTGATAGTTTAAACTGTCATGTGCGCGCCGTGTCGCGGCGCTTCTGGTGTGCGACCTGCTTGACTGCCTGTTAAAGGAGTAGGGGGAGGCTGCAGACTTGGATCCAGACAGAACTACGGCCCAAGCAGTTTTACGGCCCAGGCAGTTTTACGGCCCTGTTGTTCCTGTTGTGTCCAGTAGAGGGAGGCAGTACAGTATTATTTTAAGCCTCCAGAACTTTATCGCACCCAACCAAACGCGACACCATGGAGAGGTATCTATGTTAAATACGTGTTTAAAACCTTAGCAAACATAAAACTTAAACCTATTTTTTTATTAGATTAAGGTCGATATGAGTGTATGTCAACACAAACAAATTGGTGTAGTATAACAGCAGTGTGTTAGTTTGACTCAATTTTAGCTATGTGCAGGCCAGCTACATGTTCTACATCAACAAAAGAGTAAAAGAACTTTAACCTACATAAGAAAGTGTGTTATGTAGGCTAATTTTCTTTTACCTTTTTGTCTCAGCAAGGGAGTAATTATTGTATATTTTATAATTATTTAAAGATATATATTTTCTCATAGATTAAACAATACACTTGCATGGTCTGGGTTGTCAGCCAAATCTACACTTCAATTACACTACATTATTCCTCTAAATTTGACTTTCTTAAATATTGAAATAAATCTAAACAGATCTGAAAATTTAATTGATTTTATTTTAAATTTTAAAATTGCATTGCTTTCAATTACAATCAATATGATTCAATCCTGTTCTAGTTTAAACAATTAAACTCATATATCTATAAATGCATAAAGAAACTCCCAATTATAAATGGTCTACTCATTTTTGTTCATATAGCTATACAGTACATTTGATCTATTACCAATGAAGTTTGCATTGCACATGCAATCATATTGTTTATCCCTTATTTTTTCATAATATTTATTGTAACAATACCTCTTCATTCTTATTAAAGCCAATCATTACTCCATATTACACTGTATTGTTTGGTTATCATTTTGTTATTTTCAAAATGCAAATTTATATATAAACAATACAACAAATGCATATCTCTATATGAAAACGTATAGCTAGGCTACAATTAACCATTACAGTATCCAACAACTTGTGTTTTTAATTTTTTTAATTAAATGAATTAAATTAATTTGCAATAGTGTTTTTGCAAATCTGGAATTATTTGGTGAGTGTATCAGTTCTGCATATTTTATAGTGAGTTTATAACTCATTTTATGATACATTAATCTAGCGTTCATATTTAGCGTAATCTAATTAAAATTATATATATTTATTAACAGGATATTTTATAATCTGGGAGCGTTGACTTCAAATGTATTATGTGGTCATGTATCTTTCATCCCCCCCTACTGAACGCATTAGGAACAACAGGGGCGTAAAGCTGTGGGCTGTAAAACTTTTTTTTTTTGTTCTTCAAATATACTTTATTCTTTGTTAATGATTTTCAAAGAATCGTTTTCGCGAATCATGGATTTTGAATGCGTTGCCACAGCTTTCGCTTACGCTTCGCAAATTTTCGTTTGCTGTTTTTTTTTTTTTTTTTTTTAGATTTTTTTTTTATTAACAAGAACCAGCATGTACAGTTACAGTTGTTTTGTTATACAATACAATCGCTTTACATTTCTTAACAAGATTGAAATAAGTGAAAAAAACAAAGAAGAGAAAAAAAAGAAAAAAAACAGAGGAGAGGGTACATAATTATCAAATTACATACAAATATGTTTCGCACATTTTATAATTTTAGTTATTTACAAGAGTTAGTAATGCACTTTTTTTTTTTTTACAGGAAATGCATATATACAAACATTTTATGTAAAAATGTTAAAGGAGGAGCATATATTAATTGTTTTAATTGCTTTTCTATTGTGAGACTTGGAAATCACTTTTATATACATTTGAATCTCTTTTGTGGGCCGTAAAACTGCCTGGATCCAAGTCTGCAGACGCCCCATATAGCAGGGGTTTTCAAAGTGTGAGGCGCGCCTCCCCTGGGGGGCGCCAGAGCATGTCAGGGGAGGCGCGGGAAAAAATATAATATAATAAAAATATAATTATTAAGTTTAATTATTACATGTATTTTTTATTATATTTAAACGTTTTAATTAAACAAAGAAAAAAATAATACGTCAAATATAAGAAAACCTTTTTTACCCAGAAGGCCATAGCTATGAATTCGCTTCTGTTTGGCAAGCCTGCCAATACAGGTATATGCCTGCTAATACAATGGGTCGGTTTCTGAGACCCCCCCCGATTCAAAGCTGTAATGAAGTTCACGGCCCTTTGGCCGCCGGGAAGAAGGAGGCGGAGAACTGAAGCAGTTTAAAAGTGGTTTATTAATGACAGTGACGGCAGCTCCGTCTAAACCAAAACAAACGGACGGCAGATCCTCATGGAGACTGCCGTCAAACTGAAAGCAAAAGTAAAATATGTCCGGGTCCGGTCCTCTCTCGGCTTCCTCTGCCCTTGTTCCTCCTTTTATGATCCAGAGCTCCTTCCGTGGGATCTGAGGCAGGTGCGCACCGCAAGTGTATCCACTTACGCGGTGGCCTCACTCCGTTCCCACGGCGCTCGGCCACGCCCCCTAGCCACAAAAGCCTTCAAGTTCAGGGCTTAAACCCAAAAGACGACGATATGATGATCAGTATTTGAGTTTATGATTTATGTGGACAGGACCAGCTGATGAACCACGACCTTTATGTGTGGTTTGTCAAAATATTTTGGCTAATGACAGCATTAGACCCACTAAACTTCCACTATTTTGACTGGGATGGACAGTTCTTGGAACTGTTCTATTCATATTGAACCATCATCCTAGTTTTAAAAACGTTTTATTAAAATACTTGTTATTACTCTGTAAATAATTGCACTTTTATGCAAATGATGATAAAAGTGAGTTAACAGTCTGACATCTGTCTGTGTCTCTATATATATATGTGTGTGTGTGTGTGTGTGTGTGTGTGTGTGTGTGTGTGTGTGTGTGTGTGTGTGTGTGCGTGTTTGGGAGGAGGGGGGCGCCAATGGATAAGTTGTGTCAAAAGGGAGGCCCACTGTCTTAGACTTTGAAAAACCCTGCCATATAGTGTTAAAGCGTGAAGTCATGTAGGATTTTACTTGTTGCATTAGTCTGAGTCACGTCTGTGTGGATTGTCAAGACATTCCCTCATCAAGTCGATAAACTCGATCTCAACATGTGTGAAGGATGTAAACGCCTGCCATGTGAAAAACCGCGCCGATCTTTTGGTTTGAACACGAGCAGAGGTGAGAGACTGTAGCAGTGAAAATGAAAGTAGCCGCCACCATGACGTCATTTAGCGGACCTAGTTGAAAACCAGACAGATCAGCCAGCATAATACAGAGAGTGGAGCAAAGCGCATCAAATGATCGATATTTAAAAGGGGAAAAAGAAAAACAGATTAAATATATTATTTTATATTAGACACATCTGGTGCTTGTATTTGCTCCTGCTATACGTCCACAACTTCACACATTGGGTTAAATTAGGCTTTGCACTTTCCATGTTCAGTCCTTTTCTTCCACTGTATCTTTTTAAGAAAAAGGCAGCAACTTTACAACCTGACATTCAATCAGAAGACAAAGACAAAGCCGAGCTGACAGCCAATCTTTCCTATAGGCTCAGCAAAACTTGCAAAAAACACCTCTGTATTCCTGCAACTGCAATATTTACACAAATATTTCTTATTCAAATCTTCAGCAACAATATTTAACTCGTGAATTTGTTTTATATTTATTTACACCTTGTGTTTTTGTATGACATGGCCATTAAAAATACAGTGTTCCTTAACCAGATGGTTTAAGTTACTTATAAAGAGAGTGTTACTTCAGTCATGTTGTTGTAATGTTGAGAAGACTAGTAACACAATAAAAAAATCTACATCAAATCGAAATCGTGAATCGGTCAAACTTCATAAAAAACCTAGAGTTTATTTTTTTTGCCAAATCGCCCAGCCCTAGTTACAAACCTGGTGTGGGTGTTAGAAAGGGATTTTGTTTCTGTGTCTGTTCACTTCGCTCTGACTTTGTAAGACTTTCTGAAAACCTTCATTTACTCTGATTTCAGACTTTATTGAAGAGAACGAGGAGCGTGACGGTGATGAACTTATAAAAGCCCAGAAAATCTCTCATCTACTGACTAAAGGTGTTTTCTTAATGCAACGAGGAGACAAGAAATGTTTCACCTGCACTCAGTGTGGGAAGAGTTTGGCATCCAAACAAAGTCTCCAGTTTCACATGAGGATTCACACTGGAGAGAAACCGTACACATGCACGCAGTGCGGGAAGAGTTTCAGACAATCAGCACACTTTAAACAACACAAGCTGATCCACACTGGAGAAAAAACACACACATGTGATCGATGCGGCAAAACATTTCTGACTGCTACAGAGCTGAAGATCCATCTGAGAGTTCACACTAGAGAGAAACCGTATTCATGCTCTGAGTGTGGGAAGAGTTTTACACAGCAGTCAAATTTAATGCAGCATCAGAAGATCCACACTGGAGTGAGAGAGCACATGTGCTTTGAGTGTCAGAAGACTTTTGTTAGAGCTGAATATTTGAAACGGCACCAGATGATTCACACTGGAGAGAAACCGTACAGGTGTTCACACTGCGACAAGAGCTTCAGACAGTCGGGAACCCTGAACGCACATGAGAGGACTCACACTGGAGAGAAACCGTACGAGTGTTCACACTGCGACAAGAGATTCAGTCAGTCAGGAAACCTGAAAGCACATGAGAAGACTCACACTGGACTTTCACATGTTTGTCTCATCTTAAGAGACACATGAAGATCCACACTAGAGAAAAGCAGCACACGTGACATCAGTGCAGCTAAACAGTTTCTCGTGTGTAACGAGTGTTTGACCATCAGCAAACACTGCTGTGAGAGATTAAGTGTAAAGTAAATCTGTCTGTCTTGAGTATTTGCTTCTTTAATAGCTTTGTTTTATTTGATGTTCGTCTCCATGATCACAGAAATGGTCAGGATACAAACATACATGTTGCTGATTTCAGCAGAGAAACATTAAATTCAGGATATTAGAACACTATTGATCAATGTTTACTTTTAAGTTTGTTAAAGGGCCATGAAACCCCCTCGTTTCAGCAGGGTGTTTTCACACCTCTACTTTGGAAAAAGTCAGAAAAGTGGGCGTGTCCAGCTCTGTTTAGGGGGGAGTGTCGGAGGAACTAAAGTGGGATGGTGTGGGAGTGTCTATTTGGGCACGCGCGAGTTTCAGTCAAAATACTCACACACAGTAGAAAGTGATGGTGTTTAACCTACATGGACATCTGTAGTGGAATTATTTGCCAAATTATTAAATGTTGGACTTTAACTGCAGTTTGGCTCTTTCATTCAGGGAATTCATTCATGCCTCTTGCGACAAACGAGATATTTGATTCGAGGAGCTGCTCTAAGCGTGTATTTTTCATGCAATGTTTGATACCGCACGGCGAATGAGAGAAAAAAAACCTCCGCATTTCCCGGAAACTTAGATGCACACGGCAGGTAGTGTCAGAAAGCCGCATGTGTTATTCCGGTCACAAACTGCGGTAAAAACCCTAAACGAGGTTAAAGTTTGGTTGTGGTGCTAACATGTTTACACTCGGTGCAATAGTTAGTTCGATACGAACAAACTGAATAAACAAAGAGCACTGGTCGCTCACTTACCAAATCTGTAGAGTGAAGGAATAAAATTACAGTCTAATGCTTCTTTTGAATTATATACATGTGCTCATGCTTATTTTGCATATGTATATGTGTTTGCTTGAACCATGATAATCTAATGAGTCCACGCAGTGATATGATGAGACATTCTGTTTGACCTTAAAATGAGACAGGAACTTTCCACCCCTATAATGTCAAATAACTAAATCTGTAACAGACAAGTCTTGCAGAAACCCCCTGTCTGGGTTGCAGCTGTGATGTGTGACTTTTCTATACAGAAAAGAGAACTGGAGCAGATGAGGAAAATATTGCTTTATTGTCTTACTAATCACTCTTTTCTTTTGATATATTTTTGCTATTGGAGGAATATACTCCCATTTGCCCCACTATTCATTATTTACAATATGTGTTTTTGTCAGATATGATGATGTCTCCTGATATAGCGTACTTCTACTTAACTCCTGTTATAATGCGTTTCTAACTAACTGCTAAAACCACAAGAGCTGTGTGTGGGTGCTGGCTGGAGACAGAGCTGCAGAGGGGCTTCCCCTAGATGGGTGCATACACAGGTCAAGAGTTCATAGACAGGACTAGGAGGAAAAGCAGATGTGGTAGATGCAGCATTTGTATACTGCTCTCTGTGTATGCGTGATGTTTGATGCTTTAATAAAATTGATATAATCCTGATATCTCTATAAGGAAGTTATGATGCTCAGCTGTGCTTTGATGATTTTTTGCTACAGTTGCTTGCTGTACCCCAGATGTCAGTAGTGTCAAGTATGTCAAGGAGAAGTGATACTTTCACCTGCCCTTTTGTTTCTGTGTGCAGAGGTATCTCTGTGTGCAGACCACAGACTTTTGAGAGATGATTCTGCCTGAAAACAGCTGATGGCAACAAAAGACATTGGGGGTAACTGATCAGAGGAGTGGCCAAAAGGATTGAACGCTGCTGATGGATAAAAGGAGGGAGTCGAAAGAGTTCGAGAGCTTTTGGAGATCCAGACTGCTTGGCTGACGGTTCTTCAAAAGCCCAGGATCCTGATCTTCGCTTTATTCACTTATGCTCGATAAATAAATTCATTGATTTTGATTAATTGACTCCTGACCGATTATTGAATTGGGTGGACTAAGGCAAGTGAGAAATAGTCCAACAAGAGACAGGACAATCACCAGCAACTAGAGCCGCGTCTTTATGAAGAGAAGACTACAAGCGAATCCAGATCTCAGCGTTTGCAGATGAGAACAGCTCTCAGGTAAACAATAATCCTCCTTAGACACGTAAGTTATTGTTGTCGAGCGTCGCGTACACTGTTAATCCACACGTGACTCCAGCTGCGCTCTCACAGAGAGAAAATGAAAACAAAACTGAACTGCAGCAAACTATAAAAGCAACACTTCACGCTTGTTTTGCCAACACAACGTGGCGTCTCTGTCGTCTAAACACTGTGACAGTAATGAATATTAATGAAGTTGCTCAATAGAGCGCGCTGATTGGTTTGAACCAAGCCTTACTCATGCATTAATGCATCACACTGTAAGACGTAATAAGACACACTCTGGCACAGACGTCCAGTCTGCACGCTGGAATACACACTATTATGTCATGACCGTGACGCAGCTTCAAAAATTTGTTTCAAACCAGAAGTACGAATTTGCTTGAAATAACGCAAAAACAACCAATTTACACTTTTTAGTGAAATATAGGTGTCCTAATAGTGTTTTTAGCAGTGTGGGACACATATACCACTGTCAACAGCTCAAAACATGTGTTCAGGTGTTTCGTGACCCTTTAAAGGAGTTCACACAGCTCAGCATCACTGAAACGTTCAGATATATCCGAGCTAATATTAACCTGTATTACTCAGCATTCTGAAATGCTCCATTCTGATTGGTCAGTTGATATATTCGGTTAAATGGGGTATATGCTAAAGCATGCTAATAGGACTTTTAATTTGCCAGTAACCTGGGTTAAGCGCTTCTGGCGAAGTGAATGCCAATGCAAAATCCGGTGCGTTTAAGGTCTGTTCTCTTTAAAAATCAGCGATCTCCACTAGCTGAGTGATTTCTGATTTAAAGTGGGTCTCAGATTGTACAAGAAGCTCTGCATTAAATTACATTCCCCCCGTCATATCTTTATAATATGAGCATTTACTTTACCCTAGTATATTTAATGAAGCTTCTGCGTTAGCCTGCTGATTCTGATGGGCGCCTGCGAGTAAACGGCTTTTTGTCTCGTTTTACGCTTGAGCAACTAAATAAATGCTAAAGTTTATTTAACTGAATGTATTTTAATGACATTACAACATCGATGCTGTATAAGGAACCGTATAAAATGGTAAAAAGTTCACAATAACAGGTCACCGGAGGTGTATTAGCATGGGAACAGCACTAGCTCGGCATACACCCTATTTGTCACCATCCATTGTGTAGCTACTGTATATCCGACATTAGTGTGGTTGGAGATTACCATCTCCATGAAAATGTGACTTGCGCCATCTTGTGATTCATTTCGCCTCAGTTGTGTTGTGGTATCAGGTCGGATTGTGACTGGGACACTTTATTTATTCTTTAACCACACTTCAGGTTTCTTATTGTCTTCGATTTACTTACAATCAATTATTTAGAGTTTGTGCTTGACATTATCTAGCGAGTTGTCCTTTTCTGTGATCTCAAAATTTAAGGTCTAACATGCGTCCATAACAATATTGTGAGGATATGATGTGTTTGGTTTAAAAAGCGAGTGTCCTACGAGTAGAGTATCTTTAAAATCATAAATAAATGTAGATCTTGGATATTACATTACCGATCGTGATTCTGCATTCTGCATGTGGTCTATAATCTTGTTTCTACATTAAACTTTTTATCCACCAAATTTATTTTTTTTGCCCCTCCATAATCCCAGGTGAAAAAAATATATAACTAAATTAGTGCTGTCAATTGATTAAAAATAATTAACTAATTAATCGCACCTTTTAAAAAAAATGAATCGTGATTAATCGCATTTAAAATACTGAAACTTGTAATTTTGCCTATTTAAATGTAAAATTAATGTAAACGCAGGAAAAAAATATTTAAATTCAAAATATAACTGTTTAATAGAATTTTTGTTTAACTTGTAACACAGATTTCTTCATGTAAACAACAAACCCACAATAAACCATCAAGATCCTGGCTTAACAGCCATATTTATTACAGAAATTAAAACACAGGCATGTTAATGACATTTAAATTTCAAAACAATCAATGCCAATAAAGAAAACATTGATTTCCTTGTTGGATTCTAAGTGGACTGCAAAAAAAAAAAAAAGCCAAAATACAGGAATTGCAGATATGGAAAATGAAAAATTATAATAATAAACTATAGAATACAAGCAGTTGCACTCATTGTAAAGTTTTATTGCTGTGAGTTGAGAACATTAATTATAGAGTAGAAACAATTTTGCTTAATCCTCCTTTACAATCATCCAGTTGCTAAGACTAGAAGTATCCCGCAAGTGCACAGAGACTCCCAAATGCCCGCAAATGAATGATAATTTCTTGCAAACCGGTCGTTAAATACATTGCACACCCCTCTCTCCCCTACTCAGATACGTCGCTCACTCCACCCCTGACACCCCTCAACGGGCCTGACACAGACACACACACAGACACACACACACAACGCGCTGCAGACGTTTTGGCCCCAACGGCCTTCCATACTGGAGCGACTCACCTCTGATTCAACACGCATGATCACGTTCATCAAATTTGCTTAAACTAAGCGTCCTAAAGTATTACTGTATTTCACAAGGATTCTGACACAACAACGCAAAGCATACGCTTTCATTGCGTTTAATGAGGAAACACGCTAAACTTGGAGGCTCATGCTGAAAGGCAGAGTAATGCCCTGTCTTTAACAGCTCGCGACTTTACCAGACGTTCTGAGTACATTTACATAAGACACCAATACTCCGATTTTAATATGATTAAGATAATACTCTTATTAAAATTCTACCGTGTAGCCTGTGCTGTATCAACTTACAACAGAAGTCGAAAGTTAAAAATGAAACACCCGAAATTGCATGAAACTCTGGATAACCTGTGATGCAACTAATTGTTTTATACTGGAACTTGCCTTCAAAAAGTGCTTCCTTGGTCTTATTTACATTTATTGCATGTTGAACACACGTCCACCACAACAAAAAGTAAAAAAAAAACTGAACTGCGTTAATTGCGTTAATTTTTTTAACGCGTTTATTATTTAAAATTAATCGCATGCATTAACGCGTTAATTTTGATAGCGCTAAATTAAATGCAATTAAAATACACTTAAATACCCGCAAATACACTTTTAGTACATTGTTATTTTTGTGTGTTAAATAAAAGTTTGATGGTTTTACACTATAAATATACCAATTAAAAGTATGTTTACTTCAGTAGGACTTTAGTACACTTGACAAAAGTATACCAAATACCAGTAATACTTAAATAAATTTTTAGTGTACTACAATAAAGTACACTACAGAAAAAACATCCAAGAGTTTTATTAGTGTGCATTTCAAGTGTGCTTTAAACATTAGTTGATTTCTAGTACACTGTTTACATACTAATCCCAAGTTTAAAATAAGTCTCTGATGTAATCCCCACAGTAGATGGCGGTAATGCTCTGTTTAAGAATGGGAACCGCCTATAATACAAGAAGAAGAACCAGCGCTTCTCCGGTCTCAATCGCCATATTGTAAAATAAGCTAACCGTATTTTCCGATCCAAGGAAGCCGAGGTGAGCAGTTTTTGGTGTTTTAATATCAGTTTTTTACTCAGATGTGAAGCATTTCCCAGTTTTAAGCAGCTGTGTGCAGGGTCGTGTCATAACGCGTTTCACAGAGGATGTCTCCATTAATACGGTCGGATGTTTCCGCTTTTCTCCACACATTTTGCGTGACACATGCAAAGATAGCGAGCTAGCTTAGCATCTCATTGTTGTTCTTTGTAATCTTAGTTATATTAGCAAAGCATTTTTTAGATTGATGAAGATAAACTGCACTGCTGTCTGTAGTTTGTTGTATTTTAAATATAGTGGTGTGAGAAATAATGTTTTCTTTAACACTCAAGATGAAGTGAGCTGAACTGTTGAAGATTCTGAGTGTTTATGAGGCTCTTCAGTTATTCAGAGCTGCTAAAATCCTCTTTATTTCATGTCAATAGTTTCTGTTTTTACCTCATTCAGTATGGTCATATATTAAGGTCATTTTATTGTCGTCAATTACAGTCCTAAAACATTATATTTACATGACTGTCATTGCAGTGTTTATTATAAATCTGTGATCAAAGATGTCTGATAAATAACATTAAACTTAAACATGATGAAAAACTAGCTTTATTAGATCAGAAATCAGGGTATTCGTGGGGTCTCAAAGTATTAAAATGTCCCAATCCTTCAATTCTTAGGCCTTAAAAAGTCTTAAATCCACTCAATTATTGTGTTGTCTGTCTTAAATCTTTTTTTTAACACTTTTTAATTTTCCTTTGTTCATGTTTAGCTGCCCAATCTGGCCATTAACACCCACACAATCACCAACAATCCATCCCGATAAAACAGAACTCTTTATTTAAAATAGCATTTAATTACTTTGATTACAGTAACATCGGTTTAAAAGTTATTCATTTATTTGCTGAGGATTCTAACCTGAACAATATTTGTTTTATTATTAAATTAATATTACTGTATTAATATCTATTAAATTCTAATTTTTGTAACTCTAAAATTTAATTGATAATAGTGTTAAAAATACCTTCAAAAGTCTTAAATGTAACTTGCAAAAACCCAGGAAATGGAAAGAGCTTTTATTTCCAGGTATGTTTACACATAAGAGAAATTTTTTTTTAAATGATGAACTGAAGCATCCACAGAATAACAAAATGACAGACAAAAAAGAAGAAAACAACAGCCTAATAAAGGAAACAAAAACTTAGTGGCTTGAACACACATTGACTAATGTTACTACAGATGCCTGTAGCCAGCTTGGGGAAATTTTTGAGGTTTATTTCATTGTTTTAATTATTATCTTTAAAGATTTAATTATGAGGTTTGAATACTGCATTTTAGTGACATATTAAGCACTTTTTTGCTCGATTATCTTGTTGGATGGTCATCACCACACATTTTGATGTAATTAAAACATTTCCTAAAGATTTAGAATAAAGAAATTTCATGCAATTGTCAACCTGAAAAATTTTTTTTCACCAAAATAGAGAAACCATTTCTAAATTTTTTTGTGTGTGTAAGCAAGTATTTTACAGTGTTTAAAAAATGCTCACAAATGTCTCTGTTAGTGTTGTCAAACTATAATATTTGATTTACCAAAGTCACACAAGTGCTAATTTGCACATCCGTCACATCCATAATGTAAAAAGTGTCACGTGACTCGCGTCCATAGCAAAGCTTTTCCCTCATGAATGCAAAAATGTCCAATAAAATAAACGATGTTTGTTCTATAGAGAGCAACTCTTAACCTTTTGATGAGCCTTATTTGTTTTGGGTTAAGCAGTTTAATTCACTGAATTTCTACAAAGTATGTTGCAGACTTTTTATTTATTAATTATTAATTAATAAACATTAATGCCTGTTTATTTTCCTCATTTAAAGTATAACATATGCTTGCAGAGTAATATTTTTATGATCCCATAACTCTGTTAGATTTTCTGGAAAATATAAACAGATGTTTCAATATATGTATGCTTTTGTATACATTTATCAAGTAAATTGAAAAGCAAACTGGTCAGCACAATTAACTTTCAGTGTCCCAAATTCTGTACCGAGAGCCAACACAGGCTTCCGCTTGGTCTTAAAGCTTTTTTTTTTTTTTTGTTATTTTCATAATTTATTATGTCATAGCAGTGTAAATAGCGCAAATCAGCTCGTGTGGGACAAATTCTGGACCTTTGTCAGTGTGGGCTGGGTTTTTTGTAACCACCTGAATAGAGCTGGACGATTTGGCCTAAAATCAAAATCTCAATTAATTGAACATTTTAGCTTTTACAATTAATGAACAATTATTTTATTTATTTAATTTATTATTTGATTTATTTTCTGTTTTTGCCCTCATAGTTCACTGACAAGTTATGTACAGTAAATGTCTTTGCATTATAAGGGAGAGATTTCTGAGTGTAGGGTGCATTGCTTGATTTAAAAAAAATGGAAGTAAACACACACTATCTACCATTTATGATTGTTTATTGAACATCAACTGAATAACTGAAATTAAAACATACATTGCCTAAAACGCGGCTGTCTGCGCCGTCCACCCTCGTCACCCCTGCCAAACCAACCAATCACAGCTGACGCTTGTCGGACTATTTCTCACTTGCCTTAGTCCACCCCAATTCAATAATCGGTCAGGAGTCAATTAATCAAAATCAATGAATTTATTTATCGAGCATAAGTGAATAAAGCGAAGATCAGGATCCTGGGCTTTTGAAGAACCGTCAGCCAAGCAGTCTGGATGTCCAAAAGCTCTCGAACTCTCTCGACTCCCTCCTTTTATCCATCAGCAGCGTTCAATCTTTTTGGCCACTCCTCTGATCAGTTACCCCCAATCTCTATTGTTGCCATCAGCTGTTTTCAGGCAGAATCATCTCTCAAAAGTCTGTGGTCAGCACACAGAGATACCTCTGCACACAGAAACAAAAGGGCAGGTGAAAGTATCACTCCTCCTTGACATACTTGACACTACTGACATCTGGGGTGCAGCAAGCAACTGTAGCAAAAATCATCAAAGCACAGCTGAGCATCATAACTTCCTTATAGAATTATCAGGATAATATCAATTTTATTAAAGCATCAAACATCACGCATACACAGAGAGCAGTATACAAATGCTGCATCTACCACATCTGCTTTTCCTCCTAGTCCTGTCTATGAACTCTTGACCTGTGTATGCACCCATCTAGGGGAAGCCCCTCTGCAGCTCTGTCTCCAGCCAGCACCCACACACAGCTCTTGTGGTTTTAGCAGTTAGTTAGAAACGCATTATAACAGGAGTTAAGTAGAAGTACGCTATATCAGGAGACATCATCATATCTGACAAAAACACATATTGTAAATAATGAATAGTGAGGCAAATGGGAGTATATTCCTCCAATAGCAAAAATATATCAAAAGAAAAGAGTGATTAGTAAGACAATAAAGCAATATTTTCCTCATCTGCTCCAGTTCTCTTTTCTGTGTAGAAAAGTCACACGTCACAGCTGCAACCCAGACAGGGACTTTCTGCAAGACTTGTCTGTTACAGATTTAGTTATTTGACATTATAGGGGTGGAAAGTTCCTGTCTCATTTTAAGGTCAAACAGAATGTCTCAGCATACCACTGCGTGGGCTCATTAGATTATCATGGTTCAAGCAAACACATACACGTATGCATAATAAGCATGAGCACATATATATAATTCAAAAGAAGCATTTGACTGTAATTCTATTCCTTCACGCTATACATCATTGTGACGTGTAGTTATGTTTTTTTTGAAAGGTGCATGGGTATTCGAAGGCTGCACCAGATCGTACGCGTGTTCTTGGCAGAAGTGTAATATCAGAATAATATAATGAGTGTAAATCATAATGTAAGTAATAATTAGCCTTAACAGAGCGGTAGGGAAAGTAATTAAAAAATAGATCGATTATACTTTGTCGATTTCGGTTACTTTTCAATTAATCGCCCAGCCCAACACCACAACTTCACCCATGCTAAGGGCCTGGATATATATATAGAAAATATTGTATGTAAAGCTATATTATGTGGAAATTAAAATGTAATTTATTGTCTTGTGTGTGTGTGTATATATATATATATATATATATATATATATATATATATATATATATATATATATATATATATTAAATATACATATATTAAACTCATTTTCTCCTTTTTATGGGATCTTTCTTAGTGTAAATAAGTAGGAGGATATAAATCGTACATTGATATATAAAGCTAAGCCAGTAACTGATTATTTTTTTAACTTTGCAGGTCTGCTCCTCCTCCTCCAATTCAGCTGTAAATATTGGAAGATTCGCATCAGTCTACAAGTGAAGAAGAGCATCAGGCTAAATCCACAGTTAAATCTGACGTAACATCATGAGTTTATTGAACGACAGTGAGAAGATGAGTGATCCAGAACCCTCCGCAATTAAAGAGGAAGAGACTGAAAAACCAACAGGTTGGTGTTTATTCCTGATTCTTCAATAATGCGCGAACGTTTCTTCTATAGTTACCCTGTATCTTTATTTGTCTTTTTGTAAATGCTTTCTATGCAATAGTCAGTGAAATTAGAATTGATCGACATCAAATGGCCAAAATAAATATGATTTTAAGTGTTTATTTTGCTTTTATACTTGTATCTGGTTTATAAATTGAAATGAGCAGAATATTGATTTATTTTTGGATGTTTATCTGTAATTGACTACAGTAGCTGGTTGTGTTGTTTGTGAACAAAAAAATATTCCATTTATTAGAGTTTTTAATGTAATTCAGTGTCCTAATGTTATTTAAATGTACAGAATCTATCTTCATAGATCTATGATGCATTTTGATTCAGTTGTTTACTGAACAGGATTGTTTTCGTAAAACGACTTGCACAAGTTACAAGGTAGCCTGTTGGGTGGGGGGTTTATTTCATTTAATACATCTAGAAATGGATTCATTTATAAAATTGACTACATTTTTGTCTGTTAAATATTCTGCTTCGCTTCATAATTGTTTGTGTTTAGACTTTCAGAAATATATATTTTTTTTGGATGGAAAAAGCCTGTCCTGTCTGCCGAACACAAAGCTACAAAAATAAATATGACCTGACATGTGACATTTGGAATAGTCTAGTATTAAATCCAACTTTACGATACGAGTAATTCTATTTTAAAGTAAGAATATAGTTAATTAAATAGGTACTTATTCTGTAAAAATCAACAGAAAGGGCTTAATTTAATAAATAGTTAAGAAATGAAAAGGATCTACCTCATTTATGACCTTTTTTCCCTTTATTTAATTGGACTGATTTGGATTTATTTGTATTTTAAACTCTTTTTGGCTGATGGCTGATGCCCATGTCTTTTGCTGTTTGTGTGTGTTTGAGAGGTGTTCATTTCCAGAGTCCACTTTGTACATCATCTTCCCCATAAGCTGCAGCTTCTTACCATACATTAAAATAGTGATTTATATGAACGGCAATGTTTAGATTTTTCTATTTGTCTCATGCATTCACATGGCATGAATTCGCAGGTCAGAGTTCATCAACTTTGAGCGTAGTATTCTTTGAAATGTGGAAATTTCCACACAAGCTTGCATTTCTGATCTGGTGCATCTGTATGTTTATGAAGACCCAAACATTAAGTTCTGTTACATAAAATAACGCTTAATTTCAGTATTTCAAATGTAACCAAGCAACAATAAAAGTCATTAACATAATAATAATAATAATAAAATACATTTGAAAGTGCCCACAAGATTATTTACAAGAATCTTCCTTTTTTCATAGCTTGTAGCTATTTGTCATCTTTAGAGCACGCCAACAATGCATGAAGCCATAAACAAAAGAATGCAAACAATGCGTTATATTAGCAGCATGTCAACAGTACATCATGCAGCCAAATACATTAATCATATGCTCACACTTAATGTGCAGTGTCTTATTATTCTTCTAGTTAAATGTCAAGTTACAGACCAGCATAAAGGTATATACTGCCACCTACGATCAGGATGTGTGTAAAATCATGCTTTAGCGAGGCTTGTTTGTGTCCACATGGCCTTTGTTTTGGGTGCATCAGTGTTATGATGTAATAGAAGGCGTCTAGAATTTGAGAAAAATCTGCGGCATTTCAGAAAAATGTGAGATCAGCAAAGTTTTCTTAATTTTGCGATAAATTCAGTGATTGCTAAATCCTGGAGGAACTGACTACGGCTATTCTAGGAGTTCTAGAAATCTAATTTGTGCCGAAACCTCTGAAATCTGATCCGGCACCTGTTTTTACTGATCCCCCTCCTTCTGCAATTTCCAAACCCTTTATCGTCCGTGACTCCTCAACCCTCTTCATCCGCGACACAAATGACGATGACTTCAATGGTGGATTATTAAAAGTATGCAATATTCACTGTATAAAAGATCCAACTTGTGATGTTGACAAATATGTTTATACTCACTTTTTTCTAATGGCAGCAAAAAACCTTTAAAATTCTGTCATTTTGGTCAAAGAGATAAGAGAACAGTTCAATGTCTTTTTATTTGTGGATACCCCCAATAACAACATAAATATTAGCTTTTATAAAACAAACCAAAATTATGAAAGAATCTCAGAACAAAGACTAGGTACATGCCCTACTGATTTTCTATACGTTTTGCCGACGAATCATTGAAGATAATGTTGACGAGTTCATGAATTAATGATTTACGGTTGTGTGCTGGCCGAGCTGTTGTTCTGTGGACATTTCCGCACCACAACATGATGCAACACAAAATTAAATGTGATTGTTTGATTAACCCTGGTGTCCTGCAGATTCTAGCTCTAACTTGCCTCCATACTCTTGCTCGGATGTTTCTAGAAAGCCTAGTACGAGCTTGATTAGCTAGCCCAGGTGTGTCTGACCGGGGTTGGAACTAAACTTTGCAGGACACCGGCCCTCCAGGACCAAGTTTGGGCACCCCTGGGTTAACCTGTCAGTCATAGAACACCATGAGCGGTCCATGACCATTCAAAGCTAATGTTCCCAGACCTTCAGCCATCAGTCTGAGGTAGATGAGGTGTAAATATTTGTTTTATTTTGTAACATCTGAGTGTTCATAATCTTGTCCAAGTAAGATGGAGAAATTAGAGGACACTAAACAGTAGTCCACATACATTTATTGCTGGTTCAAACGAGCCCATAAAATGGCACAAAATGGTACAAAACTCTTTTAGAACACTCATTTGTACCTCTTGTAGACTTTAACCAATCAAACCAATGCAAAGTTAGTAATCAGTGGAAGAACGACCAGTTATCTTCTGGACAAACTCTCTCTCTCCGCGTGTGACCGCACAATAAGACATAAAATCTGCAAGTTTGACGTACTGCCAGCAATGTGAACCAAGCTCCAGCCTCTTACACGTGGACAAAATGAGCTGCAAGTGACCACAGAGGAATGGCATACAACCTAAAAGTCTTGAACCAAATTTGACTTACTGCAAGCAATGCATACCAACCTTCTGCTCTGCAAGTAGAGAGACCAGACAACCCTTAACAGAGCGGCTCTGATTGGTTCTGTTAATAATTTTAACGCACCAAATTTGTAGGCGCAACCTGGGGCCTGTTCGGGGACCGCAAGATTACATATCTGCTGTTTCAGATGATGTTTTCCTGTTGCCTTCATTGAACCTGATGCTTCTGGGGTGGTTTGCAGTTGACTGATGCAGTGGGGATGACAATCAGCATCTACAAGCTAAGGCAATGATGCTCGACCATAAAATGGTGTCTTGCCATCTCCAGGCTTGAGCAGATTTCTTACCCCCTTCCAGGTTGGAGGACAGTCCTTGCCCCAATTGCTCAAGTATCTCTGGGTCATGTTCAAAAATGAGGGAAGGATGGAATGTGAGATTGACTGAGGGATTGGTGCACCAGCAATGAATTCAATGTACTGATCTGTTGTGAAGAAATAGGTGAGCCAAAGGCAAATCTCTAGATTTACTAGTCAATTTATGTTCATACACATCTATAGTCATTACCTTTGAGTCATGCTGAAAGGACAAGATGTCAGATACAAGTGGCAAAATGAGTTTTCTTCGCTGGGTAGCAGGGAGGACCCTTACACATATGGTGAGGAGCTCTGTCATTGGAGTAGAGCCACTGCTCCTCCACATCGAGAGGAGTCAATTAAGGTAGGTTTCTGATGCCTCTTGTACGCCTACCTGAGGAGGTGTTCTGGGCTTGTCCCACATAGAGGAGTCCTCAGGGAAGAACCAGGACATGATAAAGGAACTTTCTCACAGCATGCCTGGGAATACCTTGGGATGCCTCTTAAAAGCTGGATGAAGTGACCGCAGTTGGGAAGTTTGGTATTCCTTGTGGAGACTACTGCTCCTAGTTAAACAGTTGATGATTGATGGATGGAACTTAGCAATCATCTTGTGTTGTCATAAAATGTGTGGCGAAGGTGACCCAGAATGATGTCGAGCAGGGGTCACCAAACTTGTTCCTGGAGGTCCAGTGTTCTGCAGATTTTAGCTCCAACCCTAATCAAACACAACCGAACAAGCTAATCAAGTTCTTACTAGGTATACTTGAAACACCCAGGCAGGTTTGTTGAGGCAAGTTGGAGCTAAACCCTCCAGGGCACCGGACCTCCAGGAACGATATTGGTGACCCCTGATGAAGAGCATATGTCTCAAACTCAATTCCTTTAGGGCCACAGCGCTACACAATTTTGCTTCAACCCTATCAAACACAGCTGATCCAAATAATTGAGTCATGAACACATGTGTTTGATCGGGGTTGGAGCAAAACTGTGCAGAGCTGCAGCCCTCCAGGAATTGAGTTTGAGACCTGTGGTGTAGAGCAGCAGTCACCAATCTCAACTTGTTTCAAGTATACCTAGTAAGACCTTGATTAGCTTGTTCAGGTGTGTTTGATTATGGTTGGAGCTAAAGTCTGCAGGACACCGGCCCTCCAGGAACAAGTTTGGTGATCCCTGATGTAGAGGTTAGTGGAGGCAATGCACATAGGCATAATCCCTCTCACACTAAAGTGGTACTAAACAGCAGGGAAGAGCGGGTTAAGTTCTACTATGCAGTGTTGTTCCATTCTGCTGTCTGTACACTTAAATGTATAGCAATAACTTTTGCCTGCTTTAAGACTTCTAAAGCTTCCTCAATAACTTTTTTTTTTTTTTTTATTGAGTCAGATATATATATTTTTTTAATTAAGCTTCCGGTCTTACACATTTCTCTGTGATGTAATATATTGAATTTAATTTTGATTTCAGACCTGACGATGAAGAATGACCAGACACTTCATGTCAGTAAAAGTGTGACCTGCGACGTGTGTGGAAAGAATTTCAAATGCAAACGGAGTCTCGAGTTTCACTCGACGATTCACACGGGAGAGAAACCGTACACGTGTACCGTGTGTGGGAAGAGTTTCAGACAGTCGGCATACCTTAATCAACACATGATGATCCACACCGGAGAGAAGCCACACAAATGTGATCAGTGCAGCAAAATGTTTATAAAGGCATCAGAGCTGAAGGACCATCGTAGAGTTCATACAAACGAGAAGCCTTACTCGTGCTCCGTGTGCGGGAAGTGTTTTACACATCTGCAGATTTTAAAAAGACATGAGGTGATTCACACTGGTGTGAAAGAGTTTATGTGCTTTGCATGTGATAAGGCCTTTCTTACAGCTGGACACTTGAAACGGCACCTGATGATCCACACTGGCGAGAAGCCTTACAAGTGTTCACACTGTGAAATGAGATTCACCCGGACAGAATCCATGAAAGCACATGAGAGGATTCACACCGGAGAGAAACCGTACAAGTGTTCACACTGCGACATGGGGTTCAGTCGGTCGGAATCTCTGAAAATGCATGAAAGAATTCACACTGGAGAGAAACCTTTCAAGTGTTCGTTCTGCATCATGACATTCAGCAGGTCAGAATCCCTGAAAACACATGAACGGATTCACACTGGAGAGAAGCCTTATGGGTGCTCGTATTGCGATAGCAGATTCAATCTGGCTAAAGATCTGAAAATACACGAGAGGATCCACACTGGAGAGAAACCTTACCAGTGTTCGTACTGCGAAAAGAGATTCAGTCAGCTGCAAAACCTGAAAACGCATGAGATGAGTCACACTGGAGAGAAACCGTTCAAGTGTGCGTTCTGTGAAAAGCAATTCACCAGGTCCGAATCCCTGAAAGCACACATGAGAATTCACATCGGAGATAAGCCTTACAGTTGTTCATACTGCGAAAGCACTTTCAGTCTGTCAAGAGATCTGAAAATACACGAGAGGACTCACACCGGAGAGAAACCGTTCACATGTGATCATTGTCTGAAGAGTTTCTCGCAATTATCAAACCTTAAACAACACATGATAGTCCACACTAGAGAGAACGCACACAAGTGTGATCAGTGTGACGAAGCATATTCGTGTGCTTCGAAGCTGAAGGCCCATCTTAGAGTTCACACAAGGGAGAAGCCGCATTCATGTTCTGAGTGTGGACAGAGTTTTACGCTGATGTACGATTTAACCGAACATCAGAAATCACACACTGCTGAGGTTTCATTAGAGCAGGACATCGAAGCAGATGATCACTGCTGACATCAAATTCGTTGAGTGTGGTAAGTCTATTTTTTGTATATTTTCCCACTGAAATTATATGGTTGGTAGAAATCAATAATAACTGTATCACTATGATTGATTACAACAAAAACATAATGACAACTAGCTATTGGTAAATCATCACTGGCAGCAGCCAAACCACTTCTTATAAACAAAACAGATTACCCTACCACTCGTTAAGCAAAAGTACGGCTGCGTCCAAAACCGCATACTTCCATACTATACAGTACGCTAAAATCAGTATGCGAGCCGAGTAGTATGTCCGAATTCATAGAATTCGAAAATCGGTATGCGAGAAGGGCCCGGATGACTTACTACTTCCGGCGAGATTCTGAAGTGCGCATCCCATGCACGCTGCGCTATCCCATGATGCCCCGCGAGCGAATTCATGAATGGGAGTGAAGCGACTCAAATGACGCAGGTAGGTCGCATGACCATGACAAAATGGCGGATGTAGTACGTCCGAATTCCATTCATACTTTTCACATTCGTACTGTATAGAACGTACTTTTCTAACGGCCTAGTAGTGTGTTTACATTCAAATGCAGTACCTACTGAGTAGTAGGCGGTTTCGGACGCAGCCTACATCACAGAATGTCATTGACATAGTGGCTGGCTGCTTTTACTTATGCTTGCAGACAGGACTTCATCTCCATTAGTCATCATTGTTAAATGTACTGTGCTTTCGGGAAGTATTCGAATCAGAAGAATTCATAGAGCCTCCCTTTTGACATTTGATGCAATATTCAATTTCCTATAATGACAATGTGAAAGTGTTGGGTTTGAAATCTTTGCAGGTTCTTAAAGCAAGAGTCCACTAGTATCAGTTCACAAGGATTTTTAGACCTTTTCAGTGATGTTCAGGTCTGGGCTCTGGCTGGGCCACTCAAGGACATTCAGAAAGTTTTTGCACAGCCTCTACTTTGATGTATTGGCTGTGTGCTTAGGGTTTTTGTCCTATTGATAGATGAAACATCTTCCCAGTTTGAGGTTGAGTGCCTTGAAGCAGGTTTCAATCAAGAAGGTCTCTGTTCACTGCTGCATTTATCTGTCCCCTGACTAATCGTCAAGTTCCTGCTATGATAAACATCCCCACAGCGGATGCTGCTACGCCATGGTCACTGAAGAGATGGTATCGCTCAGTTGACTAGCGCTGCCTGCTTTTCTCCAGACAAAGGGTTAACTTTGTTTCATCAAACCTGAGAATTGTTTCTCATTGCATGAAAGTTCTTCAAATACCTTTTTGTCAAATACATTTTGCCCATCAGATGAGAAGTGCCACTGTGGCACACTATTCCACATTGGTTTCTATTTGTCTTAAATAGGCACCATTGGAACTTTGTAGAAGTGCTTTGAAGACCGCACAATGCAGTGGCACTTCAGAATCTCAGAATCTCTCTGCGAGCAATCATACAGGTGTGGATAATCTGTACTAGCTCGGCTACCTGCCCCCCAGTGTATATTCATCTTCCTAACTTAGTGATCTTATGTTGAATGTTGACCTCTGTGGATATGAGATACAAATCAACCACAATTCAGTGAAGACTCCAGAGTTCCAGAACACAGCATCTGATCCTGCCAGAACTAACTTTTTGTTGGCTGGTATTTCTTCAAATTTACATCATTTCAGTTTTGTTTGGAGCATCCCTTAAGACAGGGGTGCTCAATCCTGTTCCTGGAGATCTACCATCCTGCAGATTTCAGTTGCTACCCATATCAAACACACCTGCCTGTAATTATCTAGTGCTGTTCAGGTCCTAATTAATTGGTTCAGGTGTGATTGATATGGGTAGAAACTGAAATCTGCAGGAAGGTAGATCTCCAGGAACAGGATTGAGCACCCCTGCCTTAAGATCTCAGATCTGTGCCGGTGGCCACTTTAATGGAGTGGTATTGGTGCAACTTAATTTATGGAGGCTTCAATTCTGCAGAACTTTCTGTGCCTTTATACAATCTTGACTCTGGGATCTACAGACAATTCCTTGTGCGTCATGGCTTAGTTTGTGCTCTGATAACTTAGTGTACTCTAATCAAGTTGTAGGAACATCTCGAGATGCACCTGAGCTCAGTTTAGCGCAGGGGTGTTAAACGTTGTTGCTGGAGGGCCGCAGCTCTGCATAGTTTAGCTCCTATCCTTCTCCAACACACTTACCTGTAGGTTTCAAACAAGCCTGAAGGACTCGATTACTTTGATCAGGTGTGTTTTAAATAGAGTTGGAACTAAACTGCAGAGCCGCGGCCTTCCAGGAACTGAGTTTCACACCTGTGGTTTAGAGTCTCACAGCAAAAGATTTGAACACTTATTTTCCTTTTAATTCATGAAATTGCAAAGATTTCAAACAAGCTTCTTTCATGTTGTGATTTAAGGGGTATCTGTAGAAGTTTGAGTAAAATTATAAATTGAATCCATCTTCGAATACAATAATGACCACCAACCCTGTTCTTGGAGATCTACCTTACTGCAGTTGCAACCCATATCAAACACACCTGCCTGTAGTTATTAAGTGCTCTCCTGGTGAGTTTGATCAGGGTTGGAGCTGACCTCTGCCGGTTCTCCAGGAGCAGGGTTGAGCAGCCCTGCTGTTATACAAAAGTTTTAAGAAATTTGTTCATGAAAGGTGCTTCAATATTATGGTTATTTTTGCAGCTGCTGACTACTTTTAAATGTCCTTTTTGCTTAACGTTTTTCTGTGGATTATTAGGGTTAATCAAAATACTTTCCTCTTGTTTCTTTCATTGCAGATCTGATGGTGGAGAATTGAGAATGGAACCAACATAGGGAAAACTGGAAAACAAACTGAACTTATTTTTACAGAAAAAGAGCCTGGAGATATTTCACCTGCAGTCACTGTGGAAAGAGTTTGGCGATCTTTAAGACTCACGTGGAGATCAGCACACAAATAACACCATTGTGTTTCATAACTCAACTTCTGTACTGGACTATTGGAGTACTCTATTGGTCTTTCAATCCAACACCATGATGCCCCTGCAGCTGATCCTGAATCAGCAGTGAGAGCGGTTGAAATGAACTGAAAAGAGTGCATGTCTTACGCCTCAATTTACGCTGGCTGCCAATCGCCGAATTCAAAACCCTTTAAACTTCCAAGGAGAGTTACAAAGGCTTATTACAAGTCTTTTGAAAATATCTATGCATATATTCTAATCTATGTCAGTGATGTTACGATATATATATATATATAGGGTTCCTCAATTGATAAAAGGTTGTTGTTTAGTAGTCCAACTATTGATACTAGCTAGCATATTTTATCTTATTTGTAGTGTGGCAGAATGAAACTGCAGGTCGTCAACGCTTCACCTTCACTTTGTGTCCGTCAGCACCGCTTAAGTGGCATTGCTCACTGTAGAAATTGGGAGTTCATCAACTTCAAGTGCCACTGAAAGCGTCAGCAATCAGATTGCTTTATGCAACTACCCCAGCTCAGGCAGTAGCCGATTGCGGACTAATTTCATTGGCGATCACGTCAGCCCCAACCTCAGACACATCCTCTGTCAAGCGCTGATGCTTAAGCCCCATGTGAATCAGGCATTAGAGCAGGTATGATATGTAGTAGTGGATTATTATTGTATTTATTTTTTGCTGCCTTGTTGAAGATGCACCGATCGACCAGTCGATGACCAGAATCGGACCTTTTTTACTTTATTATTATTATTATTATTATTATTATTAGCCTTTGCATGACTGTTAACCGGCCGGTCATCTGTTTGATTAGCTTTTTACAATCAATCACTCGGGTTAATTGAAGCTGTTCCAGGTTACGAATGATCATTTTGACGAGTTACTCGTTAATCAACGGCAAACGTTTTGACCGATTCAGATTGAAAATTCAAATGCAGTTTTGGTTTTTCCGTTCAATCTGTGTTTAATACATTAGCTACACGAGTAACTATTCTGCTAGACACTCAAAACTGCTTTCAGAGAAAGGAAAGTGCTTTACCAGAGCAAGATACAAGATCAAAGATATCAGAAATTATTCATCGTCGAAAAATAATACAAAACAAAGCATTCGAATATTAATCAAAACATTTCATTAGCGTTTGCTTGTAATCTTTGGACTTTTGTGAAATAAGAAAGTGACTGTACAATTACAGATTTTGTTATTATAGCAGTTTGGGGAAATCTAATGTTTGTATGGATTTCGTATGAAGCAGAAACTGTTGAATGTGGCGTAATAATAACTCCGATGTTAAGTATTGAAAACACAAGCTCATCCAGCTAACCAACATGAACCTGTTAGATCTGTTTGAAGACCACTCTTATGACTCCACGTTAAGCTGTGGTATCGTTAAACCATGCCTTTGTTTGTTTGTTTTGAAAGTGCGCCCTCTATCTTTTGCTCTTGCTATTTCTTTTATTTTTATTGACTATAATTTAGTCAAAGTATGTTGTAATATTGCAAAATATTACTCGAACATTACTAAAAGTTGATAAGCAATAATGCCTTACTACAGCATTACAGCAAGCAGTCATTTGTTACCGACGTACATGTTTAGTTTTGCTTTTGGAGCGCATTACATTACAACTCTGTTCGTCAACACTTGATCCCTCCAACCCTCCTTATTCATCTCTTTATTTTCATCTTTGCTTCAAAATATTGTCAAACGAGCAGGTATAATTTGTGGTAGTAGCTCACGCAGTCTGCTCTGTGAAATAAGGAAGTGACTGTAAAATTACAGATTTTGTTAGTAGAGTAGTTTGGGGAAATCGAATGTTATATGGATTTCGTATGAAGCAGAAACTGTCTAACGTGGCGTAATAATAACTCAGATGCTATTAAATATTGAAAACACAAGCTCCTCCAGCCAACCAACATAAACCTGTTAGCTCTGTTTGATTTCACATTAAGCTGTGGTATCGTTAAACCATGCCTTTGTTTGTTTTGAAAGTGCGCCCTCTATCTTTTGCTATTTCGTTTTTTCATTTGATTACTTTTTCGAAAGTGTGTTGTTATGCGTTACTGAGACTGTGCCAAGTCGAATATTGCTAAAAGTTGAGCAGTAATGCCTTACTACAGAATTACAGCAGTCAATTGTTGCCAACGTGCATGTTTAGTTTCACTTTTGGAGCGCATTACAACTACATTCGTCAACATTTTTCTTCCCTCCAACCCTCCTTATTTATCCATCCTTATTTTCATCTTTGCATTTGCTTGTTTAAAAAGAGGTGCACAGTACTAAACAAACCCAGATCTGTCTCTGCATCCACATACTGTTGCTGTTCTGCTGTTTTGAAGTGCTGTTATCCTCTTTGTGAGATGCTTTTGGACGACAGCATGTGCTGGATGAATAAAATGTAAGCTATATTTGCTTTTACTGTTTAATCTGATAGACTTGTTTGCTTATTATACTCCCATGGTAGAACTTTCAAGTATCTTATTGTATTCTCAATTATCATATTGTATTATTTTTCTGTCTTTTATCAGTAAAGTTTTCTGAGGTTCACGAGTTTCTTGTGCATTTATTTGATTAAGCGGCTCTTGGAAGAATGCAGATTTGACTCGTATAAACCTTCACATCATTAAAGCATTGTTTTAGACTGTATATCTGCATTATTATTATTATTATTATTATTATTATCATTATTATTATTAGACTGGTTCTTGCTGCTCGAGTTTTATCTGCAACCAGAACTAGCATCTATACATCAGTTTTAGGGCTGAACGATATTGGACAAATCGGACATTGCGATATTTAGTTTTTCTGTGACATATTGTAATTATACTATACATATATATATATATATATATATATATATATATATATATATATATATATACATACAGACACTTTTGACTATTTTGGAGGTCATTAATAAAATACTAACGCTAATACTGAAATGGTTACGGCATTTCAGAATGGCCAAAACAACATTTCAGATGTTTTACAGTGTGTTTGGCCTGCTGGTTTGTCCATCCACACCCATTTTTATCATCACATGATCTTTTATAACTAAATCACATTAACTTTTTTAATGCATACTTGAATTTGTTTAGTAAAAGTGTTTCAATCTTAGTTTATGCGCAACTTATCGAATAAATAGGTTATATTTGGCTAGCTGAGAGCATTCTATACTGTACAGGAGACGCAGAGAAGATTGATTGACAGTGGTCTACAGCCAATCAGGATGCAGAACACGATGCGCTGTAAAAAGAGGTCGCCACAGCGGAATGAAACGCCAACTATTCCAGCATATGTTTTACACAGCGGATGCGCTTCCAGCTGCAACCCAGTTCTTGAAAACACTCATTCACACTCATACACTACGGCCAATTTAGTTGATCAATTCTCCTATAGCGCATGATTTTGGACTGTGAGGGAAACCGAAGCACCCGGAGGAAACCCACACCAACACGGGGAGAACATGCAAACTCCATACGGAAATGACAACTGACACAGCTGGGCCTCAAACCAGAAACCTTGCTGTGAGGCAACAATGCTAACCACTGAGCCACCGTGCTGCCTGTTCAAAAATATGTTGGGCTGATTACTTTCTACGAAGCCACATTAGCATATCGGGAGGACATCTTTATCTTATGTTACTAAATGTTAAAATCAAGGAACATGGCTTTGAGAACGCACTTAAATTCACTTTGATCAGTGAGTTTGATCTGAGTTTTTGCTTGCAAATGTGTGATTTTATTTTCTGTATTTCTTTTTTCAATCATTTTTTAAACTGTCCTCAAAAGCCACCTTTGTAAATGGCCAACTAAAAAAAGATTGGACAATAAAATGCTTGTCCATTTTAAAATAAAAAGCAAATTCAGGAAGTATTTTTATTCTCTGCAGATCAGCTCCTCCTCCACCAGTGAAGCTCCTCCTCCACCAGTGAAGCTCCTCCTCCTTCAGTTCAGCTATAAATACTGGAATATTCCCATCAGTCTACAAGTGAAGACGAGCGTCAGAGCATCAGGAAGAAGTGAAATCTGAAAGACAGAGTTTATTGAAGGACAGAGAGAAGATGAGTGATCCAGAACCCTGCAGAATTAAAGCGGAAGAGGCTGAAACAGGTTGGTGTTTACTCCTGATTCCAGAGTTTATGCACTTCTTTCCTGCTTTAATACGTCAATAATACCTTGTGTTGTTTGGACAGTTTGCACGGTCCTAGAGGGCCGGTGTCCTGCAAAGTTTAGTTCAAACTAGTGGTGGGCAAAGCGAGGCTTCGTGAAACACTGAAACAGTCGAAGCAAATGTGTCGAAGCTTCGAAATGTTTCGAAACCCCACTCTAGAGTGACACCTAGTGGTCATTTTTATGTATTGAACTGAAACAGCTTCCGCAAAGAACAGTTGAGCAAATTGAGGCATTAAACCCCACTTTGCAAACTACAGCCTTCAAGTAATATAGTGGGTTCGAATCCAGGCTGATGTTGTTTTGAAATGCTTTAATACCAGTTGGCAATGCTTTGCTCTTGTATCGTTTTGTTTCAACATTGGTCTGACATCCGAATAAACAATTTGTGAATAAATAGGTCTTGTTTTGGTCTTAAAACAGGGATCTAATGCTAGATCATAGCCTGAAATTATCAAGAATTATTTATATTATTCATTACATTTCCCATTTATTGTATTTTATTAATGTCTACCCAAACCCACAAACTATCACAGTGCTGTAAAATTATTAATTATAGTTTTACAGTGTTACAAAAATGAGGCTATATTGAGGGCGTAACTGCAGCTGTATCCAATTTAGGCTACACAAAACAGAAACATGATTAAAATACAAGAAACCATGATTTCAGAATATTTGTACAAGTCGGGATTCGAGCCCAAAATGTAATTCGAAGTACAGAATCAGCATGCACACGTGCAGTCCACTAGGCCGTATGAAACAGGAAGTTTTTCGACCTTGGCAGCCAAATGAAGATTTGCCAGGTCTCGAAACGCTTTTAAGCTGATCCATGCTTTGAATCGCATTAGTCATGTGACCAGGTCTTTTGAAACACTTTAGTCACGTGACTTGGGTGCTTAGGATCATGCTTCGGTGCAGTGTTTCGAAACACTTGCGCTTCGGGATCTCGACACTGTGTCAGTTTCACGTCAGCCATCCCTAGTTCAAACCCATTCAGGCACACCTAGGCAAGCTAATCAAGCTCTTACTAGACTTTCTAGAAGCATCCTTGCAGGTGTGTTGAAGCAAGTTGGAGCTAAAATCTGCAGGACACCGGCCCTCCAGGACTGAGCTTGGACACCCCTGCCATAGAAGAACCAATCCATCGTTGATTAAAACTTTTTCAGTCTGTGTGTCCAAACTAATAACTTAAATAACAGGCTTCTTTAAGACATTTATTATCATTTAACTTTATGAACTATACCAGGGGTCACCAAACTTGTTCCTGGAGGGCCGGTGTCCTACAGATTTTAGCTCCAACCCTAATCAAACACACCTGAACAAGCTAATCAAGGTCTAACTTGGTATACTTGAAACATCCAGGCAGGTGTGTTGAGGCAAGGTTGGAGCTAAACCCTGCAGGGACACCGGCCCTCCAGGACCAGGATTGGTGACCCCTGAACTATACTATTCTTAATGGATTTTCCATGTTAGTCGCCAGCCTTTAATTTTCTCTTTGATTTCAGACATAAAGATGAAAAATGAGGAGAAACTTCATCATGTCTTGAAATGTTTGACCTGCACTGATTGTGGAAAGAGTTTCGCATCCAAACAGAATCTCAAAGTTCACATGATGATCCACAATGGAGAAAAGCCATTCACATGTAGTCAGTGTGGGAAGAGTTTCAGACGGTCATCCTCCCTTAATCAACACCTGCTGATCCACACCGGAGAGAAACCACACAAATGTGATCAATGCGGCAAAACCTTTTTGAAGCTTTCAAACTTGAGGGAGCATCTTAGAGTTCATACGAAGGAGAAACCTTATTCATGTTCTGAGTGCGGAAAGAGTTTTACAGTGCAGTCAAGTTTGATGAAACATCAGAAGATCCACACCGGTGTGAGAGAGTTTGTGTGCTTTGAGTGTGGAAAGACTTTTATTACAGCAAAACATCTGGAGCAACACCAGAGGATTCACACTGGAGAGAAACCGTACGAGTGTTCACACTGCGACAAGAGATTCAGTCACTCAGGACATCTGAAAGCACATGAGAGGATTCACACTGGAGAGAAACCGTACAAGTGTTCAGACTGCAACAAAACATTCAGTTACTTAGGACATATGAAAGCACACCGGATGATTCACACTAAAGAGAAACCTTACAAGTGTTCACACTGCGACAAGAGATTCATTTGCTCAGGAAACCTGAGAACGCACCAAAGGATTCACAATGAAGAGAAACCGTACAGTTGTTCACACTGCGGCAAGAGATTCTGTCAGTTAGGAAACCTGAAAACACACGAGATGATGCACACCGGAGAGAAGCCGTACAAGTGTTCACACTGCGACAAGAGCTTCAGTCGGTCAGGACATATGAAGAAACATCAGAGGATTCACACTGGAGAGAAACCGTACAAGTGTTCACACTGCGACAAGAGATTCAGTCGGTCAGGGTATTTGATCAAACATCTGAGGATTCACACTGGGGAGAAACCATACAAGTGTTCACACTGTGACAAGCGATTCAGTTGCGCTGGAAATCTGACAACACATGAGAGGATTCACACCGGAGAGAAACCTTATAAGTGTTCACACTGCGACATGAGATTCAGCCACTTAGGAAGCCTGAAATGGCATAAAAGGATTCACACTGTAGAGAAACCACTCTAATGACACTGATGTAGCAAAACATTGTAATGTGTGGTGTTTTTCATATTAATGTAACTAATACCTTAAATATTGTAAATACATCCAACTTCTGTATGAATCAATTCAGAGAGGCAGAGTAATTGCATTTTTAAAATGGAAGTTTTGGTATTAAACCAGGCAATGCTAACCAGGGTGACATGATGGTGTGAGATGAGCAATTTGTGACTTGTTTTATTAATTAGTTAGGATTTTTAGATAAATCTAACACTTTGTTAGCATGTTGCTACCACATGTTGGTAGTCCTGTTTACTAGCCAGGGTCAAAAAAAGTAATGTTGCTGTGATCAGGGGGGGAGTAAAGACTATTTTAAGGGCCCACACATTTAGGGGGCCCCCAGAGACATTGTGCCCCCTTCTCCTCCCCTCACCCCAACCACCCACCCGCTCTTCACTTTCGTCTGCATCCTTTTGCTTGTCATAGGGCCAGTGAAGGCCAGCGGCACCCCTGGCTGTGATTAAAAAAAATAGTACAATTTGGTTTCTGACGAATTCAGTTTTGTTTCTGGGAAGTGGTTTGGCAACCTTCAGGCATGATAATCAATGGCTACATTTCATTATTAACAATGATTAGACGATAGTACCCAAGATGTGTTACTTGTATAGGTTTAAATCAGGAACTATGCAACTGTCAGCATAGCTGCTCTAGAGAAGGAACCTTCTATTAAAAGAGCCAATCATTGAGCTGTAGACTAGTGTGACCAAACTCCGTTCTGGAGGGCTGTTGTCCTGTGGAGTTTAGTTACAACCCCAACTAGACACACCTGAACCAGGTAATCAAGCTCTTTCTAGGTATAATAGAACTTCCAGGCAGGTGTGTTGAAAGAAGTTGGAGCTAAACTATGCAGGAAATTGGCCGTCCAGGACAGAGTTTGGGTACCCCTGCTAACACAATGCCTGAATAGTTTGCATCTAGCAGGATTCTAACTGTGGACATTCCGCTGAGACTGCACTACCCTCGGAAGCCTTGCAGATCGTGAAAGGAGGTTTCAAAAAGCATGTTCATGACATCATGTAGTCTGAACGGCACAGCAATACCGAGTAATGTAAACTAGGCTAAAGCAGAAGTAAACTTTTTTTTTTTGTATTAGGTCCTATCCCCTGCCCTGTCCCAAAACATGTCCCAAGCCTACAAGCTTTAGCCATTAGATAAGGAATACCTTGGATGAGGAATTTTTCTGAACCGACCCAGGGATCCCACTATATTTGATCCCCTTTCGAAAAGAACCACGGGGAGCTCCCGCCTGGTACCTTCACACCACAGCTTTCCTGATTTCTCCATACACTTCAAGCGACTCTCACCTGATCATCTGCTTCCATTCCTAACATCTGAAATGGATCATCTTTCCAAGAGTCCTTGGCATACTTCTGTCAGGCCACCTCAGTCCACGCCACCCACCTTTACAGTTGAAATACCCCCCTCCACTACTACTAGTGTGTCAGCAGTTCCAAGTTTCCCATTCCTACAGTCCAATCCCTCAATTCTGGCTTCCTTTCTGAACAAAACCATGGAGAGATCTTTCAACCTTCTTGCCTTTCATCTGCTGCTACACAGAGCCTGCATCTGCTCTGGTTGCCAGTGTCTTGGTCAGCTGTGGTATTGAGGGTGGTGGGAGCACTGGTTATTCTTTCCCTCTACCATCAGTCTCGCTGCAGCACTCAAACCTTTTAATCACAAGTCTAGCTCTCTAACTATTAGGTCAAGGCTTCCTCCATGGACTTCAAACGAATCCCACTAAATGGATAGTTAATGGAATTGGCATGCACTTACCACTGTAAGCAACTCTTCAAGAGAGCTCAACATACCTTTGTCAGCAGTGGCGTAGCGGGCGGGCTCGCAGGGCACGCTCCGCGGGGGGGGGGGGGCCCGCGTGATTAGGGGGCCCTGCGTCCTCACGATTTTCAATAATTGTAAATCCGGCAACAGCAATAATCAAACTCTTGGGAACAACTGTGGTCGGAACCAAAGTTCACAGGTCTGTGTTCGCTGAACTCCTCTCAAGCGGTGGACTACTTCATTCTGATTGCTTCCCACTGACCCGCGTCATAGCTTATACCATAAAGTTGACTTGATTTCAACTATCCTTGATGCTTACTCCGGAGAAGACGCGCCGGGCTGTTTCTCGTCGCCGGTTCTCATTGAAAATGAATGACTTCGGGCTACTTTGACGCTCTTGCTGCTTTCGGTTTGTGATCGCTCCTCAGTTTGTGAAGGCTTCCCCGTGTTGTCGCTCCACCCCGCCTCCTCTCCCCGCTCCTCAATTTGTGATCGATTCCCTGTGTTGTCTCTCACCCCCCCATCCTCAGGGGGCCCCGTCGGTGATCCCTGCAGGGGGGCCTTCGCATTTTGCACTACGCCACTGTTTGTCAGTGCACGTTAGTCCACTCCACCCACTCCTAGAAATACCCACCCCTACTTCTACTAGTGTGTCAGCAGTTTCAGGTTCCTCGTTCCTAGATCCAATTTGAATCGCACCCACTTACACTTGTGAAATGGAAACTGATCCAGGAACTGTGTACTGTAAAGTTCCTGTCAAGCTCTGACAAAGTCCCACACATCAATCGCTTTTCTGATCCTTTCTTCAACAAATGGCAGGTGAATCCCTCATTGTAAGCGTGTAGATCGCTGAAGCACCCATCAGAAAAATGACAGGGACACAGCACAGGGCTGGGGCTATAATGCTGAGGTATTTTTGCACATATAATCTTCAACCACTGACTCTTCACAGCCTCATCTTTGGGTAGAAAAAAAATAGCACTAACTTTCCCCTCACACTTTAGAGCACAGCTTCTTCACGACATGGTTCAGCTGGGATCTGCTGCAGTGTTTGTCTTCCTCTTTTTCTTTCTGCAGTGTTTGTGGGCGGAGCCGGGGGTTTCAATTTTGCCAGGTATGCACACGCAATAAATAGGCGGGGCTTGAGTCATCGATGTCAGGCTGACATGGCTAAAGACTCGTTACCCCCACAATTCATTTGAACCACTCTGAGTCGACTCTTTTATAGATGAATCAATAGTTTTAAACGGCGCACTTTCAGATTTAAGCCTTAGCTGGATATTTCACTTCACTCAGAGCGGTGCTACATGCAGGTCATTTTCAAAAACTCATAATAAGGGCTCTTTAAAAAATCAATTAATGTCAAAAATTGTAAGGCTATAAAGACCTATTTGGAAATTATAATATTAATAATTAGTGAATTTATTTACTTATTTATTTTTGGGGGTAGTTTTGCTTGTAATTTTGGTCTGAACTTTTATTTTCCTGTTTTTATTTTTATTTAATTCTTGGTTTAGTTCAGTTTTGTTCACTAAACTTTCATTTTCGTCTTTGCTTTGTAACTTCTATTCTTTTATCAATATTTTAAATTGAACATATAGTAATTTACAACAACTTGGCATTATCAGTACATCTTCACATTAGGAAAAACAAAACCAAAAAGGTCCAAATAAAGAAGAAATGACATATATTAACATAAAAATAGGTAAAATAATAGGTATCTAAACATAATACAATAAAGCAAAGGGGATAGGGTATTTTTTCTGTAATTTGTACTTTTCTATCAAAGACGGAAGATTAATTGTTTTGCTTTGTTATTATATTTTCTTAATAAAAATATGTATTTTTTGTATGCTATTACACCGCCGAATCAATAGATGGCGCTGAGTTTATGCGAAACGCGAGAAATCCACTTCCTGACACAGTTGTAAACAGGCTGCTGCTGTGGAAAGACGCAAATTCTGTTTTTCACAGGTAGGATAGTGTTAAATAAATGTAATTTCTGCTGTACATCTGTTAATCAAAGCATCATTCACAAGCCTTTGCTTGAGTTTGGAAGTGTTTATATGATCTATTAAGTGTTTTGATGTACTGAGGGTTATAAACATGGACAGAGTGTGTTTCGATTCGTGTAAAGCCTGATTTATGTCAGCTGATGTTATGAAAGGGTATTGTCTGACTGTAGTATTACAGCCATGGCTTGTGTTGTTATGTTGATCAAGAGTTTTCAGCTCAGTCACCATTTTGAGTGTGTCCTCTCTGTGTGTGTGTGTGTGTGTGTGTGTGTGCGCTCGAGTAAAAGAGGAATGATTATATTAAATTAACATGTCAGATGTAATGAAATCTGGTGTTTTCTAAAGAAGTCTGGGCTTTAAGACTTTGTTATTTTGATAATTGCTTTGTTTTTTTTGTCAGCTATGTAATTGTTATTATAAAATCTGTTTAAGATAAGGTGTTTTGTTAGATAGATATTGATGGCCCTGTATGGGGACTTTATATATTTGCAATTATACATTATTGACCATTTCAATGTGGTGATGTCATTGGCCCGTTAAAATGTCAGGCTTGTTGTTGAACTATTTCATAACTGTAACAAGAGGCAATTCAGTAATAACTTTACATCAAAACACCTGCCATAGGATTATGTGCCAATATGTGGATTCTCGTAAGTTAAAAAATGTAAAACAGGAAATACGTTAGGACCATAGTTATTGCTTAGATTCCTCAAAATGGTGTATACTAATCTCAAATGAGTATTAAACATATTGTACATATCAAGTGTCTTAATATATCTGTTGTTTGCATTACTGATCGTCAGATGCGCACTTTATTTGTTTCGTTATTGGGAAAATCTACACAATCTTGCAAGCTTATGCATACATAAAGAAACTGTGTTCCTTCTGTGATTATTGAACATCAGTATGTACACAGACATGAGTACAGATGTTATTACACATAACACAGTAATTAAGTATACATATGTAAACCATTGTCTAAACCAGGGGTAGGCAACCCAAAATGTTGAAAGAGCCATATTGGACAAAAAAATATATATGTCTGGAGCCGCAAAAAATGTAAAGCCTTATAATGAAGGAAACACATGCTGTATGGATCTACAGTAGCTATATTAGCGTACTATAAAAATGACTAAGTTGGCTACAAATACATAATAAGCCTTCATGATTGAATAGCTACTGAAATCAGGTGGTTGGTGTTTTTTTCGTTGTCATTTAAACACTTCAGCACAGCCTCTGGTCTTTCAGTGGTATTAATTTGATCATTTCTTCTTGCGGCTCATCAGAGTTCACATACCTGCATAAAAGCTCATTGAATATCGGTCACATCACAGGCAATTGAGTATGCTGGCACTGAATTAATGTCCTTGGTTTGCTGATCGGTGATGTTACCTGCCATTTTAATAGACCATTCCTTCACTGTCTTAGCGGAGAGAGGTATATCTTTAATTTTTTGTATTATCTTGGTTTTGAATTCTGCAAATAGGTGTTCTAATATGTTGATGAATGACTCGTTCATGTAGTCGCCATCTGTGTACGGTTTTCCATGCTTTATTATCTCCCGGTTTGTTTACAACAGCCACCTGCCTGGCATCCCGCCCTGCTGATAGAAACCTGTGTCGCAGGTTATGACGCAAATCTTTATTGACAGAAATGTTGAAATTAAATATTAATTCTACACACTTTTACAGCACTTGAAAACGTTAAAAATGTTTGTCCTCCTATAGAAATCATATTAAAACAAAAATATATACTAACCTTCTCCATCTTTTTGAACATTTTTGAAAAAGCTCCAGGGATCTGGAGCCGCGGGATGCTGACCCCTGGTCTAAACTGACAGAATCTATATTAATAAATAGTTCTTTTTATTTATAAACTAAACCATCGTTTGCTACAAATGTAATCTATTATGTTTAGTAATTGATTAAATTGAATAATTTGATAAGTTTCAGGCATTCAAAATGAATTTTAGTTTTGTCATAAAATAGATGTCTGTGCTGTGTGTATAAATGCATATGTGCAAGAAAATAATTGTTTATATTTAGATTAACGATATAAAGGGGTTGGACAATAAAACTGAAACACTGTCCAATTTAGTGCTGGAGTTTCATGGCTAAATTTGACCAGCCTGCTGGCCAATCTTCGTATATATACACAGTTAAAGTCAGAATTATAAGCCCCCTTTGAATTTTTTTTTTAAATGATGTTTAACAGAGCAAGGAAATTTTCACAGTATGTCTGATAATATTTTTTCTTTTGCAGAAAGTCTTATTTGTTTTATTTTGGCTAGAATGAAAGCAGTTTTTAATTTTTTAGACACCATTTTAAGGACATGGTTATTAGCCCCTTTAAGCTTTATAATTTTTCTCGGTAGTCTACAAAACAAATCATCGTTATACAATGACTTGCCTAATTACCCTAACCTGCCTAGTTAACCTAATTAACCCAGAGTTAAGCCTTTAAATGTCACTTTAAGCTGAATAGAAGTGTCTTGAAGAATATCTAGTCCAATATTATGTGCTGTCATCATGGCAAAGATAAATGCACATTTAAAAACAGCCACAAGGCTGACCAAAGTGCTGAACGTAAGACAGAGTTAGGGTGCTTTGACACCTACACTTTTGTATCGGAACGTGTCTCGTTTGCCCAGTTAGCGCGGTTCGGTTGGCATATGTGAACAGGGCAATCGCGCTCTGTTCCGCGCCAAAGTAATCGCTCCGAGATCGCTTGAATGAGGTGGTCTCGGCTCGATTGAAACGAACCCTGGATCGGTTCGATTGCAGTGAGAAAGCATTCCGATCCGAGCGCGGTTGTATCACTTTGTTTTATGGATATGTAATAGGCTTACGGCTATATGAAGAGAGAGTTATGAGTAGGGCGGGAAGTTTCGGGAGTCTCCGGATGCCCGCAAACGAGTGATGATCTCCCGCTAATCTCGCGTCTCCCTCCCGGTCCTCAAATAGGCATCGTCGCGCACCCTTCTCACCCCTCCCCACCGCACCTCTCCTCAGACACGTCGCGCGTGCACCCTGTCAATCACCACCAAACCACCACCTCTCCTGACAGCTGAGCGGGACGCTGCAAAATAAACCCTGACACTCTGACCAATGTGAGGAGAGTTTACTCACACGTGACTTGTTTTAGCTCTTTTGGTCCGATTAGAAGCTTTGCAGTGTGAAAGCGAACCGCTCCAAGAGCAAAGACCAACAATGTAACAATTTTAATCTCTGTTTCGGAACAACTGAATCGATTCACAGGTGTGAAAGCAGCCTAAAATATAAAGACATATTATAAAAAAACACAAAGATAAACTAAGAGAAACGACTTAAGTTTAAAAGTGAAGCATTAGAAAAGAATGTTTTATATTTACAAACCGCTATCAGTCAGTTTAGTATGACTTAAACCATCATAACGCCTGTTCCTGGACACCTGAATAACTGATTTAATCGTTGATTTCAGATCTGATGATGGAGAACGAGGAGAAATTCGACCCCGCCAGGACCTGTTGGACCTGCACTGAGTGTGGGAGGAGCTTCACATGCAAGCGGAGTCTGGTGGTTCACATGAACATCCACACCGGAGAGAAACCGCACACGTGTACCGAGTGCGGGAAGAGCTTCCGACAATCATCATCCCTTTACCAGCACATGAGGATCCACACGGGACAGAAGAAATTCATCTGCGATCAGTGTGGGCTGAGTTTCAGACAGTCGCCGCACCTTAAACGACACATGATGATCCACACGGGAGAGAAGACACACAAGTGTGACCAATGCTGCAAGACTTTTTTGAGGGCCTCAGGTCTGAAGGTCCATTTCAGAGTTCACACTAAAGAGAAGCCGTACTCGTGTTCTCTGTGCGTAAAGCGCTTTACACACAAACAGAATTTAATGAAGCATCAGATCGTGCACACCGGGGTGAGAGAGTTCGTGTGCTTCGAGTGTGAGAAGACTTTTATTTCTGCTGAACATTTGAAACTGCACCAGAGGATTCACACCGGAGAGAAGCCGTACGAGTGTTCACACTGTTACAAGAGATTCAGTCGGTCAGGACATCTGAAAGCACACGAGAGGGTTCACGTTGGAGAGAACCCATGCTGATGACACCGGTGCGGCATGATCTATTTTAATGTGTGAAGAGTTTCTCTCATCAGATTCATGTTGGCTGTGATTAGTTATAACACACCTAGTTACTGTGTTTAAATCAATGGCTGGAAAAGTAAAGTGATTACTGTTCATTTTTATTTAATCACAGTTACTATTATGCACGACATTGGGAAAATCTAATAATGCGATATTTTATTTTTCTGCAATAAATATTGCAGCATGACAGATTGATTGAGCAATATTTGACGGTTTTCTGGGAGTCGTAGGGTGCTTTCACACTTGCACTTTTGGTCCGCACCCGGGTTCGTTTGACGTCATAGTACGGTACGTTTAGCTATTGTGAACGTGTCTTCTGAACTCGGGTGTGCACCCGTGAACCGTACTCGAGTCCGCCTGAAAGAGGTGGTCTGAGGTACGGTTCATGCGAACTCTGGTACGGTTCACTTCTGATGTGAATGCAATCGTACCAAATCACGGAAGTGAACCGCCAACTGTACAACAAACTATCGTTTTCATAACATTAGTTCGTGTTTGTGTGTGTGTGTGTGTGTGTCACGTTTCGTTCCTCGGTGACACGCGGGACTGAGCCAGGGCACACACAGTAATACACAGTGATGTCTGCTTGTCTCCTCCAAAAACAGCTTCTGCAGACACTGTGTGATGTTCTGAATGTTTATAATATGTTTGCGGCAGATGTACGCGAGTCGCTTTCTGTATGTCCGAAACCAAAAGCTTCAGTTAAAGCAGAATGACCGCGATGTGCGGACGTCTTTCCATTTCGGCGCTTCCTTTTGAGACCGTCACCTAGCAACGGCCGTAAACAAAACAGCAGCTCGATGGCGCAAGTGTACTGGGTTTCAGAAGGAAAAAAGACAGTGTGAACTCAAACCAACCGAGGAGGTGGCAGGGGGAGACAATCCAACTTGGGTACGGTCCAGGCAAATGAACCAAGTGTGAAAGCACCCTAAATGTTGCTTTCTGATGTGTGCTGCAGAGAAGAGAACAGGGGCTGCGTCTGAAACCGCCTACTATTCAGTAAGTACCGCATTTGAATTTAAACGTACTATTTAGAGTTGGCTGACGTGAAACCGACGTTTCAACAGTGTCGAGATCCCGAAGCGCAAGTGTTTCGAAACACTGCACCGAAGCATGATCCGGAACACCCAGGTCACGTGACTAAAGTGTTTTGAAACACCTGGTCACATGACTACAGCGATTCAAAGCATTGATCAGTTCTGAAGCGTTTCGAGACCTGGAGAGTCTGCTTTTGACTGACAGGGTCAGAAAAAAACTTCCCTCTTAAAGGGCATCTAGGTTACCCATTTTTTCAGATTTAATATAAGTGTTTTGCGTCTCCAGAATGTGTATGTGTAAAGTTTCAGCTCCAAACACCCATCAGATTTTTCATTATACCTTTAACTAGATCCTGTTTCATACATCTTTCCACCAGGGGGTCGTTTTGTTGTACTGCGCCTTTAAGGTGAGTCCTCCCCGCCTATGTGTCCGTCTGCGTGCCTTAATCTCCTCCCTCGGCTGCGTCAGACAACATTCAGACTTAAAGGAAGATGTCACACAGCGTTTGTGAGAAATACTACAGTAAGAACTTTACCAATGAGAACAATTTTGTTAATCAGTTCCCCTATAGCACATGTGTTTGGACTGTGGGGGAAACCGGAGCACCCAGAGGAATCCCACATCAACATGGCGTGAACATGCAAACTCCACACAGAAACACCTACTGATCCAGCCGGGACTCAAACCAGAGACCTTCTTGCTGTGAGGTGACAGTGCTAACCACTGAGCCACCGTCTCGCCCTTCTCTCCATTAAACAGAAATTGGAGAAAAAATATACAGGGGCTAATAATTCTGTTTCCCAGAGATGGGTTGCGACTGTAAGGGCATCCGCTGTGTAAAAATGTGCTGGATAAGTTGGCGGTTCGTTCCGCTGTGGTGACCCCTGATTAATAAAGGGACTATGTTGACAAGAAAATGAATGAATAATAATTCTGACTTCAACTGTATATATTTGTAGTATTTATTTGTCAAATTTGTTTATAATTTTATGTTTTTAAATATTGAGAATGAGAACAACCTAAACTCGCTACTTCTGAAGTATTTGTATTTTCTAAATAGAAGCTTTTAGCCTAACAAAACTATTAAAGCTGTAGGTTCAATTGGTCTGAGGACAATAACAGGGTTTGTACATTTGTAAAGTGTTTTTAATAAAGAACAATCTGAGAACCAAACGAATGACAGAACAACTCCCAGAAATCAACCTTCAGTCCATTTGAGATATTTTTGGGATGAAATGCGTCTTATTCACTGCATTTGTTTATATTTCAGGGACGGATAATGTAGATTTCTGGTAGAATGGCCCTAAGTTTAGCAGCTTTTAATCAACAAATATCCATTCCGGTAAGATTGGTGACCTCTCTTGTTTATAGAATTGTTGTCTCTCTGCACACATTTTGGGACTAAAAACTTCGTCTCGCCATGATGACGTCATCATCAGCGCGCGTTCCCGTATCTGTTTTCTGGGGCGAGTCGAGGTGAGTTTTACAGTTATATTTTTTCTTCGTATTTACCAGAATGTTAACTGCACTGAGCACAGTTTACACGCAGCGGTGTACAAACTATCCAGATATCAAACTGACACAATTTCAGCCTAACATTGACGTCGCTTCAAACTGGTTTTGCCCACCGGAGTAATGTTGAATCAACGTCAGAGATGTCATTCAGAAGTAACGTCAAATCGACGCGGTTTACTTGACCAACGGTGAGTGGATGTTTATTTTCAGTCGATAGAAACTTTCAACCTGATAGGTTTGTCTACCTAGCTTTGACACTAGCTCTTTTTAGAGGAGGATGCAGACTTCAAAGGTGAGTCCACACAGGCTGAGCGTTTTGAAATGAGACGATCCAGCCTACATAGAGGTAAAGTTTGTTTTTTTGGAGTCAGACATTCTCCTTAATAACATCATTTCAGTAAAGTGTTCTTTGCAAATTGTAAATGGGGAAATCACATATTAGCCGCAAATGAGTATCAAAGTACAGCATTGTTCACAGTCAATTAGACAGTGCTTATGTTGTTTTCAAGTCATACTTGCATGCTAATTCCGATCGAATATTCAAAGTAACATGTTTTTTTTTTTTTTTTTCATGATTATTGACGTTTTTTATTTTTTTATTATCATAGTTTTGAAACATTACATAAAGTAAAAATACAGCAATTGAGATATATATTATATTCATAAACATTACTATAGTTACAAGAATCAAAAGTAATGAAGTAATATATAACAGGAGAAAAAAAATGTATAAAAGGTTGCAAAAGAAAAAAAATTAATAAATAAAAAATTAATAAATAAGATAAAAAAAAACAAATATTACAAAATGCTTCTATACATATAAACTAAAATAATAACTTAGGATACACTCATCTACTACAGCGGGGGATCAGATCTAGAAAAAAATTCCTTCATGAAATTTAACATTAAATCATTCTTTTTGTTCTTAATTTGCATTAGAGACTTTTTCAGATTTTCCATTTCTAATAAAAAAATATTACATTTTGGTACACATTTCGCAAATTTCTGTTTATGTATAAAATATTTACCTTGTAAAATGTAGAAGTTTTCAAAGTAACATGGTAAACAATCCGCTTTTTAAGTGATGACGTATGTAATACTGTTTCCGGGTCCAAGCCGCCATTCATTTGAGTGGAGAAATCATTCGTTTATGATCACGTTTTATTCCTATCACACATTAAAGTTAATTTTATATAAAATCATAGTGTACACAACAATCTCTGAGCTTGCTGCATAACAAATACCAAAAATTTAACAATTAAAAAAAATGAATCACTTTCTGGCCATCGGATATTAGGCATGGACATATATGTTGCGATCGTGATTTTCGAAAGTATTAAATCGCTTTGTAAACGTTTATTATTACCATTTCATGAGTCTCCCCATTCAGTTCAATAGAGCGCTTGGACCCGGAAGCCGCTTCGCTTGACGTCACACTTAACAAGCGGATATAGAGACTGCTAAATGAACGAATGTGCGAATATAAAACCAACTTTACCTCTATCTAGACTACAGAGGACGGATCTAATTACCAAATCTTTCAAAGTGGATTCAAAGTGCAAAACAAGTCATACAAATGCTGGAAATATATTTGCTTTGATCCATACATGTACACATAAAAATGTAAACTTTCTATAAAATCACTCTTTAGCAAGACACATTATACTCTTTTTTTTCGTATGTTAAGATATCCAAGTAAAATAAATGTAATTCTTTCTCTTTGAAAGCAACCTCTCTAAATGGCTAAATATAAATAAACTATTAATTATATTATGTGTTCAATCTTTGCAGGTTTGCCCCTCCTCCTCCAGTTCAGCTATAAATACTGGAGTATTCCCATTAGTCTACAAGTGAAGACGAGCATCAGGGTGAAGTGAAGTCTGAAAGACAGAGTTTATTGAAGGACAGTGAGAAGATGAGTGATCCAGAACCCTGCAGAATTAAACAGGAAGAGACTGAAGAACTAATAGGTTGGTGTTTATTTATGATTATTTCCTATAGTCACAGCAAAGTTTGCAGCTTTAAAAAGATGAATACTTAAAACTTGAGAACAATAATTAAATAAATATTTTTTAAAACTCAGTACAGAATATACCCTGTGTCATAATTGTCATTCTGTATCTTGTTAAACTAAGCTTATGACCCGTTTTCACTGAGTGGTATGGTACAGTATGGTTCGGTACGGGTCACCTTTATCAGGCTTGTGTCTCCACTGCCAAATGGTGTCAGTGGTACCAAAATATCATTAAAATGTTACGAGTTGCTTCTAAACTCGTCTACAACTAGCCCAAATGTTGATCACAATACAAACAAGTCAGAACTAGAATGCTTTAAGAAAGAGAAAATAATCATTCATTGTTTTCCTGGCGTTTTATCTATGATTAGCTATGATTTGAGCTAAATTGAGCTCTTCATCAGATTTGAGTCATTTGTTTGTGACACAGACAGGCACACCCAATGACTCGAGAGTAGTTGTTGCCAACTATTTCCGATGAAAAGTAGGCCTTAAAGTAGAGCCTGCTCGAAGAGTAGCTATATGTTGGCAGATAATGTCACGCACTAAATTGCATATTTACATTTAGTCATTTAGCAGACGCTTTTATCCATAGCGACTTACAAATGAGGACAAGTAAGCAATTTACACAACTATAAGAGCAACAATGAAGAAGTGCTGTAGGCAAGTTTCAGGTATGTAAAGAAAGTGTAAGATGCAAAACATTAGTAATTTCTTTTGTTTTTTTTTTGTTTTTAGTAGTTAGTGGTGGAGCCAGAGAGGGAATTGCAGATTAGTAAGGAAAGTGGAGACGAAATAGTTTTTAGTGGTTTCTTGAAGACAGCGAGTGACTCTGCTGTTCTGATGCAGTTAGGGAGTTCATTCCACCAACTGGGCAGATTGAACGTGAGAGTTCGGGAAAGTGATTTCTTCCCTCTTTGGGATGGAACCACGAGGCGACGTTCATTCACAGAACGCAAGTTTCTGGAGGGCACATACATCTGCAGAAGTGAGAGCAGATAAGAAGGAGCAAAGCCAGAAGTCACTTTGTAAGCAAAAATCAGAGCTTTGAATTTGATGCGAGCAGCAACTGGCAGCCAGTGCAAACGGATGAGCAGCGGAATGACATGTGCTCTTTTAGGTTCATTAAAGACCACTCGTGCTGCTGCGTTCTGGAGCAGCTGAAGAGGTTTGATAGAGTTAGCTGGAAGCCCGGCTAGTAGAGAACATATCGGTGACATCACGTAGTATCTGACAAGCGTAAACCCATCATGCTTCTACTCTCTGAGGCGTTGTGTATTATATTATAATAAAACATTACTTACAGATACACAATAAATAGGTTCTTATTAACTTATTACTTTGCGTGATGACGTCATTTTGTAATCGCAACTCAAAACTACATCTTCATGTAGTATACAAAATAATTAATATTGTTTTCTCAAACTGACTGGCCATCTCAGCAAAAATCATTATTTGAAATATGTCCATTTAGATTTGTATGAAACACATAGTTGATTTTTTGTAAAAAAGTAGTACAAACACTTTTTGATAAGAATTTTTTATTTTTAAATGTAACACTGATAATGAACAGGTACAGTCTTTAAAACAATCACAGCTTGTGTACTTACTCTTTTTAGCTTGTGAAATTAACACATTTGTAATAGTGACATTAATTATAGCACTATTGGAATTTATTGCTACCAAAATCACCAACAATTATACTTGTTAACAAATATCAGTAAACTAACAGGTATGAAATACAATCTGAGCTAGCAATTTACTCTACTGAGTGAAGACTGCAGCCACTGCTCTTTTGAGTCTCTAAAGAATTAAGAAAGTCTAAAGAAAGGTAAAAGTGAAAGAGTAAGGTCAACAACTGGCTATTCTCAGCCAACAAATACAAAACATGCAGTTCTCTACTTTTAGTCATTAAGCAGACGCTTTTATCCAAAGCGACTTACAAATGAGGACAAGGAAGCAATTTACACAACTATAAGAGCAACAATGAAGAAGTGCTGTAGGCAAGTTTCACGTGTGTAAAGAAAGTGTAAGAAGCAAAACATTAGTAATTTTTTTATTTTATTTTTTACTTACCTGGAGTGTCTAAACATCAAGTTACTTAACAGTTGAAAAGGTGACCGTGGTCTTTAGGGTGTGCAAGTGCAAGCAACGCTACCATTTTTGTGTCCATGTTGTTGTTTATAGTGAAGGCTTGTCTGCTGTCTTCCGGTAGCGTTGAAGCCATATGTTATAGTCATGTGATAGGGGCTTGACGAATAAGGGAAGGATACGCAATGACACAAAAGCCCCAATCAGGTAGCGAATCTCAGTAGCCCCGCCTCCGTTTTCAGATGTCTCCGTTTTCCCTCATCCACACTGAGACGGAGCAGCAGCGTTTCAGAATGAGAACGGCCTCTCCAGGGTTTCCAAAGCGCTCCGTTTTCGGTGCTCGAAAACTCCGGCGTAGTGTGGACGGATGGTGTATTCGTAGCAAAACTTATGCATTTTCAAACTAAAACGCACTAGTGTAAACGAGGCCTAAGATGACCTCCTTGCTATAATGCCAGAAGTTCTCCTGGATGGGTAAAGGAGCGAGACAGGGCAAGGGAACCAATATGCTTTTACTAACTAGAACTTTGCCTTTGTATAGGTGGACTGGCACAATTTTTCACACAGTGGGGCTTCCCATACGTAATGTTGAAAGACTCAATTGGGATCACATAAACGTACACATTTCTCTCTAATTTCTTATATAAAGTTTCATTTTGATTTCAGATCTGATGTTGGACAACGAGGAGAAACTTGATCATGACAGGACCTGTTTGACCTGCACCGAGTGCGGAAAGAGTTTCACATGCAAGCGGAGTCTGGTGGTTCACATGAACATCCACACCGGAGAGAAACCGCACACGTGTGGTCAGTGTGGGAAGAGTTTCCGACAATCATCGTCTCTTTATCAGCACATGAGGATCCACAATGGACAGAAACCCTTCGTCTGTGATCAGTGTGGGAAGAGTTTCAGACAGTCGCCGCACCTTAAACGACACATGATGATCCACACGGGAGAGAAACCACACAAGTGTGACCACTGCAGCAAAACATTTTTGAGGGGTTCAGATCTGAGGGTCCATTTTAGAGTTCACACTAAAGAGAAGCCGTACTCGTGTTCCTTGTGTGGAAATAGTTTTACATATCTACAGAATTTAAGAAAGCACCAGATAATTCACACTGGTGTGAAGGAGTATGTGTGCTTAGAGTGCAAGAAGACTTTTTTTACAGCAGGACATTTGAAGCTGCACCAGAGGACTCACACCGGAGAGAAGCCGTATGAGTGTTCACACTGTGGCAGGAGATTCAATCAGTCTGGACATCTGAAAACACATGAGAGGATTCACACTGGCGAGAAACTGTACTAATGACACTGGACTTGTGTGTATTGGTTTGATTCACAATTTTAGGGTCATGGTTTTAGTATATGATAATAATAATAATAATAACTTACATTTATTTATTGCTTTTCTAGGCGCTTTACAGGTTTTTACCAGGTTATTGGTGGAGAGGAGATCGAGTGATGAAGTCAATTAGGATATGGGGTTGGTTAGAAGGCCCGGTTAAGAGACCAGGGACACACCCCTACTCTTTTCGAAGGACATCTAGGATTTTTAATGACCACAGAGAGTCAGGACCTTGGTGCTCACTGACAGCATAGTGACCCCATCACTATACTGGGGCATTAGGTCCCACACAGACTGCAACCATGTAAGAGCTGCAGAGAAATTAAGAGAAGTTCAGCACAAATAAATTATAGTGTCAAATAAAGATACAGAAAAACAATACATTTACAAGATAAAGTACCAATGAATACAATATAGTAAAGATAGTGATTAAAATGAACAGTGCTTTTCAGATTAAAGTATCTAACAGGAGTTTTCCGGTAAATAAACTGACTGATATAATCAAATATAACATTTCATATAGACTTCACTGTGTAAATTGAATTGTTTAAACATTATTGAAGTTAAAAGATATTCAGTCATTATCATACAGTCATAGCCATTATTCATGCTTTATCTTCTGCTGTTTGATTTGCATCAAAAGCTGTGATGTCGTGCTATTAAAACAGCAGCATCTTGAAAATGGCAGGACATCGAGTCAAGTACGCGATATGATTGGTCGGATTTGATGAGCACTTATAAATACATTTTAGTGGCAGTGATGGACTGAAAGCTTTGAATGCTAATATTTTCTATTTGCATTTGTGTCAAAACCTGGATTATAATAACAGTTTGAATGACTGGTCATACACGCAGCACTTATTTTAATATAGTCCACTGCTCCAGGTCTGTTCAAGGTGTGTGTGTCTGTGTGTGCTCAGTTTTCACTACTGTGTGTTGTGCATTTGGATGGGTAGAACTGTGGCACAATTTTCACTTGGTTACTTTCACTTTCGCTTTACAACACTTGTGTTGGGTAGCTAGAATGCATGTCCATCAAATGAAACATGCTTTAGCTGAACTCTCTTTTACACTTTGATATATTTGAGACGCATTGTTAGATTCATTATGAACTGTGGGTCAAGCCAGTACAGATCCAGAGGTGGAGAATGTTAGGACTATGGTTCTGTTTATTTACCAGGTAACATTACACTCTTTATTCATTCATTCATTCATTCATTTATTCATTTTCTTTTTGGCTTAGTCCCTTTATATATCAGGGGACATCACAGTGGAATGAACCGCCAACTTATCTAGTATATGTTTTTTTGTAGCGGATGCAACCCATCACTGGGAAACACCCATACACAATGGATCATTTAGCATACCCAATTCCCCTATAGCGCATGTATTTGGACTGTGGGGGAAACCAGAGCACCGAACATGGGGAGAACATGCAAACTTCACACTAGCTGACCCAGCTGAGGCTTGAACCAGCGACCTTCTTGCTGTGAGGCAACAGTGCTAACCACTGTGCAACCTTATTACTCTCTGAATTTGTTTGTTTTATTTTTAATCTCAACTATTGACTTGCGGTATATAAATGAAGAGCCATGTTTTCAGCTAAAACCTTCTTTAATGTTTAGCTGCAGAAAAGGGTCTTGTACATCTTGAATGGCCTGAGGATTAGTAAATGAACAGCAGTTTTTATTTTTATTTTGGGGTGAATCTTTAAAAAACAAACAAACAAACATCAGTTTTTATCGAAACCGTAACAAGACCCTACTGAAAAAAAACAGCTTAAACCAGCCTAGGCTGGTTGTCTGGTTTTATCTGGTCAACCAGGCTGGTTTTTAAGGGGTTTTGGCCACTTCCAGATTGGTTTCCAGCCATTTCAAGCCTGGTCTTAGCTGGTCAGGCTGGGAGATGACCAGCTAAAGCCAGCTTGACCAGCCTGGTTTTGGCTGGGTAAAACCCTGCCGGTCGTATGCCACCCAACTTGCTCCGAGCTGGTAATGAACAGGTGACCTTCCGCATGGGAGTCGGTTGCTCTACCAAGGAGGCTAAAGACCATGGCCTCTAGCATCTGTCACTAGAGCACCTTTAGAGATCAGAGGAGTGAGGTTTACCTGCACAGTACTTACTAGCTGGCCTCCTTTACATGGGCTCCCAGCTTGGCCCGGCTGGTCAAGCTGGTTTTAGCTGGTCATCTCCCAGCCTGACCAGCTAAGACCAGGCTGGAAATGGCCAAAACCCCTCTAAAACCAGCCAACCAGCCTAGGCTGGTTTAAGATGTTTTTAATGAAAAATAACAACATTTCAACTGTTGCCAGAGATTTACTTGTATAAATGTTTACATTTTTCCTAATTAAACAATAATTTAATTTTACAGAAGTTACATGCATCATTAATATCTTAATATCTGCATGCTTTATCCGGTATATTTAGTGTAATTACTTCAAGACTCATTTAACTATTAAAATTGTAAACTTTTTCTAGGTGTTTGCAAAGTTCACAGAAATAAATGAGGATAGACCAGCATATTATATTTCCAATCAAATTATTACATCTTTTATATAATATTTACATTACAGATAAATGTCTTACTAATTAATTCCAAAAAACGCTAATTTGCCTGAATGTAAATTTGGGAAACTGATTCCAAACGCTGGCCTTATAGTTTAGAAATAAACAATCTTCATTGTGTATAATTAATTCGATCTCTGGGATACACCAAAGCGTTCTAAGCTCTTTTGGATACACACAAGAAAACGTGGCTTGTTTTTAAAAGTTTTTCGAGGTGGTCTCGCGCTGATGACGTCATCAGGAGTGCGCGTTCCTGGATCTTCCAAAGGCGTCCGAAGCGAGACGAGGTGCGCGTTTTACGCTATTTCGCTTGCTTTTCCGGAGTATAAAGTTACTTTTTGGACAGTTTTAAGCAGCATTGGTTTACTGATAAATCTCCGAACGAGTTTCTTCGACGCAATTATGGTTTGATGTGTAAGTTTCTCCACATTTTGCATACAATGGCTATTGGCTACAAAACAAGAGCGAGCTAATACTGTGTTGTTATTAATGTAACATTGGTTGTTCAAAAAATATGTATTTAGGAAAATTTAGACTATCCGAATGGTGGTTGCTGTTAGATTTTGATATTTTTCTTGTGTCGTTTGAGAAATAATAGTGTTATCCTTTACATTCAGAATAAAGGGAGCAGAGCCCGTGTTCACGAAGCATTTAAGGTTAACGTTAAATGTAAATCCTAACTTGAGGTGAGTTTCATGAATGGAGCCCTTCCTTTACAGTATACAGGGGTGATTTATATGTGTATCGACGATAAGGGGGGATCAGCTGTTTCGGTTAGGTTGTGTGTAATACATCTTTCAGTTATTTGTGTATTTATTTTTAATGACATCCAGTTTATTAATAAAACATATGTAAGGTTTGAGGGATATTTAGTGTATTCTGACCCACAGTATTCTCTGATTAGTATTGAGTTAAAGATGGTTTTATATTCACACATTCGTTCATTTAGCAGTCTCTATATTGTTTATCATGTTACTTTGAATATTCGATTATTAGCATGCAAGCATGACTTCAAAACAACATTAGCACTGTCTAATTCACTGCGAACCAAGTTGTACTTTGATAGTCATTTGCTGCTAATTTGATTTCACTATTTAGATTTTGCAAAGAATACTTCTCTGAAATGATATAGAGGAGAATGTCTGAATATCTGAAAATAAAACCAACTTTACCTCAATCTGATCAGCTATTTCAGATGTTACTACAGATTAAACTACAAACTATGTATCTAATTTTATTTTATTTTCAGGCTAAATATCGATACAAACATCTATTTTATGAGAAAGCAAAGTCTTATGAACACAATGTCTATTGGTGCTCTAGATCCGCAGATTTCAGACTTTTCTCGAATAGAATGATTGGCACAATTATGCATCAACAGTGGTTTGAACCGTTGGTCAAATGTATATTTATCTTATCTATTATTTTAATTAATAACATTATTATTTCAAATACAGATCAGATTGAAATATCTCTCTGTATTAAACAACCCGCCATGCATCTTGTTTTGATGTCCTTAAGTGGGGGATAAAGCGTTAATTGGGGGGTCAAATCCCCCTGTAATTCACACCCTATATATATATATATATATATATATATATATATATATATATATATATATATATATATATATATATATATTTAATTTCTGCATATTTTATAACTATTTTTTTTTATATAAAATGCTTAGTAATATAAAAAGCAAACTCAACAACCATATTATTTTTAACTTTTGCAGATCTGTTTGTCCTCAATCAGTTCAGCTGTAAATATTGGAGTATTCTCATCAGTCTACAAGTAAAGATGAGCACGAGGAAGAAGTGAAATCTGCAAGTTTTTTGCACAGAGAGATGATGAGTGATCCAGAACCCTGCAGAATTAAAGAGGAAGAATCCAGTGGAATTAAAGATGAAGAGTCTGAGGAACAAATAGGTTGGTGTATATTCCTGATTCTTCAGTAATGCTAAAAGCTTTCCCCCTACAGTTAGACCAGTAATCATAACTCATGAACTCCGGCTGCACAATATACTGTTTCAGCATCACTATCGCAATGTGCTCACATGAAATATTATATAATGCTGAGTCGGGATTATAGTTGATCAGCAACCACAGTTGAAAATGCAGGTGATTTGTGGAGTGATATAACAATACGAATAATAATATAATAATAGTTTATAAATTCATCCACTTGTTAAGTGTGACGTCACGTGAAGCGGCTTCCGTGTCCAAGTGCTCTATCGAACTGTATGGGGAGACTCAACAAATGGTAATAATAAACATTTACAAAGCACTGTAATACTTTTTTGTCAAAATTTCTTGTCTAACTGTCTATATTATATATATATTTTTTGGAATATTTTATTTAATTTGTACAAAGTGCAAAACAAGGTTATAATAATTTTGGATTTTTCATTAGTTTTAGTTTCTATTTCGTTTTGACTTTTTATTATCAAATTCAGTTAGTTTTAATTAGTTTTAGAGGCAGATTTCTCAGTTTTTATTAGTTTCTATATTTGAAAAATGTCTTAGTTTTAGTTTAGTTTTTATTAGTTTCAGTATTAGTTTCAGTTTTTTTTTCTAAATAAGGATATTTGTTAGGTGGAAGATTTAAAATCAACAGGATAAATATTGTATATTAAAAACTCAGCCACACATTTTTTGAAACATGTATTCAGAGAACACATACACTATCATCTACCACAACCATCTACCCATCCTCAAGTTAGACACACAGTAGTGATAGACAGGGCCAGATTAACCTATGGGCATTATGGGCACAGGCCCAGGGGCCCGTCCACACTTAGATTTTGCCTACTTTTCATCACCAGAAAGACAAGTGGGAATCATTGATAAGTGTTTATGGAGGACTCAGACTCCTAGAAAGGGATTGAAGAGGTGTTATATCCAAATCATGTGCATTATAAATTTGTATAAGTTATGCCTTAAAAATACCCTTAAATATAAATATTAGTACTGCTTCAGTGAACTTGAACAAGTAGGCTATATTAAAATCCATTAATTTTTCATCAGATCCTCTCATTTAAGCCCTCGGTTTACCCGCGCTGCAGTTGTTCCAGTTCAGTTCAGTCGCACTGCTGTTTGTGTGTTTTGTTGATTCAGTTCGATTTGGTGAACTAGTTCAACCGGTTCACTTAGAAGATACGGTTAAAAAGATTCGTTCGCGATCGCGAGACAGAAATAAAACCCATTATTGGGCACAAACGTGTTAAAGTATTACTTTTAAGTATCTTTATTTAATGCTGTCGCCGTGCTGCTGTCATGTCCACTGGTTGTTTTTGTCGCGGGAGCAACAGCGAGGATGACTGGAGGAGAGCCGGCTCGATCTGGCCAATGGCAGCAGGAGACATTGAGGTGCAAAAGGATCAAACACAAGCACCTGCAGCACGGATTATATTTACTTCTAAAAGCCTTACAGTAAGATTATGTATTAAATATATTAACAGATGCGAAAACGAAGGAGGTTTTTGCCATCATTTTAGTTAGTTTCAGTTAGTTTTGTCTGTACACAATACAGTTTCAGTTAGTTCTAGTTTTTGAAAAAAACTCTCGTTTTTATTTTTATTTCAGTTAACGACAATGATTTTACATTTTAGTTTTCGTTTTTTCGGTAGTTTTCGTTAACTATAATAACCTTGGTGCAAAAAGGGGGACCACACTGTGGCTCCACAGCAAGAAGGAAATTTTTTATTGCTTAAGGAAATTTTTTATTGCTTAAACTTTTCCCCTTGATCATCACTTATTTTCCACTTGTTTGCCCTATTGCCCTTTGGTTTCTTGTCAACTGGTTCTGGCAGTTCTCCATTGCATGGTGCAGTTCACTTTGTGGTGGTTTTTAACTGTAGTACAGTACCTTCTGTCTTTTTTTTTCTGAACCGTCTCAGGTGAGGTTTCAAGTGAGCTGTTCTAATTAGGGTTGAGCTGATAGATGATGACATCGTCCATCGCCAGTGGCCGAAAAACTTCACCCATCCATCGCCCCGCACCACATTTATACTGATATATAACTTATCATTTGCATGTCATCTTAATCGCAATAACGATCTTATCTCGAGCTTTGTTAAATGTCACATATAGCTGCCGCTTGCACGGCTGACAGCATGGTGAGGATTAAATGAAGGATTATACAGCACCTCTCACGCTTAACATGTGTAGATTCAGTGGCAAATGCTGTTACCTGTAAAACCCGTCCCACAGACTTTACACTGAATGGCTTTAGTCGTTTTCATAGCGGACTTGAAGCCTCTGGAAGTCTTTTATCCACTCTTGGAAAAGTGTAAATGGTGGATTAACATTCAGCACATGATCACTAATAAGATGTGCCATTATTAGTAACTGTAGGTAAATCTGTCAGTGTTATTTTCATTCTCTCATCTTTAGCGCTTCACGTTATCGCGGTTGTAGCTCCTGTCATCTGAAGGCAGAAGGCATCGACTGAGTGATTGACAGCTGATATTAACCAATCATTCGCGTTCAGTTCTAGAGCAGTGAGCCAATAAGTAGAGCACAAAGGCGGGGCTATTTTTTACTTCAGCAAATTCACGTAACAACTGTTTATCTGTTACTAAGTGCTGCGTTTGCCGTTTTTAGGTACAAAGATGCTCTCTGCATAAATGTCTCCTATATCTGCGCACGCAGTGAGGATTTTGCACTGAAGACAGTGAAAATGTATGTACTGGCACAAATGCTTCCAAAAATATTTTTAAGTCGCATAGATAAAAATGTTGGGCGCATATGCTAGGGCTTGACCGTTTTGGTCGCATCTTTACTTGTTATTATTTTCTCATAATAATAATAAAATAAGGAAGTTATCATCAATTACAATAAAAATTACAGTGAACTCATCTCCTTCAGCTGAAAAAAAAAAGTGATTGATAGGTGGTCATTTGTGTGTAACTTTTATGGTTTGGTTATGAGTAAAGCAAAGACCATGTGGGTCAGGTAGTGAAAACAGTAGGCTACAATTAATTGTTTCATTATGAATTAATTAATATATAACAATGACCCCCGCCTACGACGACGATGCCATCCTCCATCGCAATGTTTCACATTAGACATCGTACAATGCCAAATTGGTCATCGCCCAACCCTAGTACTACCATTACAAAAATATGACGTGAACTGATTCTGATTGGTCAGAGGGTACTGTCACTACATGACGATTGTTACACAAAACGGCAGTTTTAAGCATGACTTCCACACAACTTAACATAACTGAATCTTGATCAGTAGACAAGGTTCAGACCTTCCTCGCATTTTGTCATGTCTGTTTGAGTATTTATTAGCTGCCCAGGTGAGATGGAGAGGCTTGAGGTAATGAACTGTTGTACACGCATCTTTATAACTGGTGTGTACAAGCCCAAACATACACGTATATGTGAAATGGAAGCACATTGCACGCATGCATCCATGTGAGGAAATAGATGAGTTGTTGAATTCCAAAGCAGTTTACATTTAGTCAATTAGCAGATGCTCGTTTCCAATCCGACGTACAATTGAATACAATAAAAGCAGTGCAGGTCACCAGAGGGCAGTGATATTTAAACTCTGCAGGACACTGGCCTTTGGGTCCAAAGTTGTCCATGAAGAGCAGGCATGAGCAACTTCGGGCCTGAAAGGCTGTTGTATCCCGCCGAGTTTTGCTTCAACATTAATCAAACCCACCTGAACAAGCTTATCGGTGTCTTTAGGATGACTAGAAAGTTACAGGCAGGTGTCTTTGATTACGGTTGCAGCCTAACTCTGTAGGACACTGGGCCTTCAGGACCGAAGTTGCCTATTCTTGATGTAGAGATGAGCAAGTTATTCCACCAGGATGAGATGTTAAAGGTGAAAGTCCTCGCAATCAGTTTTGTGTCTGTATGGGATGGGACCACAAGGGAATGTCAGCAGCAGACCCCAAAGCCCTGCTAGGCACCTAGGGCATACTCACACTATGCTATCTGAACTGTGCCCAGGCCCGTTTCCCAGATCATTTGAGAAGTGTGAGTGCTCTGAATCGGGCTCAGGTGCGGTTCATCTGGCCCGCCCTGCCCTGGTTGGAAGAGGTGTGCCAGAGCGTGGTTCACTTGGGCTTTGGCGCGGTACGCATGTAGTGTGAGTGCAAAGCGTGCCTGAGCCCAAAACTGAAGACGAGATGTGACTTTAAGGGACTGTTTGATATGGATTTATTAATCATTCTTACTATTTAATGAACGCAAACTGTCATAGATTGTTAAAGACGCAAAACCCCTCACTGCATGACAGCTGTACCTTTAGCAAAACTTCTAATTCAGGGATGTCCAGACTCGGTCCTAAAGTGCCAGTGTCCTGCAAAGTTTACTTTCAACCCCAAACAGACACACCTAGGATAGCTAATCAAGCTCTTACGAGGCTTTCTAGAAACATCCTTGGATGTGTGTTGAAGCAAGTTGGAGCTAAAATCTGCAGAACACCGGCAATCCAGGACTAAGTTTTGAAACCCCTGTCCTAATTCCTGCCGCATGAGGACTTTATGGTGAGCGTCAAGAGTGGCAAACGACTAAAACTATATAACTAAAGCAATCTCCACTGTGTTGAGCGAGCAAGCTTCTTACTAAACCGCTCAACGATGACGTAAGCATGCTCAGGCCCGAATGCGATGTGAGTGCGAGTAGTCGGGGGAGACGGGAGGGGGGACAAGTGTGCTTCGGCACGGATCAAGGCAACTGTACCTAGTGTGAGTATGCTCTTAATCCTGTACTAGAGGTAAACTTCAAGTAAAGAGGTGCAGAGCTAGTGGCTGTTTTGCAGGCAAATGACAGTGGCTTGGATTTGAAGGGGGCAGTGTAGTTTGAATAAAGGTGTGACATGCACTCTTTTTGCTTCGTTAAAGGCCGCTTGCGCTCATGCATTCTGGATCAGCTGCAGAAGCTTGATGGTGTTTGGGAGGCCTGCCAAGAGTGCAATACAGTAGTCTAGCCTTGACAGGACAAGAGCTTGGAGAAGAAATTGAGCAGCATGTTCAGAGTCAACAACGTGGTCAGTAAACTGGTCTTCAAAAATCAGTCCTAGGTTACTGGCAGTGCTGCAAGATGTAATGGTCGAGGTGCCCATCTTTATGATTAAATTATGGATACGTATTGGTGTGGCTGGGATTACCAGTTGTTCAGTTTTGTAAAGGTTGAGTTGAAGATGATGGTTCTTCATCCAGCCAGAAATATGTCAGACATGATGATATTCATGCACAAATTATTAGGTCATCTGGCTGGACTGAGAGGTAATGCTTGATGTCATCAGCATAGCAATTTCCTCTTTGATCTCTTATATCAAATTTAATTTTGATTTCAGACATTATGATGGAGAATGGGGAGAAACCTCGTCATGTCAGAAAATGTCTGCCCTGCACTGAATGTGGAAAGAGTTTAACATCCAAACGGAATCTAATGCTTCATATGAGCATCCACACTGGAGAGAATCCATTCGCATGTGATCAGTGCGGGAAGAGTTTCAGGCGGTCGTCATCTTTTAATCAACACATGCTGATTCACTCTGGAGAAAAGCCGTTCACTTGTACTCAGTGTGGGAAGAGTTTCAGACTCTCGTCATTCCTTAATCAACACACGAGGATCCACACTGGAGAGAAACCGTTCACGTGCGCTCAGTGTGGGAAGAGTTTCAGGCAAAAAGCAACCCTTTGGGCTCACATGAACATCCACACTGAAGAGAAACGACACAAGTGTGATCAATGCGGCAAGACATTTGTAAGGGCTTCAGAACTGAACGAGCATCTTAGAGTTCATACAAAGGAGAAGCCTTATCTATGTTCTTTGTGTGGAAAGAGTTTTGCACATCAAAACAATTTAAAAACACATGAGAAGGTGCACACTGGTGTGAGAGAGTTTGTGTGCTTTGAGTGTGAAAAGACTTTTACCACAGCTGAACATTTGAAACTCCACCAGAGGATTCACACTGGAGAGAAACCTTACAAGTGTTCACACTGCAACAAGGGGTTCAGCCGGTTAGGAAACCTCAAAACACATGAGAGGGTTCACACTGGAGAGAAACCGTACAAGTGTTCGCTCTGTTACATGAGATTTAGCCAGCCAGATTCCATGAAGGTACATGAGAGGATTCACACTGGAGAGAAACCGTACAAGTGTTCACACTGCGACGTGACATTTACTCAGATAGGAAACCTGAAAACACACGAGAGGATCCACACTGGAGAGAAACCGTACAAGTGTTCACATTGTGACAAGAGGTTCAGTCGGTCGGAATGCCTGAAGATACATCAGCGGATTCACACTGGAGAGAAGCCGTACAAGTGTTCATATTGCAACAAGAGATTTAATATGTTAGGGAACGTGAGAGCACATGAGAGGATTCACACTGGAGAGAAACCCTACAAGTGTTCACAGTGTGACATGAGATTCAATCAGTTAGGAAACCTCAAAGTACACAAGAGAATTCACACTGGAGAGAAACCGTACTAATGACACTGGTGCAGCAAAAGATTTTAATGTGTGGAAATACTTTTCATTTCAGAAAATGTTTGTAAATAGTAGCATGAATAGTTACGCAACTAGGTACTGTGGTTAAAGTAGCTACTGAAAATTACTGTTCACTTTTAGGTAATGTATTGCGTGCATTTATATAGGTCATTTATCATGTATGACCTTACACCAAGAGCGCTTCATAATCATGAGGGGGGTCTCTCCACACCATCACTAGTGAGTGGTGGGTGATGCTCTGGCAGCCGCAGGACAACAGCCCCAGCGCACTCACAACACACTAGCTCTAGAGCATAGGTCTCAAACTCGATTCATGTAGGGCCGCAGCTCTGTACAGTTTTGCTCCAACCCTTATTAAACACATCTGATCCAAATAATTGAGGTGTTCAAGACTACTCGACACTACTAGATCAGCTGTATTTGATTTAAGCATGTATTTAAGCATGGGTTGAGAGTAGGGATTTGCTTGACCAGTTAGGCCATCACCTTTAGTCATAGCTCATGCACAGACAGTATTGAAGTTGTGCCAGTCTGTTTTTCTATCATGTTTCATAATTCCCTTGTTCACGATCGAAAATCCAAGATGCTTGAAATTCTTCCAAATGGGCCAAGAACTCTTCTCCAACAGGGAGAAGACAAGTAACACTTTTCTTGTCGAACAGCATGCCCTTGAACTTGGAGGTGCTAATTTTCACCCTTGCCACCCTTGACACTCAACTGCAACTGTCTCAGTTCATGCTAAAAGTTCATCTGCATATACCAAAGATAATTCAGACCCCTTCAGCCCCACCTGCACCTAGAAATTCTGTCCATAAAAATATTGAACCGAACCAGGGCGACCCTGCCAGAGTCCAACATGCATCAGTAATGAGTTTGCCTTACTGCTGGTCATTGCGAACCAAGCTTCTACTGTCATACAGAAAGCGGACAGCCCTTAACAGACACATAGACACCATGCTCACTGGGTGCCCTGAGAAGAATGCAACTGAGGCACACTGTCAAATATCTTCTCCAGGTCCACTAAGCCCAGGTGAACTCCCACAAACTTTCAAGGTTTTTAGTGAGGATATAGAGCTGGTTATCATATCCAGACTCTTGAGGTAGTCGGGGCAAATCTCAATTCCACACCTGATATTTTGGCACTGCAAAGCTTGTAATGTAACTCTGTGACGACAAGTTGGGTGATGGGCAACTCAGCCCCTTGTCCCTCATATGAACTGAACGCATGTCAGTGAAAATGACAAGATCCTCAAAGTGTTATGTTCACTGTCCAACAACCTCCCCAGTCGAGTTCAACATTTTCCCACCTCCACTATAAACAGTGTTGGTAAAGAATTGCTTCCCTTGCCTCAGGTGCCAGACAATTTGCCAGAATCTCTTTAAGTCTGGCCAGCAATCCTTTTTCATGGACTTCCTGAACTCTTTTTTTTATCCCTTTTTTGGGTTCAATGATGGTCCAGGCTGAACAACTGCCTCAGGAGTTCCACATGCACACCAGGCCTACTAGGACTCCTTTTTCATCTTGACCATATTCCTTATTTCCAGTGTCCCACACAAGGGTTTCCCACAATGAGAGGAATGAATGGCTTAAAATCACAGCTCTTAACAGCCACATTAGACAGCTCTCCTGGAGGTAAGAGTTGAAAGTCTGTGGCAGGGGTACCCAAATTGGATGGCTGATATCTTGCAGAGTTTAGCTCCAACTTTCATTAGACACACCTGACCCATCTAATCAAGCTCTTACAAGGCAAACTAGAAGCTTCCAGGCAGGTGTGTTGAGGCAAGTTGCCGCTAACCTCAGTGGGACATCAGCCCTCCCAGGCTATACTGAGTTTGTGTACAAATGGTGTACGACATAAGTCTCAAACTTGATTCTTGGAGGGCCGAAGCTCTGCAGAAACCTAATCAAACACAGCTGATCCAACTAATCAAGGTGGTCAAGACTACTAGAGACTAAGCAGGTATGAGTTGGAGGTGGTTGTAGCTAAACTATGCAGAGCTGCAGCCCTCCAGGAATTGAGTTTGAGACTATTTGTCTAAGGAGTTTGTGATTTACCTTTAGTCCAGGGATGTCAAACTCAATTCCTGAAGGGCTGCAGCCCTGCACAATTTAGTACCAACCCTGCTCCCACACACTTACCTGTAGGTTTCAAACAAGCCTGAAGGACTCAATTAGTTTGATCAGGTGTGTTTAATTAGGAATTGGAACTAAGCTGCGGCACTCCAGGAATTGAGTTTGACATCCCTGCTTTAGTATATCCTGTCTTCCTTTACCTTTTTTGCATTGGGAGACCCAACCAAGCCCTCTACAACATGGTCTGCAGTTCTGTTCCTAATTTCCTTGTACAGCCCTTTAGTCTTGGCCATGGGGAAGAGTTTTAAATTTGATTGATTGCTTGCTTCTCTGGACAGGTGCTTTTATACAGGTAACAAACTGAGATTAGGAACACTTCTTTTAAGAGAATGCTCAGATTGTTACCTGTATTAAAGACACTTGGTAGGCAGAAATCTTGCCCTAGTGGTCCAGAGATATAGTGTTTTTCGCAAAAATAGTCGTTAAATTTTTCTGATTTTCACACTTACACCTTTTTTACGTTGGCAGAAAACATGCATGACCTGCTAGCTCATTGTGTTTAGTAAATGCTCTGCCAACAAGGAAGTTGTGGGTTCAAAACCAGGATAGGGCAATATTGTTGCAGGCATTGTGCTTTTCCTAGAATTATAAGGGGAGTCTCTAGACCTAACTCTGTAGCGCCACCAGCAGACCAAAATTTCAACATTTAAACTGTTATAACTTTTTAGCCATTTGAGGTACAAAAATAAAACATAGTGTCGGACTATTTCTCACTTGCCTTAGTCCACCCCAATTCAATAATCGGTCAGGAGTCAATTAATCAAAATCAATGAATTTATTTATCGAGCATAAGTGAATAAAGCGAAGATCAGGATCCTGGGCTTTTGAAGAACCGTCAGCCAAGCAGTCTGGATGTCCAAAAGCTCTCGAACTCTCTCGACTCCCTCCTTTTATCCATCAGCAGCGTTCAATCTTTTTGGCCACTCCTCTGATCAGTTACCCCCAATCTGTATTGTTGCCATCAGCTGTTTTCAGGCAGAATCATCTCTCAAAAGTCTGTGGTCAGCACACAGAGATACCTCTGCACACAGAAACAAAAGGGCAGGTGAAAGTATCACTCCTCCTTGACATACTTGACACTACTGACATCTGGGGTGCAGCAAGCAACTGTAGCAAAAAATCATCAAAGCACAGCTGAGCATCATAACTTCCTTATAGAGATATCAGGATAATATCAATTTTATTAAAGCATCATACATCACGCATACACAGAGAGCAGTATACAAATGCTGCATCTACCACATCTGCTTTTCCTCCTAGTCCTGTCTATGAACTCTTGACCCGTGTATGCACCCATCTAGGGGAAGCCCCTCTGCAGCTCTGTCTCCAGCCAGCACCCACACACAGCTCTTGTGGTTTTAGCAGTTAGTTAGAAACGCATTATAACAGGAGTTAAGTAGAAGTACGCTATATCAGGAGACATCATCATATCTGACAAAAACACATATTGTAAATAATGAATAGTGGGGCAAATGGGAGTATATTCCTCCAATAACAAAATATATCAAAAGAAAAGAGTGATTAGTAAGACAATAAAGCAATATTTTCCTTTTCTGCTCCAGTTCTCTTTTCTGTGTAGAAAAGTCACACGTCACAGCTGCAACCCAGACAGGGACTTTCTGCAAGACTTGTCTGTTACAGATTTAGTTATTTGACATTATAGGGGTGGAAAGTTCCTGTCTCATTTTAAGGTCAAACAGAATGTCTCAGCATACCACTGCGTAGGCTCATTAGATTATCATGGTTCAAGCAAACACATATACATATGCAAAATAAGCATGACCACATGTATATAATTCAAAAGAAGCATTAGACTGTAATTTTATTCCTTCAATAGTACAAAACATTTCACTGTCCACGCTGATTCAAACCAATACCATACATTAAAACTCCGCCCATTACAGCAGTGACAGTACAGTACAGGAATACATTTTAACGCTACTTGTCCTTTTTCCCAAATTTGCCCCAGATAATCTATATGAGCCGCCCAGAAATGAGTATAAAAAAGTTAACATTGGCTTTTATTTCCATGAAAATCTACTTAAACTGCTAGAGAACAGTTTTGCTGAACTGATTCTCACACTTGCATCTGTTTTACGCAGCCCAGAAAACATGCCTGACCAACTAGCTCAAAGTGTTTAGCCCAGAGATGGGCAAATTACGTCCCGCGGGCCATATGCGGCCCGCTGAACACTTTCATCTGGCCCGCGAGGGAGTTTTAAAATGCTGCTTCTGAGTAATGGTTTGGTTCAGAATTAGTAATTTAATGATGCAATTACAAGTGAACGCCATGTGATGGGCTGCTTATGCACCCTGCGCGCCTCACGTTTTAACCGCCTGCTGCGCCTCGCATTTTTTGACGTAGCAGAATCCAGACTTTGACACTCTTGCGGAGAAAGGGGACCAGGCTCAGTGTTCACATCAACACACTCATAATAACATGACTTGGAATAACAAAGACTAAGATTCTTCTTCCGTTTTATCTTATAGTTTTATGATGGATATGAGCATATTTATAAAAGTTCAAATGAGACTGTTGTGAATTTGACTCAAATTATATAATAATTGCTGGCTCAATGTGTAATTATTATATCATAGAATATATTTTCCATGCATACAAATCCAACCTGAAGTTTCACACAGAATTTTAAGACATTTTAAGAATCGATTTGATCAAGTAGTTTTTACCAGATGTCGTATTGGACATACGAGAATTACACATGGTATTTTGCTCCATGCAAGGTGAAAACCCTACTCAGTGTTTGTGCTGCAAAACTCCTCTTACTGTAAAACATATTTTACTGGACTGTCCTGCTTTTACTTAAGAGTTGCTTTTAACTCTTTTAAGGACATTTTTGGCAAAGTAACACCCGAAAAGATTTTAGAATTTTTATCATGTATTAACACAAAAAATCTTATTTAATTTGTTTTATTTTGTTTGTTGATTTTTAAATTGTATATTTATTGTTGAAAGATTCCTGCCATGAAGATAGCCTTGGTTGCTGACATGGCACTAAATAAAAAATACATTACATTACATTTTCCATGCATACATCTACTTTAAAAAGGTTTTTTTTTATTATAGATTTGTGGTTTCATCAAGTGTTATGATGATTGATCTGTATATTCTAAAAGCAGTGCACATTATTGTAAATTTGACTGAATATTAATTTTTAAGAATTATTTTTAATGTGTTAAAATGAGTCTTTTTTTCTATCAGACAATATATTTTCTATTCTTCACTGTAAAAACTATTACATTATTATCATTATTTTATTTTATGAGGGATAATTTTATAGTTTTATGATGATTGATAGGTAAATATAAATAGCACTGCAAATTAAGTTGTCTTGTAAATTTGACTCAATCATTACCATTCAAAAAATCAGTTTTGTGTTAATGTGACATGTTTCTGTCCGATATTACATATTCCATGCATACTGCCACTATAAATAAAAGTTATTTTTTTCAAGAATTTGACGTGGCCCTTCACTTGGTTTGCAAAACTTGAAGTGGTCCTCGAGTCGAAGTTTGCCCACCACTGGTTTAGCCAGTCTGCTGCCAACACAGAAGATGAGGGTTCGAAACCAGCATAGGGCAACGTTGAACTTTTAACAGCTAAGGACCAAAGATGACATGAAACAGAAGCTGTTGCAGGCAATGTGATGCATTTGAAGTGCATCAGGCTCTCCAATGAGTTTGAAGCGCATCAAGCTCCACACTGCGTTTGAAGCTAAAAGGGCTCTGCATTTTGTTTAAGGCACATTTTAATTATTACTTTGCATATAATAGTTATGCAAGTTAATAACATTTATTTTTTAATTAAGTTTTAAACTGTATGAATTATGCAATATTTAAAAAAATTTCCTAAAATATCGAAAATAAGCAAAAATATCTGCATTCAATGCTTAGCCCTGTAATTGCTGCCAGCAGCGAAATTCATTGTTATTTGTTTATGCTTGGTGTTTTTAGTTGTCACGTTATCAAATGTACAGTTAATGAACACAACAGTGACCTTTCAAAATGTAAATAGAAAGTAGAATATAAAATGTGTTCAATAATATTAAAAGCAAAATTAGCAACTGATTTTTTTAATCTTTCCAGATCAGCTCCTCCTCCTCAAATAAAGCCCCTCCTCCTTTTGTTCAGCTATTATTACTAGAATTTTCCCATCAGTCTACAAGTGAAGACGAGCATCAGGAAGAAGTGAAATCTGAAAGACAGAGTTTACTGAAGGACAGTGAGAAGATGAGTGATCCAGAACCCTGCAGAATTAAAGAGGAAGAGACTGAAGAACAAATAGGTTGGTTTATTTATGATTCTTTCATAATGCTCAAATTTTACCCCTAAAGTTAGACCAACAGATAAGACAATAAACTCTAAACAGAATAAACCATGTGTCTTGTTTAAATCAAATGGTTAGTTAAATTAGATTCAAGCATTCAACATCTAAAGGCCAAACTATATCTGATCTGAGCATTTATAATTATATCTTTTTCAAATTCTAGTGTCTAAATACACTTTACAAACATGACATTCATTTAAAAAATAAATATATATAGATTTATGCGCATATGTTTCCATATAATTTCATGTCTATGTTCATGGTCACTTTTATGCCCTTTTTATTTCACATTTGTGCAACTCTTTTCTGCTTTGATGCATCAGTAATCCCTCCTGAAGCCAGAGATTCATGATTTTGAGGCCCTTTGGATGGACATGCCCTTACATTCGCGCTCATTTATTTTGAATTCATATGAACTCTTGATGAAAAGGTTATGTTGTGTTCTGCACAATCAGTGCAATAATATGTAAACAAGATGGACGGACAGGCTTGCAAATTTTGTAGTTAAGTGAAGTTTCACAGATTAATTTGAAGAGAAGCACGTGATTGATTGTACCCGGTCTTTCATCTGTAATCATTAATAAGCAAATTGCATCATTTCATTCTCGCTATAAATAGCCCGACTAGCATTACTCCCTCATGTTTGTTTTTTGAAGAATCCCCCCCCCCCGATCCATCCCATCTCCACCTTTCCTCCTTTAACAGGAGCTCTCGAGAACTACCTGATCTCGTACCCTCTCACATGGTCATTGACCAGGCAGTAGCCCTGGGCTTGATTATCTCTGAACTCAGGGTTCTTTAGCGGCAGAGCACATCAAACCTGCTAATATTATAAAGCAATATTTAAGTGTGCTTAACTCTTGCATTGTTATTAAGTTTTAGGAGGAAATATCACAGAAAACAACTAAAAATCATTTGGAAATCCTTGATCATTGATTCACAAGCAACAACACAATGATCTAAATGAATATGAATATTTACCTTATTTAGGCCAGCAGAGACAAAAGACTTTCAATAATGCTAATGTTTCCCCATCAAGGTGGTGGCAGACTGAGGATAGACAAAGAAGAGTCAACGATTTTAAAATGTATTATAATTGAGGAAGCAGTAAATATACAACACACACTCACTTTATTAGGGACACAAAAGCTGCAGCATCTCAATTTATTTATGGCCTGTTCCCACTAAGTGGTACAGTTGGGTTCGGTATGCTTTTATGGCCGTTTCCACTGTCAAAATGTACCCAAAAGTGAACTGTAACCCATCAGAAGGGTACCTGTCACAGGGTACCAAAATGCAGAGCAAGACGTGCAGCTGAACGCTATTGGTTTACAGAGATACGTCACTCGCTCGTGGACAGGCAGGAGAATGAAAACAAAGGAACCGCCATTTTTAAAAACTCTTCCGAGAATTTAATAACGTAATAAAGAAACGTAATAATACATACATATGATAGCGAGCCATGGTCAACCTAAGCTCAAACAAACCTTGTTGACCCACAAAGCTAAGAAGAACAAATTCTGCTTTGTGCTGTTTTTCTTTTACGAGGCCGTCTAATGCTGCGTTCACACCTGACGCGTCAAGCGCGAGTGATTTACATGTTAAGTCAATGCAAACGCGCGAATAGACATCCTGCGGCGCGATACGCGCGAATGGCGTGGCGCGAATGACACAAATTGTGCGAATGGCGCGGGGCGAATTGAGCGTTTTGCGCATTTGACGCGCTTAGCGAGCGTTTCGCGCGAATCTCTCGAATTCGAAAATCTGAACTTCAGCGTACATTCGCGCCGCGTTAACCAATCAGAAGCTTGCTCTTGTGGGGGCGTGATTGTGACGTAGAACCTGTTGTCGGTGTTCCGAGGGAAATCCTCCAGCCTTCACCGACAACAGTTTATCAAACTCGGCTTGGCTCAGTCAGAAGCACCGCTGAATAGAGCGATTTATCCGCTCGTTCCGCGTCTGGTGTGAATACGGCATAAAAGTGCGAGCGGTTTCACTTTCTCCAGATCACTCACCGCCCATCTGTATTTAAATTAATGAACTTCCTGAGCTGATGATAATAACGTGCACATGATTACTTAAGTGCTTCTGACATCCGATCCTTTCAGAAAGGGACAAATACGAGAGTGACGTGCAAAAAAACAAAGGAGCAAATGATTCTTACAGCTACCTAAACCATGAATGCACTGCTATGTTTAACTATTATCATCATCTTTTGGACTATTATGACTCTGAATGATGGAATTACTTTCCAACAGCAGGTTACATGTGCTACCCTTTTGGCTGTGGAAACGCAAGCCTTATTAAGGTGACTCGTACTGACCTGTACCGTACTGTACCAAACAACGGGCCATTTGGCATGTAGACATGGTCAAGAGGATCTCCTGCAGTTCAGAGTGAGCATCAGAATGGGGAAGAAAGGGGATTTAAGTGACCTTGAACGTGGCATGGTTGTTGCTGCCAGACGGGCTGCTCTGAGTATTTCAGAAACTGCTGATCTACTGGGATTTTCACGCATAACCATCTCTAGGCTTTTACAGAGAATGGCCTGACAAAGAGGAAATATCCAGTGAGCGGCAGTTCTGTGGGCGCAAATGCCTTGATGATGAGGCCAGAGGTCAGAGGAGAATGGCCAGACTGGTTCCAGCTGATAGAAAGGCAACAGTAACTCAAATAAGCACTCGTTACAACCGAGCTCTGCAGAAGAGCATCTCTGAACACACAACATGTCCAACCTTGAGGCGTGGTCGCATAGCCCTTGCTGTGGCCGTTGTGCTGATGTGCACCTCAAAAAAAAAGTAACTACACTTCACAATGTTTTGCGCAAGCCCTGTGATTGGTCGGCTTGGTATCGCTGACAAGCTTGGGCGGGAATGAGAGCCGCGTGAGCCCGATGGAGCAGGTGTTTACAAGTGTCGAGTCCCATGAAGGAGCTCCAGATGGTGACTTTGGTTTTGTGTTTACCTCATGATTAAAGCTGTTGCATGTCTGCCGGTTCCCGCCTCTGAATGAGTGAATTTGAGCCACTTCTACATTTACGGTAGCGTTCAGAAAGAACAAAACACCAGCGAAGAAACTCGTCACAAAGGAATATAAAAACCTACTGCCAGTTAGAGTTTCAAAAGTGTTATCGCAGATCAACAGAAACAGCAGGCAGAAGTATAAATGTACAACAATGCGCAAAGCAGGCGCCGTGGGTCACTCGACGCAGATGTATAAATCAGCCTTAAAGGGTCACGAAACACCAAAACACATGTGTTGAGCTGTTGACAGTGGTATGTGTGTCCCACACTGCTAAAAACACTATTAGGACACCTATATTTCACTAAAAAGTGTAAATTGGTTGTTTTTGCATTATTTCAAGCAAATTCGTACTTCTGGTTTGAAACGAATTTTTGAAGCTGCGTCACGGTCATGACATAATAGCGTGTATTCCAGCGTGCAGACTGGGCGTCTGTGCCAGAGTGTGTCTTATTACATCTTACAGTGTGCTGCATTAATGCATGAGTAAGGCTTGGTTCAAACCAATCAGCGCGCTCTATTGTGCAACTTCATTAATATTCATTAGTGTCACAGTGTTTAGACGACAGAGACGCCACGTTGTGTTGGCAAAACAAGCGTGAAGTGTTGCTTTTATAGTTTGCTGCAGTTCAGTTTTGTTTTCATTTTCTCTCTGTGAGAGCTCAGAGTCACGTGTGGATTAACAGTGTACGCGACGCTCGACAACAATAACTTACGTGTCTAAGGAGGAACATTGTTTACCTGAGAGCTGTTCTCATCTGCAAACGCTGAGATCTGGATTCGCTGCTCGTCTCCTCTTAATAAAGACGCGGCTCTAGTTGCTGGTGATTGTTCTGTCTCTACAGATTTGGTAAGTGAGCGACCAGTGCTCTTTGTTTATTCAGTTTGTTCGTATCAAACTAAGTTAACTATTGCACCGAGTGTAAACATGTTAGCACCACAACCAAACTTTAGCCTCGTGTAGGGTTTTTACCGCAGTTTGTGACCGGAATAACACACGCGGCTTTCTGACGCTACCTGCTGAGTGCATCTAAGTTTCTAGGAAATGTGGAGGTTTTTTTTCTCTCATTCGCCGTGCGGTATCAAACATTGCAGGAAAAATACACGCTTAGAGCAGCTCCTCAAATCAAATATCTTGTTTGTCGTGAGGGACATGAATGAATTCCCTGAATGAAAGAGCCAAACTGCAGTTAAAGTCCAACATTTAATAATTTGGCAAATAATTCGACTACAGATGTCCATGTAGGTTAAACACCATCACTTTCTCCTGTGTGTGTGAATTTTGACTCTGAAACTCGCGTGTGCCCAAATAGACACTCCCACACCATCCCACTTTTCTTCCTCTGACACTTCCCCCTAAACAGAGCTGGACACGCCCACTTTTCTGACTTTTTCCAAAGTAGAGGTGTGAAAACACCCTGCTGAAACGAGGGGGTTTCATGGCCCTTTAAGGGTCTGCAAATGTGTCCAGACTAAGTCTGGGTGATTAATTGAAATTAAATTGCAAATGTAATTGAGCAAAGATGTCTTCCAGCTTTGCACATTTCTTTCTGATTTCTAACAATATATGACGTTTATTTTTGATTTCAGACCTGATGGTGGAGAATCCGGAGAAACCCCATGTCAGGAATGGTTTCACCTGCACTTGCTGTGGAAAGAGTTTGGCATGCAAAAAGAGTCTCCATTATCACATGATGATCCACACTGGGGAGAAACCGTACACGTGTCCTCTATGCTTGAAGAGTTTCAGATATCCCTCATCCTTCCATCAACACGTGCGGATCCACACTGGAGAGAAGCCACACAAGTGTGACCAATGCGACAAAACCTTTATGAAGGCTTCAAAGCTGAAGATCCATTTTAGAGTTCATACAAAGGAGAAGCCGTATCCGTGTTCTGAGTGTGGGAAGAGTTTTTCAGTTCGGTCGAGTTTGATAAATCATCAGAAGATCCACACTGGAGTGAAAGAGCACGTGTGCTTTGAGTGCGACAAGGCTTTTATCACAGGCCCAAAACTGAATCGCCACCAGAGGATTCACACTGGAGAGAAACCGTTCAAGTGTTCACACTGCGACAGGAGATTCAGCCGGTCAGAACGTCAAAAAATACACGAGAGGATCCACACTGGAGAGAAACCGTACAAGTGTTCACACTGCGACAAGAGCTTCAGTCGCTCGGAATATCTAAAATCACATGAGAGGATTCACACTGGAAAGAAAGTCTACTGACGACACCGGTGCAGCAAAACATTTTAATTTTCACATCAGAATCGTAAATCGGTATGGCATAAGTACTTGCAGTATTTAAGGTACTTAAGCTAGGGGTCTCAAACTCATGGCAGAGGGGCATTTCAGTGACTGAAAATTCATAGGAGGTGTGCTGATTCGCCTTTATTTAATCACCCTAATTAAACAAAGTTAAAATCAGGATCCTCCCTTCGCTATATTTCTTAGTTAGAGTTTAGTTAAAGGATCGTCTTTAAAGAACGTATTTTGCAAAAGAATAAATTAGATCATACTTTACCACACAGGGTAACTTGATGGGTTCTGGAAATGAATTCAATGTCCACTCCAGTGAAGAAAAGTAAAAAAATACACTTTTATTAATAAAACAAAATCCAGTGAAAAAGTAAAATAAACAAAAGACAAATAACAGAAACAAAAATCCTTACTTTATTCTCCATTGAGAACAAAGGGCCTACGACTCTCAGTATACAGAAAGCGCAAAGCTAAAGAGTACAAGTCAGCTTTTATACTCAATGTCTCATATAATAGTGTTCATAAATCATGCAAAAACTACTTAACTCATACATTCAAGGAGCATGCTAAATCACTTGAACAATAGGAAGACAGATATATGAGTACATAGAAATCAATACATGGGCCTTTTTAATATCAGCCTCACTTCCCTCAGTTATGCCCCAGATTTAGGTGTTCGAGCTCGGTAGAAGTACGAGGAGGGAGTTCACCTAAAGTACAAGGGAGGGGGTCACTTGAAGTTCCAAAGGGTTCACAGAGAGTTCGTCCAGCTGGTTTGTTGGCTCGGCGCGCCCTCTGCCGGAGACGCCTGTTCTTTCTCTTACGTTTCACTTCATCACTAAGAGTTGTGCTTTTACGCATAGGAATATCAGAATACATCAGTGATTTTTTTGTGTCTCACATGATTAATGTCATCTGACCCATCAAACATCACAGAGGGCCCTTTTAACATTCAAGCACAAGAAAGAAGTGGAAACTTGACATAATTGATGCACCTTAGGACAATTTCAAGCATTACTTGTCACCAGTGATAATGCAAATCAGCACGTTTATCGTGTCACACATCAGCTGCTGAATTATATCTGTGGTTGTCCGAGCGTTAGATGGTGTTGGAATATTTGGCCAATTCCTTGTGTGTTCAAAGGTCTGGAGAGGGTTTTCTTTAATGCCAAAAATATTAGTAGTTTATCAGATACAACTGAATAATTTGATGACAGAGCTCTGGGTTACGTTACCCCAATGCAATACAAGAATTACATTCAAAAGGTTCGCAACTCACATACATTCCCTGACTCCAGCATATATACACAACTGATATTAACAGGTGGAGTTTTGGTGTAACGTCACTTATCAGTCATTCTGCAGTCCTTTTGCTCTTGTACTCCCAGACATACTTCCTCTTTCTGCAACCCCTCTCTGCATACCAGAACTGAACAATTACGTGCATCTTTACTATATTTTACATCTTCTACAAAGCATCATGACAACTTGTGACATGTCTAGACTTTGTATTAAACAAAGGCCCCCACACTTATTCTGCTTTTTCCACTTGTCAGCATGTTCCTTAAAGTATGCAGCACAGTAAAAAAGAGGACGTGTGTCTGGTCAAGATGTGTTATAATACAATAGAAAAGATTGATTAATCTGCTGTTAGTCTAAACATTTTTCTAATAAATAAAAACACAAAAGTAATAAAAATAAATTCCTTTTTTCCCCAACAATACACACTCAGTCATTCTTCCACAGAGTAAATGCAGTCAAAACTCCAGCTTTTAGTTTCTTCTTGTACATATTAAAGGGGGAGTTTAAATAGCCCTGAATATACTACAAATAATAGGTATTGTAATTATTATTCTGTCCCAACTAATTGTATTGTCCCAACAGCGTAAAAACAGCAGTCTGGGAAACTTTAGTGACTTTACTGGCAGTCCGTCTTCTCAATATCTTTCAACAAAGAATGGAAAAGTATGTAAATATTCTCATTTACTTTAACAAGTTCAATTCAACCTGCTGTTAAATGTACATAGCTTTCATAGAAATCTCTGTAGGCATCTATTAAATGAGTCCATTTGAATCGAATATTAGCAAAGTGATCATATTTGTTACAGCACCAGCATAATGTGTAAGCCATGAGGAAGTGTTTGATAAAATACAAGTCGTGTAAAACTGATCAAACAACTGCTTAAGACTTAAAAAAGTAGAACTTTAGTAAAAAAAGGACACATATATTTCAACATTTAAATCTGCCATGGAAATAAAACGCATGTGAGTTGCTCTCGAGCACACACTGAGAAAATGAAAGTGAAACTAATCTGAGTGCAGGACTTTAAATGTTGACTAGGGGGCTGGTCAAAACCACAAGTGGCTAGATGCCACTGAACAACAATGATTCATTCATTCATTCATTCATTTTCTGCCGCTTTTCCGGGGCTGGGTCACAGGGGCAGTAGTCTTAGGAGAGAACCCTAGACTTCCCTCTCCTCAGACACTTCCTCCAGCTCCTCCGGGGGGATCCTGAGGTGTTTCCTGGCCAGCCGGGAGACATAGTCCATCCAGCATGTCCTGGGTCTTCCCCGAGGCCTCCTCGTGGTGGGACGTGCCTGAAACACCTCCCCAGGTAGGCGTCAAGGAGGCATCCAAAACAGATGCCCGAGCCACCTCAGCTGACTTCTCTCCATGTGGAGGAGCAGCAGCTCTACTCCGAGCTCCTCCCGGGTGTCAGAGCTCCTCACCCTATCCATAAGAGTGCGCCCTGCCACCCTGCAAATGAAAGTCATTTCGGCCGCTTATATCCGAGATCTTGTCCTTTCGGTCATGATCTAAAGCTCATGCCCATACAATCCGGTCAATCTACGTTCCTACTCTCACCTATGGTCAACAGCAATGATAGTGGTTCAGATATGCATGTTTTGGTGGGGCGAATCTTATGTTTTTGACATCGGTTGCGGGCTGGAGGGAGGAGGAGAGTGGACAGTTTGAGACCCCTGACTTAAAGACTGCAAATACAAACAACAGTTCTGTATAAATTAACTCAAGAGTAGCAGAATATTTGTATGTCTAAGAAATACATTTTGCAAATAAATCTCTTTTTTTGACTGAAGAATGTTGACTATTTCTTCCACTGAGAGGTACAGGGGTGTGTTTCTAAAAACCCTCGTTAGCCAACCAAAGGCTGATTTCTATTTTAGCCTGGGTCTGCAGTACGAGCCTCCACTGACTGTGCACCCACAGCTTAGAACTGTGAAGGCTTTGACACGGTCGCTGTTGTACAGTTAATTGTACCAACAGGGGGCGACTCAGAGTGACTGTCATTATGAATCCATAGTAAGGAAGAAGTCAGCGAGTGGGGCTGCTAAATTAATTTAACTTTAAAATGATTAAGTTGTGGGTGGCGCAGTGGGTAGCATGATCACCTCACAGCAAGATGGTCGCTAGTTTGAGTCCCGGCCAGTTCAGTTGCAATTTATGTGTGGAGTTTGCATGTTCTCCTCATGTTCGCGTGGATTTCCTCCGGGTGCTCCGTTTTCCTCCACAGTCCAAAGACAAACAGTACCAGTGAATTGAATAAGCTATATTTGTCCAATGTCCGTATGAGTGTGAATGAGTGTGTATGGGTGTTTCCCAGTGATGGGTTGCAGCTGGAAATTCATCCGCTGTGTAAAACATGCTGGATAAGTTGGCGGTTTGACTAAGCCGAAAAGAAAATGAATGAATGACTGAATAAGTTGAGAAAAGGTTTCTTTTAGTACAGTTGCCCTATGTTAACAGTGTCCAAAAGCACCTTTGACTTTTCTGGGCTCAGAAGCATCTGGGATAGACTGTCACACAGTGGAAACATGTATTGTGGTCAAATGAGTCAGTATTTCTGGTATTTTGGGGGGAGATGGATGCTGTGTGCTGCGGACCAAAGAAGATAAAGGATCACCCAGACTGTTACCTGCAACAAGTCCAAAATCCAGAGTCTGTCATGGTCTGGGGTTGTGTCCGTGCACTTGCCAAAGGTAACCTGCACTTCTGTGATGCACCATCAATGCTGAAAAGTCCAGAGAGATTTTGGTGCACAATATGCCGTCTTCTTCTCCAGGGATGCCCATGCATATTCTAACAAGACAATGCAGAACCACATTCTGCACACATTACACAGTTCTGGCTGCACAGGATGCAGAGAGAGGATACAGGTACCTGAGTGGTGGGTACACTTCATCACTTGATGTCTTCAGTCCCTAAACATCTTTTAAGTGTGAAAAGGAATTACAGTGGTGGTAAATGCTTTACTGTGCCAAATGTTTTGAAATACGTTGCAAGAACCAAAATTAGAATACGTGTTTAAAATAAAAATCATAAAAACACATTGAATATTATTGTTGCATTGTCTACAATGAAATACAAGTCAAAGTCAAAAAGCAGCATGCATAACAACTTCAAATTGCGTAGGATTCTATCTGTTTAAAGTTTATCCAGAAACACAAGAGAGATGTCAATTGAAAAGCATCATTATTTATTAACTGACTTTAATCTCTGATATCATCTGTGTAGTCCAATTATTTGATCCAGTACTTTATTTCGACCTCAGTAATTCTTCACCTCGGTGATGTTTAAGAACGTGCAAAGCTTTTCCTCAAATAGTTTTCTTTATTATTATGCAAAAATGAAAATATACAATCACAGTATATTAAAAAGAAATTGAAAAGGCAAAAAGAACACATTTTTCGGAAAAGAAACAACAACAGAAAAACGAAAGAAAAACAGAGACAAGCAGGAGGGGTAAATACATTACACATTAAAGAAAAAGATTATATAATTTACAAATTTCTGTTGTTTTTAAAGCCTTTTTTGTAAAAGAGTTAGAAACTGTTTCAAAGTAATGCTGCATTTCAGTAAGCAAAATGTATATAAAAAAAAGGTTTTTGGTTTGAAAATTTACATTTTTGTATATAAAATTTTGTTAATAAAATAAGAAGATTAAGAAAAAATATTTCTTTTTATGTAAAGCTTCTGTTTTATAATTAACAAAACCAAACAAAACATTTTCCCATAGTAAGGAAAAGTCTTTATCAACATTCTCAATTATAAAAAGAGAAAAATCCTTCCAAAGCAACCTAGAGTAACTGCATTGCCAAAATAAGTGAACCAGTGACTCAGGGTGCTAGTGTTTCTTATGTTTCCCTGAGCTCGCCTCGCGGTGATGACGTCATCAGCAGCGCGCGCTCCTGTGTCATCTGAGGCGAGTCGAGGTGAGTTAAACAGTTTACGCTATTCCGTATGTTTACCTTAATATTAAGCTCGTTTTTAAAGCAGTCGTTCACAGAGGTATCTCTGAATGTTTTTTATCAACTAAGCTTTTGGCGTCCGCGCTAAATTCTGTCCGTTTTTTTCAATGTTATTCACATTTCTCATAACGTCAGCGAGCTAATAACATATTGTTTTGATGAATGTAGTTATTTTAGAAAGTCAATATAGTGTGATTATAAGATTATAGTTAGCTTGTGATTGCTGCAGTAAATTGATAAATAATAGTGTCATCTGTCACACTCAGGATTAACTGAGCAGAACTAATATTGACATATCTCAAGGCTAATTGTAGCTCCTAACTTGAGGAAATCTTCCAGCCTTTAATATTTGCTTTAAGAGTATGTCATTAAGTGTTTAGATAGAGGTAAAGTTGGTTTTATATTCAGATATTCACACATTCTCCTTAATAATATCATTTCAGAGAAGTATTCTTTGCAAAATCTAAATAGTGAAATCACATCAGCAGCAAATGACTATCAAAGTACAGCATTGTTCACAGTGAATTAGACAGTGCTAATGCTGTTTTTAAGTCATACTTGCATGCTAATTCCGATCAAATATTCAAAGTAACATGGTAAACAATATAGAGACTGCTAAATGAACGAATGTGTGAATATAAAACCAACTTCACCTCTATAGTGTTTTGCGCTAAACCTTGCTGATGCATCCATAATAATAGAGGTAAAGTTAGTTTTCAATCCAGATATTCAGACATTCTCGTTAATATAAATTCAAAAAAATAATATTTGCAAATTCAAAATAGGGAAATCATATTAGCAGCCAATGAATATCAAAGTACAGCATTTCTCACAGTGAATTAGACAGTGCTAATGCTGTTTAGAAGTCATACTGGCATGCTAATTCCCAGGCCCGGATTAAGAACTCAGGGGCCCCTGGGCACATTATCTTGTAAGGCCCCCTACCTGGCCGCACCCCTATAGTTGAATTTAAAAAATAAGAATGATATAATAATTTTTGAATAAAATGAATCTATAATTTGCTGCCCGCATATTTAAATAAATTATATATAGTACATATGTATTTATAGTCTGCAAAGATTTAACTTATTTTTCAAAGCATTAAATAAAAATACTAATAAAACTATATATATATATATATATATATATATATATATATATATATATATATATATATATATATATATATATATATTTTTTTTTTTTTTTTTTAAGGGTGTTTTAGTGTATTGCTTTTACAAACTTATAAAGCATATTATTGCCATGGCATATAACGCACAATGCTTCTCTAATCCAGTTCTATGAATCTGAGTTCTATGAATCTGAGTCTTTCATAATACAAACACTGATTTACTGTCTCTCTCCTCCTTTCCCTGTATTTTCTCTACTCTTCTCGTGATGAAGACTTGATTATAAACCTAAAAGTATCCGAAATCACAGACACTTTACCTCTTCTCTCCCCTCTCTCTCTCCCCCCCTCTCTCTCTCCCTTTCTGTCTGTCTCTCACACGATGAATCCAGTCCGCGCTGCGCTGCCGTTAGCCTCCTCCGCCTGGTTAATGCTAGCTACTCATCATTTAAAGTTAACGTCTTCTTCTGTACCCTCATTCTCCTGATCATGGGTCTGTTTGAAGAAGGTGTGTATGGAAAATGCCTCAATGAAGATGCCTCCTCTCCTCTTTCTCTCGCGTTTGCTAAATCCACTTGTCCACTCATTTTTGATCTATGACAGATATAACGTTACACTACAGTCCGCTCAGTTTAGTGCGGGTTATTACAAAACTGACGTTTCCGCACTTGACCAATTACAGCATTCTGTTTAGTTAAAGAAAGAAAGGCAATTTAAATATAATAATAATATTAATATGTGAGAGCGATTTTTTTGCTCAGAGGAAATACAGTCGTCTGAGCAATATAGTTTTTGAAGAGAGGGAGGCGCGGCAGGCGCCTATAATAAGGCTAAACATTATTAAATACCCACGAGACACTTGTGACTTTATATCACATTTGCATTATTTTTAAAAAATGTTTCTTTCCTGTTAAAAATAAATATATTTCCAATCTGATATGTAATGGGGAGAAAAAAAAGTAGCACGAGTTCAGCTGATGGTGGATTCGAACCGATGTTATGATTAATCGCATCAAAAGATGATGCTGTGCGCCTTACAATGTGCGCCACTGCGGCTGAGTAATTTCACTGCTCCTTACTCATCTTGTCTCTATCAATCAGGCATCGATGGGCGTAAACCCTGAATAGCTTAGTCCAACTAGATGCGCTATTTGCCATTAGCCTAAAAAGACACTCCGAAATTGTCTTTTTTTCTCCCCCCTCGCAGGGGCCCCAAGTGCGCTCGGGCCCCTGGGCCTGTGCCCATAAGGCCCATTGGTTAATCCGGCCCTGCTAATTCCGATCGAATATTTAAAGTAAAACGGTAAACAATATAGGGACTGCTAAATGAACGAATGTGCGAATATAAAACCAACTTTATCTCTGTTCCATAATGAATCTCCTAATGAATGCAAACGGGTGTTTTTTGTTCTATAGAGATTCTCTTATCCTTCTGATTAGCATCATCTCTTATGGGTTGTGCAGTTAAATTAACAAAATTTCTGCAAATCATCTTGTTTACTGTAAATTCACACACTTTTTAAGGCACATCCATAAAATCCACGTTGGTAAAGTTGATTTATGATGTTTAAATTTTGAAGCACGTTTACAGATTGATATTTCGTCTGAACTTTTAACTCGGTGGTTATTTGTTTTGAAAAGAATAAACCTTTGTTTCAATATAATGCTAACATATGCATTCTCTGTGAATTTAATTTAAAGTTTTTACTGTATATGTCACATCTATAATGCTGAAAGTGCTCTTGTGTAAATCCAGGGCCTAAAACGAGCTGTTTGCCAAACCTGCCAATGGTTGCTGACATGAGAAAATTTACTAGCCAAATATGTTTTATTGGCCCTAAAACTTTTTGCGAAGACAGGCAGTTAGTCTACAGTAACTAACAATATTTACAATGCTGTTGTTGTTTTGTATTGCTTAACTTTCAAGACAAATTGAGTAATGAATTTGTTTGGATTTGCTAATTAATTTTTTTTTGACTGAAATCCAGACAGTCAAATTAGTATACTCTTGTTTTCACACCCATTTCTATTAGCTTTCAGTCTTAAACAAAACTCTAGAGTAAATGGGCCCTATCATACACCCGGCGCAATGTGGCGCTAGGTGTGACGCAATTGTTGTTTGTTAGTTTCAGCTTGGCGTAGGAGTCGTTTTGACGTTTTCGCCACGCTGTTTAAATATGTGCGCCCATAGGTGTTCTGCTCTAAAAAGGAGGGGTGTTGAGGTGTATTGCTGGCGCGTTGCTATTTTGAGAAACTGTAATAGATTTTTCATTAGACCAAAACAAAGCCGGTCTATTGTCCAGCGCCTCGCTTACACACTGCTTAATACACACAAGATGAAGAGCAATGCGCAAATATCTTTACATATGAAAAATAATTAATATATTAAGAATATATATATAGGTTGTAATAAGGATATATATAGGATATAAATATAAAGGATTAAAATATTACAAAACATATTATTTTCCAACCTACATAAATATAAAAACCACTGCCTTCATGCCTTCAATATCTCTGGGGGCTTTTTCAGTTCATTCATGACAATTTGCTTTTGTATAATGTTATTATTATTAGCAGTATTATTTATTATCTGCATATTTATATTTGTTTTATTAAAACAGGCTTAGATTTGTCCACCTGTCAGGTTTCAGACCATATGGGGCACAGCATGTGTTTTAGGATATAACTCAGGTTTTTGAGCACACTTTGTTATTATTGTTCATTTATTCGTTTGCTGGAAATTAGAACTGAATTTAGAAATAGTTTCGAAGCAAATATTTGCACTTAACAAACTAAATTAATTATTTATAGGCTAATTGATGTCTGCGTACAAGGTTTCCCTATCCACAAGAGCGAAAGTGAAAGTGGATTATGAGATGCCTTATTCTCGTGCTGCAGATGCTTAACTGTTTTTTTGCTAGTGAAGTGTTCAGTTTTTCCATTTACAAAGTCGTCATGTAAATAGCAAATGCACCATGGCGCGACACAGCTGGCTCTTAAAGGGAATGAGAGATGAGACTCTGATTGGTTTATTCTCAAAACACATCTATAACTCATTAAAAACACAAGCTCAACCCTTTTAGACCATGCGCCACGGTGCAAAGCGGATTTTCCCGTCCTTATATTAGCAAAAGTGGATTATTTTTTTTAATATATATATATATATATTAGGGATGTAACGGTATCAGAATTTCACGGTACGGTAATACCTCGGTATGAATGTCACGGTACGGTATTTATTGAATCATTTACAGGAAAAACAAAACTTTTGAAAATACTCCAAAAAAGTGCCAAAAGTGTCAATGACATACAAATCAGCCATCTATCTGTAAGCTTTGAAACAGGAACTTCAATTTTAATAACAAAAAATTATTAAACCATGTAAAAAAATAAAGTTTCAATTTAGTATTGTTGAAAACTCATCACATTCAACATTTAATCACTCACTCACTTAGATAGAGATGGGTTTAAAGGAAAATTATCATATAACTATAATCTGGTAAAAGCTGGTATCTCTGGGTATTTACAATGTCCCCTGCAACAGAAATAAACCCTCTCATTTGGGACTGAGGATTCTGGGACAAGAGAGATATGACTTGGCCCATGTTGACAGCAGTGGGTAACGTTGTGCATTGTCTTTCCCCCACTTGAGAGGACAAACCATAAGTGAGATAGAGGTCTCTTTGCGGTACAAGTCAATGTCTGCATCAATCTGAACAGTGTGCTGTGTTTCTGCAGTCCCCATGACTGTTATTAGTCGTATTCCCCAACTTGCAGGCACGTGCACACATAGGGCTCAACCTGTGCAGTGCACATGCCCTTTTTAGTCTTGGATAGAAAATGCCCTTCCAAAACGATCAAAAGTGCACCCGCGACGCGACACAACCTCCGTCCAGCCCTTCAGTTGGTGCGCGACAACACCGCTCTTGAGTGTGCGCGCTCAACCCCCCCTCGGCGCTTTACAATATGCGCGCGACAACACAGCTGATGAGAACGCGCGCGACAACACAGCTGATGAGAACGCGCGCGACAACACAGCTGATCAGAACGCGCGCGACAACACAGCTGATCAGAACGCGCGCGACAACACAGCTGATCAGAACGCGCGCGACAACACAGCTGATGAGAACGCGCGCGACAACACAGCTGATCAGAACGCGCGCGACAACACAGCTGATGAGAACGCGCGCGACAACACAGCTGATGAGAACGCGCGCGACAACACAGCTGATGAGAACTCGCGCGACAACACAGCTGATCAGAACGCGCGCGACAACACAGCTGATCAGAACGCGCGCGACAACACAGCTGATGAGAACGCGCGCGACAACACAGCTGATGAGAACGCGCGCGACAACACCGCTATTCAGTACGCGCGCGGCGATAACACCCGCTTTAGGTTCGATCATTTCCATCTTTTTTTCATCTCCGCTACTAGCAGCACACTCCATTTCTGCATTACTGGATCTGTAGCGACAACAGACCGCAAAGGATTATGGCCACGCCTGGGCTGATGGGAAATGTAGTTTCAGCTACCTCCCGTTCGCTTCATTCGCCTGAGCAAACTTTTCTCAGAAGACCTATAGTTTTACCGAGTCATGCGACTTCGGTAATATCGAAAAAAAATTTATATTGCGGTATGACGGTATTTACAATACCGTTACATCCCTAATATATATATATATATATATATATATATATATATATATATATATATATATATTTTTTTTTTTTTTTTTTTTTTAGGGGTTTTCACCTTTATTTATAGGACAGTGGAGATATAGAGACAGGAAAGTGTGGGGAGCAGAGATAGGGGAAAGATCAGCAAAGGACCTCGAGACTGGAATCGAACTTGGGTCGCTGCGAGCACCTCTGTGCTATGTGTCGACGCACTAACCACCAGGCCACTGGCACAGACGCAAAAGTCGATTCTGACATGCTCTGAAAGCGTTTGCGTCCTGCGCTTTGTGCATAGACCGTCAAAATAGAGCCCATTATCTTCACTGCTTTCACAGCTCAATTTAAATAAGTAGTTTGAACAAACAGAAAATTATACATTTTTAAGTGTAGTCCGTTGTTTACTTTTTGCAAATTTGTCAATTTATGTTCAAAGTTAATTTTTTTTATGTTTCTGTTTTTAATTGAAATATAAATTTTAATTTTAATTGTTTTTAATTGTTTACTTTTTCCTATTAATTCTTTTTTTATCAGTGCACTTAAAAGCAATATTTCTACATAGCTTAATATAAATAAATAGGATGTTCATTAATATAAAAAGCAAAATCAGTAATCAGTTTCATTTGACATTTTTACAGATCTGCACGTTCTCATACACTGAAGCTCCTCCCCCTTTTATGAAGCTCCTCCTCCTTTTATGAAGCTCCTCCTCCTTCAGTTCAGCTATAAATACTGGAGTATTCCCATCAGTCTACAAGTGGAGACGAGCATCAGAGCATCGGGAAGAAGTGAAATCTGAAAGACAGAGAGAAGATGAGTGATCCAGAACCCTGCAGAATTAAAGAGGAAGAGACGGAAGAACAAATAGGTTGGTGTTTATTCTTGATTCTTTAATAATGCTTAACAATCCCTACAGGTAGACCAATAAATAACACAGAAAATTAAACAGATCTTAGATAAAGTCTTGAACCAATGGTTCAAATCTGAATTTTCAGAAATTGTACAGAAATGTGGGTTATAATAACACTTGAAAACAGGCAGGTCAAAGGTCCATCAGCTGCTTAAACTTTTTTGTTTGAAGGAGACGGAGATATTTACACTCCGCTACAGCAACTGTCTCATTACAGATCAAAACAGAACAGGGATGTGTCACATATGCTGGAATAAGACAAACATTTATATCACCCTATAAGTCATTTCATATCCTAATAATGATGTATATCATGGTATAGAACTATTTCTGTAAACTCAATCATTTCATTGTTAATATACACTCGCTGGCCACTTTACTAGGTACACCTGTCCAACTGCTCGTTAACGCAAATTTCTAATCACATAGCAGCACCTCAATGCATTTAGACGATCTGCTGCAGTTCAAAGCGACCATCAGAATGGGGAAGAAAGGGGGTTTAGGTGACTTTGAACGTGGCATGGTTGTTGCTGCCAGATGGGCTGCTCTGAGTATTTCAGAAACTGCTGATCCACTGTGATTATCACGCACAACCATCTCTAGGGTTTACAGAGAATGCTCCGACAAAGAGGAAATATCCAGTGAGCGGCAGTTCTGTGGCGCAAATGTCTTGTTGGTGCCCGAGGTCAGAGGAGAATGGCCAGACTGGTTCCAGCTGATAGAAAGGCAACAGTAACTCCAATAAGCACTCGTTACAACCGAGCTCTGCAGAAGAGCATCTCTGAACACACAACACAAACAACCTTGAGGCGGATGGGCTGGTTTGATGAGTCTCCATTTCTGCTGACACATTCGGATGCTCGGGTCAGAATTGGGCCTCAACAACATGAAAGCATGGATCCATCCTTAGGTGGTGTAATGGTGTGGGGGATATATTCTTGGCACACTTTGTGTCCATTAGTACCAATTGAGCATGGTGCTAACGCCAAAGCCTACTTATTACAGTTATGTTTTGTCATAATTATGAATACATATTCCTATTACAGTTTTCAAATATGTGTTTGTCTTTTCAATACAACAAAAATGGCAGTTTTTTAACGGTCATGACATAATAATGCACTTTTACTCGTATTTACATGAATGAACCCCAAGGGATCATTCTACAAAAAAGAAAATAAAAAACATAAAGTCTCCATCTAGAACTCCTCAATGGGACTGGTCAAACACTTAAGCTATTTGCCTTCCTCCGCCCCCACTGCTCTCGGCACCGCCCCCACTCATCAACTGCCCAACAGGGTACGGCGCATGGTATGCAATGGATGCTCTGGATCTTTGGCATGCACTCTATACTGAAGTAGGTATGACCAAATTTCTGTTTTTATTGTACGAGTAATTTAATGTGTTTCATGATATAGTCATTTAATTAATCATTCCAAAAAAAAAAAAGTTACAAAAATGGTTATAATAATCAACGGATTCTTCAGAAATGAAAATGTTTTGTTTCATTTAAACCTTGTTTAGACGGGAACCACCAGAAGTCTATAGCTACTAGAATTACCATTCTGACCATTTTCACACAAGACATTATATTGTCACATCATATTTACTTTCAAAGATTCTTTTGAGACATTGAAATTAAGCTTTGCATGTCTGTCGTCATATTTAATTAAGTCATCATCCTAAATATACAATCTTTTTGCTAATACAGCCAATAAAGGTATAGGTGGTTTGTGTTAGACGAGCCGTGACTTACTTTCATTTTCATTTTCTCAAGCAGGGGAGAAGGCACTTAATATGCTGTTTTGAAAGACATATCTGAAGTAACGTTGTTTCTGCCGACAGAATGTTATGTTTTTGATAGCAGTTGCTAAGCAACAGAGGTACGTTTATTTGCAAGAACAAAATCTGCTGTGTCCTGTTGTAGTTTTACGAGCACGTCTAAAAGCGTGAGCGGTTTCACTTTCGCCAGAGAGCTCGCTGCGTGTTTATATTTGAAATAACAAACTTTTTGAGCTCAAATTAATAACGTGATTGTGATTATTGAAGCGCTTCGATATTCGATCTTTTCAAAAAAGAGACAAATGCGAGAGTGAAGCACAAAGCCACAGTGAAGCCACAGCCATTTCACCCTGCAGCCCAAAACCAGTTACTCACTGAAGATAAGCAGGGCTGCGCCTGGTTAGTACCTGGATGGGAGACCACTAGGGAACACTAGGTTGCTGTTGGAAGTGGTGTTAGTGAGGCCAGCAGGGAGTCCTAATGCCCCAGTAAAAGTGAAGGGGACACTACACTGTCAGTGGGCGCCGTCTTTCAGATGAGACGTTAAACCGAGGTCCTGACTTTCTGTGGTCATTAAAAATCCCATGGCACTTCTCGTGAAAGAGCAGGGGTGTAACCCCGGTGTCCTGGCCAAAGTCCCTCTATCGGCCCTTACGATCATGGCCTCCCAATCATCTCCTTCCACCGAATTGGCTCTATCACTGTCACTTCACTTCACCAATAGCTGGTGTGTGGTGAGCGCACTGGCGCCGTTGTCCTGTGGCTGCCGTCGCATCATCCAAGTGGATGCTGCACACTGGTGGTGGTGTGGAGAGACCCCCCCCCTCATGATTGTGAAGCGCTTTGGGTGTACGGCCATACACAATTAATGCACTATATAAATACACATTACATTACAAAAAAAACCAAAGGAGAATCCGGGAAAAACGCTATGTAGGCTATATCATTGATCTGCAGTTATAATCAACTCGTGTTAATAGAAAAGTTAGTAATAAACATTTATACAGAAGTATTTATGTGTGTAAAGCGTCTGTTTTGTGAGAAGTGCTTCTCATATGATTTGTAAACGAACCCGTACAGCTTAACTGTAAACATTTACTCGAGTGAGAATGACGTAATCTAAAACATTCTGTCGTACAGCACCCCCACCAAAGGGGTACCTTTTAGGCAGTGGAAACACAAGCTTGATTAAGGTGACCCGTACCGAACCGTACCTCTCAGTGGAAACGGGCCATAACTTCATCAGTGATAATGGAGCCAGGGAACTTACTGATTTATTCTACACACAAGCTTCCAGGTTCCAGATTTCTTATATTAAATTTAATTTTGATTTCAGAACTGATGATGGAGAACGAGGAGAAACTTCATGTCAGGAAATCTTTCATCTGCACTCAGTGTGGAAGGAGTTTCACATCCAAACGGAATCTCCAGTTTCACACCATGATCCACACTGGAGAGAAGCCATTCACGTGTCCTCAGTGTGGGAAGAGTTTCAGAAAGTCATCACATCTTAATGAACACATCATGATCCACACTGGAGAGAAAACGCACAAGTGTGATCAATGCGGCAAAGCATTTTTAATGGCTTCAAAGCTGAAGAACCATCTTAGTCTTCATACAAACGACAGGCCTTATTTATGTACCGTGTGTGGAAAGAGTTTTACTCATCAAAATATTTTAAGAAAACATCAGAAGATCCACACTGGAGTGAAGGAGTTTGTGTGCTTTGAGTGCGAGAAGACTTTTTTTAGAGTTGCAGACTTGAAGCGGCACCAGAGGATTCACAGTGGAGAGAAACCGTACGAGTGTTCACACTGCCAAATGAGATTCAATCGTTCAGAATCCATGAAATCCCACCAGAGGACTCACACTGGGGAGAAACCCTTCAAGTGTTCACACTGCAACCAAAGATTCATCCAGTTGGGATATCTGAAAACACATGAGATGACTCACACCGGAGAGAAACCGTACAAGTGTTCGCACTGCGACAACAGATTCATCCAGGTAGGCCATCTGAGAAGACACGAGAGGATTCACACTGGGGAGAAACCGTACATGTGTTCGCACTGCGACAACAGATTCACTTCATCAGCAGATCTGAAAAGGCATGAGAGGATCCACACCGGAGAGAAACCTTACATGTGTTCCCACTGCGACAAGAGATTCCGGCATTTAGAAAGCCTTAAAAGACACAACAGAATTCACACTGGAAAGAACCTAACAAGTGTTCATACTGAGACAACAGATTCAATCATTTAGGAACAGACATGAGAGGAATTGCACTGGAGAGAAACTACTTAGTTGGTATTACAGTAAACACCCACATTAAACGGCATATGACGTGGGGTAGAAGCCTGCATCGCAGATGGTCATCTGCGGGAACCAATGGATCCGACCAGGCTTCTTGTAAAGCAGAATTAATTCCTTATAGGGTGGAACTCTGGTGTAATTTGAATGGGAGCGGAAGATTAAACCGTAGACTATCCCATTCCCAACATCCTTTCAGAAAAGCATATCTGCACTACAAACTGGATTTATACTCTCTGGCTATTCTAGGATGTCCTGACTGAGAGCATACAGCCGTGAGTTGTGGAAGCTTTTCATTACTTGCAGAAATGGCAAAAGTACACACATCCTTTACGAAAGTAGAAGTACAGATGCTCTAGTTCAAAGCAACTCTGGTAAAAGTTGAAGTACTGATTACACTTTTGTACTTAAGTAAAGGTAAAGAAGTACGGCCTGAAAAATTTACTTGAGTAAACAGTTCCTGTTTTAACCTTAGTCCAAAGACATGCGAGTATCGGCCAGCTGGTACCAATCCAAATCCAAATCTTGCACATGCGCTATATTCTGTGTTTATAAGCCAACTAAGCCATGAAGGTAGCCTATTATAAGGCACTAGAAAGTTATCATGTAGGCTGACTATATCCCAAATGTTTTGAAGCCATTCTGTAGTTTCAAGAGTTCACACTTAGCTGATGATTTATAAAAGCTTGTTTGGCATGTTGTCCCGGGAGAGAGCCCCGAGCTCAAGGGCTCCTCGAGCCCGGGGCTTCCTCCCGTTGGCAGAGCAAGAGGGGAGCCTGAGCTCGGTGGATCTCAGAACTTCCCTGCTGCGGTAGCTAATGGAACACAAGAGATTAAACAAAGCTTGGTTGTTATGTATGTTGAATGTCTTTGGATGGTGGGAGGAAACCGGAGAACCCGGGGAAAACCCACGCGGACACGAGGAGAACATACAAACTCCTCACAAAAACACCCACCGGTCCTGTGGAACCAGGGCTGGCAGTGTTCTTGCTGTGGGGCTCAAAGTGCTAACCACTGGGCCGCCGTGCCGCCCAATCAGAGGTAAAGGAGGAGAATAGGGGAGGAGGGGGGTTTCTTCCAAACGAAGATAAAGTGAACTGAAAACTGTGGCTATTTATAGTAGCTTAGGGCTCGTATGATTGGAAGATAGTGATTAGCAAATGCGAGACCGGCCGTGATAAATCATAAGCACGTGATCCTCTCGAAATTAGTTTATAAATAAACTTCACTTAATGTGAAGCACAGATGAATATTCAGGTGGTTAGAAATTTAACCACCTGAATATTCATCTATGCTTCACATTAAACTATAGATTAGTTTTCAGAGTTTTCAAGTCCCAAACCAAGCAAGCCAATTGTGAGGAACAAAACTTCACCAATTGACGAAGTGAAGGAAAAAGCCTCGAGAGAAACAAGGCTCAGTTAAGCACGACCATTTCTCTTCTGGCCAAACTTCTTGTGCAGAACTGCAGTCTAGGCGCTGGAGAAGCTGACAGTCATCGTGGAGAACTTCAGATGTGAGTAGGTCACTGGCGGGAGCACAGACTGGCCCACCAAATCAATGCAGAGACTCGAATGTCACTGGGGTCTTTCAGGAATCAGTCTCATACTCTCCACTCCTCTAAGACTGCCACAGCATCTGCTAAGGATACGGCCTGGTTCAGGATTATGGAGACCTCGGGATTATGAAAAACAGACTAACATGAGTGAAGATGCCATTCAAATTATGTCTTTTGGGAAGTATAAATTTATTTATTTATTTTTTTTTTTTGCACAACCTACATTTTTGGGTAAATGTGAGATTGTGGAAGCAAAATTTAAATATAGTGGAAACGGTCAGATGCAGTATAAAACTTGGCCAATCCTGTGCAGATCCCTGGTGTGGGGAAAACAAACCCTTAGAGCAGGGGTCACCAAACTTGTTCCTGGAGGGCTGGTGTCTTGCAGATTTTAGCTCCAACCCTAATCAAACACACCTGAACAAGCTAATCAAGGTCTTACTAGGTATCTTTGAAACACCCAGGCAGGTGTGTTGAGACAAGTTGGAGCTAAACCCTCCAGACCTCCAGGAACGAGATTGATGACCCCTGCCTTAGAGTGAATTTGCATAAACTTTGTTGGCCACTTGATCTTGATTCTTTGCCGTTATTATGATATATTTTGGCTTGTATAGTGTTGAAAAGTTGCTGTGTATTCTTTTACATCACTAATAAATTGAAAAATCTTGATCTTATGTTTTAAAGTCTCTAAGAGGCTGTGACAGCTGTCTATTAAAATGTGTTTCCTCAATTTAAATAAATGTAAAATAAAGATGTTATGTTTCAGTATGCTGTAATTGTGTTTTCTGTAAGGGTCCAAAGAGAGAAGTATTTTACGAGCAAGGCAGAATATGTCACACTGAAATAAAAAAAATTAGTGTTACAATTAATGTGGTTGGTGGTGGTCACGCTAGGTGTTGGTATTGTAACGGAGTTTACAGTTAAATCAAACGACCCTGCAAGATGATCAAAGACCAGAAGTCAGAGATACAATTAAATAAAGAAAAGATTGTCTTTGGACTGTGGGGGAAACTGGAGGCCCCGGGGAAAACCCACACCAACACGGTAAGAACATGCAAACTCCACACAGAAATGCCAACTGGTCCAGCCAGGACTTCTTGCTGGGAGGCGACAATGCTAACCACTGAGCCACCGTGCCATCTATGTCACACATCAGCAAACTGCGAAACTTGTCGCATGAGCTTGCGATTCCAGCCTGACGCATTCGCGTGTGTATGAATGGAAGTCTATGGGGTAAAAAGTCTAATGTGACCTCAGCTTTACCCCTTCATTTCACCTCTTTTCACCTCTTCACCTTCATTTCACCTCTTTTCAAGCTGGGATGGCCCATATTGGTTTTTATGCGTTCCTTAAATGTAATGTCAAGAGTTTTGATAAAAGAAACAAACTGCAAAGGCTTAAGGCAGGGGTGTCCAAACTCGGTCCTGTAGGGCCGACATTTTAGCTCCAATTTGCTTCAACACACTTGCAAGGATGTTTCTAGAATGGCTAGTAAGAGCTTGATTAGCTAGCCCAGGTGTGTCTGAATGGGGTTGGAACTAAACTTTGCAGGACACCGGCCTTCCAGGACCGAGTCTGGACTGGAATTTAGTTTGAGACTAGAGGTCTGCAATCATACTCTCACTTTATGAGCTCAGACTTGCGAGCTCGGGACTTGTGATGCAACACATCCCTGTAGACCAGGGGCGCTCAATCCTGTTCTTGGAGATTTACCCTCCTGCAGAGTTCAGCTCCAACCCCTTCAAACACAATTAAGCCAGCTAAGTAAGGTCACTTCGAAGAAGCACTTGATAATTAAAGGCAGGTGTTTGATCAAGGTTGTAGCTGAAGGAGATCTCCAGGAGCAGGATTACCCCTGCAATGTTCTTTCACTTACTACAATTTCACCTCTTTTCAAGCTGGGATGGCACAGATTGTTTTTTATGCATCCCTTTTATGTAATTTCGAGAGTATTGATAAGAGAAACAAATTGCAAAGGCTTAAGGCATAGGTCTCAAACTGTGGCATAGGTCTAATCAAGGTGTTCAAGACTCTTTTGAACACCTCGATTTAGTGGTTCAGCTGTGTTTGATTATGGTTGGAGCAAAACTGTGGAGAGCTGCGACCCTCCAGGAATTGAGTTTGAGACTAGAGGTCTGCAATCATACTCTCACTTGATGAGCTCAGACTTGGGACTTGTGATGCAACACATCCCTGTAGACCAGGGGCGCTCAACCCTGTTCTTGAAGATCTACCCTTCTGCAGAGTTCAGCTCCAACCCTTTCAAACACAACTAAGTAGGGTCACTTCGAAGAAAAACTTGTTAATTAAAGGCAGGTGTGTTTGATCAAGGTCGCAGCTGAAGTTGATGTCCAGAAGCAGGATTACCCTTTTCAAGCTGGAATGGCACAGATTGTTTTTTATCTATCCCTTATATGCAATGTCAAGAGTCTTGATAAGAGAAACAAACTGCAAAGGCTTAAGGCATAGGTCTCAAACCGTGGCATAGGACTCTGATGCAACTAATCAAGATGTTCAAGACTCTTTTGAGCACCTCGATTAAGTGGACCAGCTGTGTTTGATTAGGGTTGCTGTGCAGAGCTGCAGTCCTCCAGGAATTGACTTTGAGACCTATGGCTTAAAGGCATAATGCGGGAAGTCACAGAGAACTTAGCAGAACATATTTTTAAATATTGTCAACTATTGAGAAGATTTATTAATTACAAGGGTTATCTGCTATTAATCAACCGTCAATTGTGTTCATCCCTATTCTGCATATTTTAAACAAGTAACTTAAATTACTTTGCCTGTAATATTCTTTAACTTCGTCAGTGATAATGGATTTTGGACAAATAATTGATTTTTCATGATATCCTTCAGATAATTTTCAAGCTTCAAACATTTCTCCCTAATTTCTTATATTAAATGTAATTTTGATTTCAGACCTGATAATGGAGAACGAGGAGAAACTTCACCATGTCAAGAAATGTTTGACCTGCACTGAGTGTGGAAAGACATTTGCATCCAAACGGAATCTCAAGGTTCATACGAGGATCCACACTGGAGAGAAACCATTCGGATGCACTCAGTGTGGGAAGAGTTTCAGACAGTCATCATCCCTTAATCAACACATGCTGATCCACACCGGAGAGAAAACACAGAAGTGTGAACAATGCGGCAAAACATTTTTGAGGACTTCAGAGCTGAAGAGCCATCTTAGCGTTCATACAAACGAGAAGCCTTACTCGTGTTCGGAGTGTGGAAAAATCTTTACACACCAAAACCTTCTAAGAAAACATCAGAAGATTCACACTGGTGTGAGAGAGTTTGTGTGCTTTGAGTGTGAGAAGAGTTTTATTAGAATTGCAGACCTGAAACAGCACCAGAGGATTCACACTGGAGAGAAACCGTACAAGTGTTCACACTGCGACCAGAGATTCATTCAGTTAGGGCATCTGAAAGCGCACGAGAGGATTCACACTGGAGAGAAACCGTACAAGTGTTCACACTGCGACAACAGATTCGTTCAGTCAGGAGACCTGAAAAGACATGAGATGATTCACACCGGAGAGAAACCTTACAAGTGTTCACACTGCGACAACAGATTCAGTCAGTCCGCAGATCTGAAAAGACACAAGAGGATTCACACTGGAGAGAAACCGTACAAGTGTTCACACTGTGACAAAACGTTTCGTCAGTTAGGAAACCTGAAAAGACATGATAGGACTCACTCTGGAGAGATATCAAACTTGGTTGGCATTACTGAAAACACCTGTGTACCTGTGTATGTCGTGGGGGAAAACAATCTATTAGAGTGAATGTGCATATAGACTTTGTTAGCTGCTTGATCTTGATTCTCTGTAATTATTATGATTAATTTGAACTTGTTTCAATGCTAAAAGCTGCTGTTTGATGTTTTACACCAGGGGTCACCAAACTTGTTCCTGGAGGGTCGGTGTCCTGCAGATTTAAGCTCCAACCCTAATCAAACACACCTGAACAAGCTAATCAAGGTCTTACTAGGTATACTTGAAACATCCAGGCAGGTGTGTTTAGGTAAGTAAGAGCTAAACCCTGCAGGGACACCGGCCCTCCAGGACCGAGATTGGTGACTTCTGTTTTACACCATCAATCAATTTAAAAAACCCAATCATAACTTTTATATACGGTCAAATATACATATGCCTCCTGGTTGGATGAACACTCACAGCACTTTGCATTGTAAAACACAGCATATAAGCACTTTCAAGATAGCCCTTTATTTATCCTTTTATGGTGTAGTGTCAGTTACATTTGGCATACCTGCCAACACTCCCGTTTTTCCTGAGAGTCTTCCCTATTTTAGACCCATCTCCCACCACCCTCCAGTTTTGTTATTTCTCCCGGAAAACTCCCGTAATTTCAAGCTCCTTCAGTCCTCAGCATTTTGGTACAGTCTGTGAAACTCCCGGGTCGCCAACTTTGGTGTAGGATCCGATTGCAGCGGCCGCCCAAAACACGGTTCATTGTACAATTAGTAACACCACAGTACATGTAACCCCGCTGTTCTTACACCACCCAACCCGCTCCAAACTGGGATCGAACCGGCGACCTTCCACATGGGAGTCGGTTGCTCTACCAAGGAGTCTAAAGACCATGGCCTCTAGCATCTGTCGCTAGACCACCTTGCTTTAGAGGTCAGAGGAGTGGGGTGTACCTGCACAGCACTTACTAGCTGACCTCCGTTGCACTCACCCCCCTAAACTTCACCCCCATCCGGGTCACGGCACCAATGTAACCCCGCCGGTCCTACACCACCCAACCAGCGTCAAGCTGGTATTGAACCAGCGACCTTCCGCATGGGAGTCGGTTGCTCTACCAAGGAGTAGAGCAACCATGGTAGACCATGCCCTCTAGCGTCTGTCTCTAGAGCACCTTTAGAGGTCAGAGGAGTGAGGTTTACCTGTTTACTCTGTTACACTCAACCCCCTTAAACCTCACTCCCATCCTGGGTTTGGCACCAATGTAACCCCGCCGGTCCTACACCACCCAACCCGCTCCAAAATGCAAAGTTTCTGTCCATCTTGGATGAAGTCCTATACATTAATAGTCTTTTCTGAAACTTCCTTTAACAAACGGCCGACGAATCCTCTATTGTAAGCGTGTAGATTGCTAAAGCACTGGTGAGAAATAAGACGGGAACACAGCACAAGGCTGGGGCTATAATGCTGAGCTATTTTTGCAAAAATAAACTTCAACCACTGACTCTTCACAGCCTCTTGTTGACTATTTTATAGATGAATTAATAGGTTTAAACACGGTGCACTTTCAGATATAAGCCTTAGCTGGATATTTCACTTTATTTAGAGCTGTATTACACACTGTACGGAAGGTCATTTTCAGTAACCCATAACAGGGGCTCTTTAACTTCAAATTTGACAGTGCTTCGGCAGATTAACCAACCCACCTCACTCAATTACAAGGCATTTTAAAATCCTGTCTAATGGTTGAAAAGAAATGAGCCAGCACAGTCACTAAGAGGCTCTAATAGCTGTCTATCAAAATGTGGAGTGGATGATTTCCTGTGTTCCCTGAATTTAAATAACATGTTAAATAAAGACATTATGTTGCAGTATGCTGTAATTGTGTTTTCTGGAAGGGTCCACAGTACAAAGTATTTTAACAAGCTGAAAAACAGAATACAAATGTATTATTATTAAGTTTGATATATTAAATATATTTTAAGGGCTTTATTTATAAATAAACAGTCAAGTTCTTTCTACAGATGTATTATTCAATTTTATACATTTTTTTATACACAAAGCTTCTCCTCGACTTGTTTTCCCAAAATACATTATATATAAAAGTTTTTTTTATCATTATAATGTTTAACAACCATGCCATTATAAGTACATTTGCATATAACAAAAAAAAAGTGCAAAAAAGGTAATAAATTACATACATAAAAAACATAACATTTCATAAAAAAATAGCAAAATACAATGAGGGTTTTTCCTGTAGTTTATGCCTTTCTATAAAAGACAACATCAATTGGAGGTTTTGTTTTCATGATCTTCAGGGCTTTTATATGTGTTTTATACACTTACTGGCCACTTTATCAGGTACACCGGTCCAACTGCTTGTTAATGCAGTGACTTTAAATGTGGCATGGTTGTTGATGCCAGTCGGAGTATTTCAGAAACTGCTGATCTACTGGGATTTTCATGCACAACCATCTCTAGGGTTGTGCATCAAATCTGCAGCAACTGCGTGATGCTATCCTGTCATTATGGAGCAAAATCTCTGAGGAATATTTCCAGTACCTTGTTGAATCTACACCATGAAGGATTAAGGCAGTTCTGAAGACAAAAGGGGTCCAATCCGTTACTAGTGAGGTGTAACCTTATAAACTTAAAAAGTACACCGGTGTGTACTTTTATATACACCGGTGAGTGTATATAAAAGTACTACATATACTGCTTACTAACTGTTTAGTTGTTTTTTTTATTCTCTACTTGTATCATGATGTACTGTTGGCATGTTGTGTGATTTGTATTTCTGTTGTTGCAGTATGTGTTCATATGTTCATATCAAAATAACGCTGAGCTCGTCTCGATGTGATGACGTCATCAGCTGCGCGCGCTCCCGAGTCCTGTCAGGCGAGGTGAGTAGAACTGTTTACCCTATTTTGCTTGTTTACCCGATTGTAACGTTATTTTTTTTACTGTTTTACAGTGTAAATGATTTTCGTCGAAAGTATTGTAGCTTATGCTCTTATTTTCGAGGGCTTTATGTGTCCATTTCGCATACTAAACACCAAATAACAGTTACAAGATAAGAAAGCAAGCTGTAATGCTGTGAATATGTTATAAGGTTTCTTTAAAAAAACATACATTTGGATTAATGTTGACAATTAACATGGCTGCTGTTAGTTTCTGGGTGTTTTTAAGTGTCGTTTGAGAAACTATTATTATATTTCACACGATAAAGTGACCAGAGCCCATATTCACAAAACATCTTAAAGCTAAAAGCAGCTTTAATTGCGAGGTGTAAGCCCTAATTACAGTTATGACTCCTAAATATTTGCTTTAAATATGTTTTACAATGTGTTTTAGCACAATCTAACTCATAAATCAGTGAAACGTAAGCAACGAAGTGACTCAAGTCACTAGGATGAAACTGAAAACTATCTTTTGCTATATTTTAGAAACATTTGAGCACAATAAGCATTTATAAATGTGTACCCTGCTGAAAAATCCAGCTCAAACCAGCCTAGGCTGGTCGGCTGGTTTTAGCTGGTCGACCAGCCTGGTTTTAGAGGGGTTTTGGCCACTTCCAGGCTGGTCTCCAGCCATTTCCAGCCTGGTCTTAGCTGGTCAGGCTGGGAGATGACCAGCTAAAACCAGCTTGACCAGCCTAGCCAAGCTGGGAGTCCAGCCAAAACCAGCTTAAACCAGGCTGGTTGAGCTGGTTTTAGCTGGATTTGGCTGGTCATTTTCCAGCCTGACCAGCTAAGACCAGCCTGGAAGTGGCCAAAACCCCTCTAAAACCAGGCTGGTCAACCAGCTAAAACCAGCCGACCAGCCTAGGCTGGTTTAAGCTGGAATTTTCAGCAGGGTATATGCAGGGGTTTTCTTACATGTTTTAAAATATGTTTACAGTAATGTCAAAATACGTGAAAAGGGAACAATTTGTATTTACAAAAAATATAGTAATGCAAATATATGTTTTACAAATGCACCTCGGAATTATAAGGTTCTCTCTGCGTTCGGAATGATTTGAAGATAATGAGCTTCAAAGTTTTTGCATTCCATAGCAGACAGTATGCGTGTAACATGTTTTTCAAATAAAAAGTCTTAAAATGTAAACAACTTATAAAAAAAACATCCCATCATGTAAATAAGTTGTCATTTTATGAGAATATGTCAATAACTCAATTTTGACAAAAATGTCAGAAGCTTATAATTCTAAGGTGACGATATGTAGCTTCAAATTTAAAAAAATGTTTTTATGTGTTTTTGGCAAATAATTTTTTTAATGTGTAAAAATACTTGAATATATTTACATTTGCAATAAGTCATTTAGTAGACGCTGTTATCCACAGAGACTTAGAAGTAGGCCTGTCACAATCATCGATAAATGGAGTTGTTGTACTACACATCGACATATATATATATATATATATATATATATATATATATATATATATATATATATATATATATATATATATATATATATATATATATATATATCACCCATACAGCAACATCATTGCTGGTTGTGCAACATGTCTATCTCTGCTGGAGGTGTCAGTGTCAGCATGGTTAAAAAACACTCTAGTATTTACTCTAGTATATTTTGATGTGGGTGTCTGACAACTAAACAAATAGATCTGCTAGCAGATATCACAGCCTCTCTTACTCTTTACCCTGTCAACATTTATTATTATTTATTTATAATAATGCCTCCTTATTAAAACGTTAAAACGACTATAAATATTCTTAAGAATAAAGGTGTAGGTGTACACACCTAATAAGCATTTATAGCAACAAGGTCAACCCTTTGCTTGTCTCGGCAGCTTTGTGAACAAGTTTAAAGAAGAGAAAAAGCATAACTGACATTTCAGCATTTATTATTTTAAGATGAAACACATAAATAACTGATTTATGTTTAATCTTTGCAGATCTGCTTGTCCTCCTTCAGTTCATAAATATATATATATATAAATACTGGAGTTTTCCCATCAGTCTACAAGTGAAGACGAGCATCAGAGCATCAGGGAGAAGTGAAATCTGAAAGACAGAGTTTATTGAAGGACAGAGAGAAGATGAGTGATCCAGAACCCTGCAGAATTAAACAGGAAGAGACTGAAGAGCAAACGGGTTGGTGTTGATTCCTGATTTTTCATTAATGTTCAAAAGCATTCCCCATATAGTTAGACCAAGAAATAACACAGAAAACTCTTTAAACTAAATAAATCCTGTATTTTATTCAGGTGAAATGGTCATCGAAATTAGTTTGATAATATATCAAATAACCAAGATAAAAATGATTTAAGTGGTTTTTATATTATATATATATATTTGTATTGTATATGTATTGTTCAGATTTTTCACTGTCCTGTAACCTCTGTTTGGGACATGCCTAAATACACTTACAAACCTGACACGGACTTTAACAAGAGACTTTTAAACATATATTAAAGGTTTTTGTGCAGCTCTTTCTTGCTTTAGTATGTCTGTAATGCCTTTTGAGCTAGAGATTCATTTGTCCTCAGGGTTCTAAGCCTGATGGTGAATAATTACATGCTGATTACCTGCATAAAGCAGCATTAAAAAGGCTGGAACACAGTGTATGAAAAGGTAAATCCCACATCCCAATCCCATACAGCAGAATTTAAACTTATTGCTGTACACTACCTGACAAAAGAATTGTCACCTATCCAAGTTTTAGGAGCATCAACAAATAATAACTCGACTTTTAGTTGATGATTTGGTATCAGAAGTGTCTTATATGAAAGGCAAAGGCCTCTAGATTTTGCTTATTTGACTAAAATAAAATCTGATCATGTCTTGATGTTGACTGATTTGATGAGGACAGTAAGGTCTGACTCTGCTTAGACTAAAGTCTCATCACTGAACCTTCAATAATGTCCAGTATAGAATATAAAGTCCTGCTGCAGTGGAGACAGAATGAATATTGTGTCTGACTCCATCATGAGCTTGGAGGACTGCATCCATACATCTCTGACATGAAGCGTTCTTGCAGGACTCTTAGACTAAATCAAGGTTCTTTAGATTCATCTTCAACGCCTCCTCCATCATCTTACCCCAGACATACTCAATAATGTTTATGTCTGGTGACTGGGCTGGCCAATCCTGGAGCAGCTTGACCTTCTCTGCTTTCAGGAGCTTTGATGTGGAGGCTGAAGTATGAACAGGAGCGCTATGTTGCTGGAGAATTGTCCCTCTCCTGTGGTTTGTAATGTAATGGGCAGCACAGATGTCTTGATACCTCAGGCTGTTGATGTTGCAGATCTCTCACACGCCCTCATACTGAATGAACCCCAAACCATGATGTCTCCTTCACCAGACTTGACTGATTTCAATGAGAATTTTGGCTCCATGCTGGTTGCAGTAGGTCTTCTTCAGTATTGGTCAAGATTCGGATGCAGATCAACAGATGATTCAGCAGAGAAATCCACCTTCTGAGACTTTTCCAAATGTTTTGCACTCAAGTCTGCGTCGATGCATCATCGATATCAAGAACACATGCGGGAACTTTTATGCTTCCTCCATTCTTGTAGACTTGAGATTTGGAACTGAACTTTGGCAGTTGATGAGGACGTTAAACGAGAACACGAGGACTCAAGAACGCTAAAGATCATCATCTCGCTGATCACCAGCAGAAGCATATAAGCACAATGTTCACATAAAACACCTGGTCAAAGAGATGTTTCATCAACTCATTCCTGTTATATTTGAACTTCATCTGTCTCCAGTCGTATTTACCGTTACAGAATGTACAGAAGGAACAACCGATGTAAGGGTGCTTTCACACCTACACTTTTGTTTCTGAACGTATCTCGTTTGCCCAGTTAGCGCGGTTCGTTTGGTTAATGTGAACAGGGCAATCGCGCTCTGTTCCGCGCCAAAGTAATCGCTCCGAGATCGCTTGAATGAGGTGGTTTCGGCTCGATTGAAACCAACCCTGGAGCGGTTCGATTGCAGTGAGAAAGCGATCTGATTCAAGCGTGGTTATATCACAGTGTTTATGGATATGTAATAGGCTTACGGCTATATGAAGAGAGAGTTATGAGTAGGGCGGGAAGTTTCGCGAGTCTCCGGATGCCCGCAAACAAGTGATGATCTCCCGCTAATCTCGCGTCTCCCTCCCGGTCCTCAAATAGGCATCGTCGCGCACCCTTCTCACCCCTCCCCCCCGCATCTCTCCTCAGACACGTCGCACCCTGTCAAACACCACCAAACCACCACCTCTCCTGACAGCTGAGCGGGACGCTGCAAAATAAACCCTGACACTCTGACCAATGTGAGGAGAGTTTACTCACACGTGACTTGTTTTAGCTCTTTTGGTCCGATTAGAAACTTTGCAGTGTGAAAGCGAACCGCTCCAAGAGCAAAGAGCAACAATGTAACAATTGTAATCTCTGTTTCGGAACAACTGAGTCGATTCACAGGTGTGAAAGCACCCTAAGAGGAGCTACTAAAGATACAACTCAACCAATAGCAACTGAAAAAGTTCTGTTACTGAGATTCTTGGATACCCACAAACTGTAATGCAAAATAAACAATGGCATCGTCAACCTTCAAATGCAGCACTCCAATCTAAAAGTACAAACTGAGTTCAAAATGTGTCTGATTCAGATCTATAATTCATCCTGATTCAATTGTGGATTTTTTAAAAATAAGAATACCTGTCACCAAATAGTGATAGCACAGCTCTCTCAAGTAATTAAAATGTAAACTGCACATACTTGACTGTGTATACACGAAGTCCTGGATGAACATCTTATAACTTATTTATACTTCTGCGTCGAGTGATCGGCATGATCCCTGGCGTCTGCCTTGCGAGTAGTCGTGCATTTATATTTCTGCATGCTGTTTGTGTTGCACTGCAATAACACTTCCAAAACGCTAGCTGACTGTATGTTTTTATGGTTCTATGTGTCGAGTTTCTTTGAAGGTATTTTGTTTTATCGGAACGCTACATGTAGCTAAAACTCACTCATTTAGAGGCGAGATCTGGCGAACGTGCAACAACTTTAATCATAAGGTAAACACAAAACAAAAGTTTCCATCTGGAGCTACTTGGCAAGACTCAACACTCGTCAACACCAAGCGGCAACCTCCCGCTCTCCCTCAGGAAGCAAATACGGAACTGCAATTCATCCGAAATTTCGCTAGTCCTGGCCGCTCCTGGCTCCAAAACAGAGCAAATTTCAATTGAGCCCACTGTTAGAATGGCCAACTTTACAGCAGAAAAAAAAGGTGTTTACAGCCTGGTACAAAAAAAGATTTTGGTTAATACAGCTAATATTACCCTTCATGACAACTGTGAGGGGGGTGATATTTTTTATAACTCATCCGTTTCCTTAAGTTTATATTAAGTTATATTAAGTTTGCATAATTAAGGGGCGTGGCCATTTGAGTGACAGCTAGGTCTCGTTGGTCGCCGTCACGTCACCTCAGCTGAATCCTGCAGATTAGCCACTGATCTCGGCATATTTATCGTATTTCTGTGTTGTTTTATGTGGCTTTACACAGTCAACTGCCTTTTGGACTTGTTTCCTACAATTATTAGATGGCATGGCATGCTGAGTGCACTTAATTGTGCTCACAAACCATTCACGTGGCCTCCGTTTCCCATGTGAGTAAAGTTATATACTTATATACCATCTCTATACATGTGTTTGTTTTATTTAAGATCATTTATCGTTTATATTTAGAGCTGTAAAGCACTCCAGAATCTGACAGATTGATTAGCTGTAGGCTCTAGAAAAGTCATCTGAAGCGTTGTCATACAGTGTTATGCTGGAGTTCATCAATAGTCCTGCATTTACTAACACAGACTACATCTGAAGTGTTTGGATGTAATTCACGTTTTCCTCCTGTTGAAAAACGTCATAAGAACAATGTTTAGTGGCTCAGTGTGTTACAGCAGTGTTTTTAAAAGACTAAACACTTTATTAAAATAGTATACAACCAAGCACAAGTGGTCAGAACACAAGCGAGTCGCAGGTGATAAAGTATTAAGCATTTCTCCCAAAGTAAAGTGTGTCTGAACCAGGTCCAAGTTAAATGCCAGCAGGTGTCTGTAGCTCCGCCCACTCTCCGTCTCTTTGCCCTTGTTTGGTATCCCGCCGTGGGTGTGATGACGCGCAAACAAAATGGCGACGGTTGGCCGTGCCTACTTGTGGCTTCTTTTGCGCTCTTTAGAAACCTATGGGTGACGTCACGGATACTACGTCCATATATTTTACAGTCTATGATTAACACTCGCTCTAATGGGTTTGTTTGACTCTCGGTCCTGCCCCCATTTGTCAGAGCTACCTAGCCAACCAATCACGGAGTTTGTGATACGCATAGTTTTGACGTATTGTTACATTCTTTTTAAAGGTGCACAATAGCGCTGGCGTCAGATGTATAAAGTGAACCAGAAGTATTAATCAGCCTTCAGTGCACACAGCAGAAGCATTCTGTTAGTGCTTAATTGACCAATAAGGATGTTCACCGATTTAAATGGATACCAGCAATTAATTGTTTGCATTCATATCCTGCTTTAACTCGATTATTGATAACAGATTTGATCTTGAATACAAAAATGATCTTTCACGTGGGCTGCAATAATGCATTACATTTAAATTTTGATTTCAGATCTGATGGAGAACGAGGAGAAACTTTGTCATGTCAGGAAATCTTTCACCTGCACTCAGTGTGGAAAGAGTCTGGCGTCTAAACGGAGTCTCTGGGTTCACATGAGGATCCACACTGGAGAGAAACCATTCACATGTGCTCAGTGTGGGAAGAGTTTCAGAGACTCGTCATATCTTAATCAACACGTGCTGACCCACCGAGAGAAAACACACAAGTGCGAACAATGCGGCAAAACATTTTTGAATGCTTCACATCTAAAACATCATCTTAAAGTGCATACAAACGAGAAGCCTTATTCGTGTTCTGAGTGTGGAAAGAGCTTTACATATCAGCAATATTTAACGCAACATCTGAAGATCCACACTGGTGTGAAAGAGTACGTGTGCTTTGAGTGTGAGAAGACTTTTTTTAGAGCTCAGCAATTGAAACAGCACCAAAGGATTCACACCGGAGAGAAACCGTACGGGTGTTCACACTGCGACAAGAGCTTCAGTCAGTCAGGAGATCTGAAAACACATGAGAAGACTCACACTGGAGAGATGCTTTACGAGTGTTCACACTGCGACAAGAGATTTGGTCATTTAGGAAATTTGAAAGCACATGAGAGGATCCACACTGGAGAGAAACCCTATCAGTGTTCCCACTGCGACAACAGATTCAATCACTTAGGAAGCCTGACAAAACATGAGAGGATTCACACTGGAGAGAAACCTTTTAAGTGTTCACACTGCGACAAGAGATTCAGTCTGTCAGGAAACCTGAAAAGGCATGAAAAGATTCACAGTGGAGAGAAACCGTACAAGTGTTCACACTGCGACAAGAGATTCATTGAATTAGGAAGCCTGAAATCACATGAGAGGATTCACACCGGAGAGAAACCGTACGAGTGTTCACACTGCGACAAGAGCTTCACTGAGTTGGGAAGCCTCAAATCACATAAAAGGATTCACACCGGAGAGAAACCTTACGAGTGTTCACACTGCAACATGAGATTCAGTCTGTTGGGAAACCTTAAAAAGCACAACAGGATTCACACCGGAGAGAAACCGTACAAGTGTTCACACTGCGACAAGAGATTCAGTTTGTTGGCAAACCTGAATCGACATGAGAGGATTCACACTGGAGAGAAACCTTATAAGTGTTCGCACTGCAACATGGGATTCAGTCTGTCAGGAAACCTGAAAAGACACGAGAGGATTCACTCTGGAGGAAAACCTTACAAGTGATCACATTGCAACAAGGGATTAGGACTTTTAGTCAGCCTGAAACTGTCCTGCTGGATGTACCTCCAACTTGGTTAAACACACCTACCTGAAAGCTTCTAATACGATAAGTAAGACCTTAGTTAATGTTTAATTAAATGTTTAATTTAAACAATTTGTTTCAAATTTTCCAGTCTGGCTTCAAAGGTTTGCACAGTACAGAATTGGCTCTGTTGAAAGTTTTTAATGAAATGTTTTAGCTACTGATCCGGGAGATTGCGTCATCCTTCTTGATCTAACTGCAGCAGGCACGTGCACACATAGGGCTCTACCTGTGCACTGCCCTTTAGTTCTGGATAGAAAGTGCTCTTCCAAAATGATCTCAAGTGCCCCCGCTTCCCCCTCCCCCGCTTCACAGTTTGCGACAACCCCCCACCCCCCCACTCTTCAGTTTGTGACAACCCCCCACCCCCCCACTCTTCAGTTTGTGACAACCCCCCCACCCCCCCACTCTTCAGTTTGTGACAACCCCCCACCCCCACACTCTTCAGTTTGTGACAACCCCCCTCCGCCGGTTTTCAATTATTTTATCCTGCACATGCCCCTTGGATAGTCTCTACACGGAGCTAAACTGCAGCTTTCGATACTGTGATATTTGAATCTCTCGGTTGGATAAATGCGTGGGCTTTAAAGGGGGCAGTGCCTGAGTAGTTCAGGTCCTACCTGGTAGGTCGGACAATCAGTGTCCACATTAGGGATTGTCTTCTCTTATGTCCCTCTGTTACATAAATCTACATACTTCTGCAGATGTATGTGCCCTCCAGAAACTTGCGTTCTGTGAATGAACGTCGCCTCGTGGTTCCATCCCAAAGAGGGAAGAAATCACTTTTTTCGAACTCTCGCGCTCAATCTGCCCAGTTGGTGGAATGAACGCCCTAACTGCATCAGAACAGCAGAGTCACTCGCTGTCTTCAAGAAACGACTAAAAACTCAACTATTTAGTCTCCACTTCCCTTCCTAATCTGCTAACTGTACTACAAAAAAAAAATACATTACTAATGTTTTGCTTCTTATGCTGTGTTCACACCAGACGCGGAACGCACGGATAAATTGCGCTATTAGCGCATAAATTGCCGCATAAACATTTGAGTTTACTCGCTTTATTTGCACGTCAAATTCACTTCAAAACAGACGCGGATTAGCGTGATGGACAGGGCTTCTGTCTGCCCAGTGACTCTAGCTTCATAGCTAAATGGCTAACATAGATTTTATTAAGAAAATAACAGTGTTAATGTGCTTTATGGAGACTGAAAAACAGCGTCTATACATTTAGGCTCCTTTATGAGTCCACTGCATCCTTTCAGAGGTGCATCCAGCTCTGTGAGCTCATAAACTCCTCCAGAAACTGAATCTGGATGACGGAGACTTTTAGCGGTGCCTCTGACTGAGCCAAGCCCAGTTTGATGACTTTTTGTCGGTGTCGTCTGGACGATTTTCCCAGGGACACCATCAACAGGTTCTATGTCACAATCACGCCCCCACAAGAGCAAGCTTCTGATTGGTTAACGCGGCACGAATGTCCGCTAAAGTTCAGATTTTCGAACTCGAGAGATTCGCGCGAAACGCTCGTTAAGCGCGTCAAACGCGCAAATGCTGAATTCGCCTCGCGTGTATCGTGCTATTCGCACCGTGCCATTTGCGCAATTCGTGTCATTCGCTCAGCGCCATTCGCACGTATCGCGCCGCAGGATGTCTATTTGGCGTTTGCATTGACTTAACATGTAAATCACTCGCACTTGACGCGCGTTCCGCGTCTGATGTGAACGCACTTCAGTTACACTTTACACACCTGAAACTTGCCTACAGCACTTCTTCATTGTTGCTCTTATAGTTGTGTAAATTGCTTCCTTGTCCTCATTTGTAAGTTGCTTTGGATAAAAGCGTCTGCTAAATGACTAAATGTAAATGTTATATGCCGTCCCACAGGGCTCTGCTTTAGGACCCCTTCTTTTTTCTCTTTATTTATTCCCTCTTGGGTCTGTAATTACGAAATATGGCATGTCTTTACATTTATATGTGGACGATACCCAATTCTATGTCCCAATTAAAAAGGCTAGAAGACGAGTTTGTCTGACCCAAAATTGACAAAAGATTCATGAATTAAAAGGATTATTAACTATTAATCAATGATTAATTGTTTCCAACCCTAGTCTGTATATTTAGACAACTGTTGACAATTTTGTTACCTCATGTACTAAGTGTCCTAGCTTTACTCATTTCTCTTCTTTAATTTCAGAGCTAATGATGGAGAATGAGGAGAAACTTCTTTCTGTCAGGAAGTGTTTCACCTGCACTCAGTGTGGAAAGAGTTTAACGTCCAACTACAGTCTCAAGCTTCACATGATGATTCACACCGGAGAGAAACCGTTCACATGTACCGAGTGTGGGATGAGTTTTAGGCAATCGGGAAACCTTAGTCAACACATGAACGTCCACACCGGAGAGAAAACCCACAAGTGTGATCAATGCGGCAGCACTTTTTTGAAGGCTTCAAACCTGAAGGTCCATCTCAGAGTTCACACAAAAGAGAAGCCGTATTCGTGTTTTGTGTGTGGAAAGAGTTTGACACGTCAGCAGAGTTTAAAAAAACACCTGAAAATTCACACTGGGGTAAGAGAGTACGTGTGCTTTCAGTGTGGGAAGACTTTTATTTCAGCTGACCATTTGAAACTGCACCAGAGGATTCACACTGGAGAGAAACCGTACAAGTGTTCACACTGCGACAAGAGCTTCAGTCAGTTACATCGACTGAAGTCACATGAGAGGATTCACACGGACTAATGACATTGGTGCTGCCAAAAAATAATACCGGCACTGTCGGTCACCTACTTTGCACCCTATGGCTTGCAGCCTTTTGCATAATTTAATATATACAGGGGTTGGACAATAAAACTGAAACACTGGCTAATTTAGTGTTGGAGGTTTCATGGCTAGATTTGACCAGCCTGGTTTCCAATCTTCATTGATTGCACATTCAACCAATAAGAGCAGAGTGTAAAGGTTTAATTAGCAGAGCAATGGCACAGTTTTCTTAAAATATTGCAATCCACAGAACTTTATGGGTGACATACAGTTGAAACCAGAAGTTTACACACACACTGTAAAAAAAGGAACATAACCATGTCTGATGAGAAATCAGACTTAACCTTTACTATTTTAGGTCCATTAGGATTTCTAGACAGTCAAACGTTTACACACATTTCCTTGGTATTTTTTAGATTTGCTTTTAAACTGTATAACTTTAGTGAAATGTTTCGGGTCTCCTTCCACAAGCTTCTCACAATAGTTTGCAGGAATTTCGACCCATTCCTCCTGACAGAATTGGTGTAAGAACTGAGAAGAGATTGGTCAACAAAAAGATTTGTGTTGTCAAAAATAAAAGAATCTAAAGAACCTTGACTCTTGAGGGCCAAATTTGACTGAAGGTATAACACAATCAGGGATTGCACATTCTTTAGGTGGAACAGGAAACTGATGCATACAATTTTCGTCTGAAAAAGGGACACCACAGTCTTCTAAGAGCTGACTAACTAAAAGTGTATTTTTAATAAACCAGCTATCTAAAAAAAAATTATTATGTGCCGTTGAAGTGATGCCGTGTCGCGGAGATGACGTCATCATCAGCGCGCGCGCTCCCGTGTCTGAGGCGAGGTGAGTTGAGCGGTTTACACGCTATTTCGCATATTTACTCGAATGTAAAGTACATTTCGCTCATTTTCTTCAAGCAGCAGTTTACAGAGTTATTTCTGAAAGCTTTGAATGGAGGGAAGTTTTGCTTCTGTGCTTAATTTGAAAGGTTTCATGTGTCCGTTTCTCCACACAGACAATAAGATGCTAATATAGTTCGTGATAATGCTGTAATGTTATGAATGTTATTATTTTATAAAATATACATTTATATTCGTTTAGTCATGGCAGCTGTTAGTTTTGTGATGTGTTACAGTATAGTTTGAGAAATGAGATGACACATTGAGGATAAAGTAAGCCGAAGCCAATCACAAAACATCTTACGGCTAAAATAATTATAGGATAATCTTAAAAATAATAGAGTCAGTTCAAAACTATTGTATTTTACAATGTTGTAGAGCTAAATCTAGCTCGCAAATATGTGTAAGGTTAGTAGTAATAAAAGAGCCACTGAAATCCAATCACAAACCATCCTTTGTTTTCATCAGTCTGCCTGGGAAAGGACCATTTGAGCTCTTTCAACACTTTAACTGCCTGCTCTACCAAATGGTGACCATCTTTTAGTTTTAAATAATAGTTTACACACATACAGCATTGTTGGTTTACTAAAAAATCAATCAAACACAATCCTGTTGTGCTACTACACTTGATTTTGGTTTTATTGAGAAAAAAACAAGAAAATGTGTAAATTACAGTGTTAAATGAGAATCTAATATATTGTTTGGCATACTTCAAAAATAATGATGTTTTTTTTTATTCAAAAATGTTTTATGTTGATTATGTTTTTAAGTAAATTGGTCCCACACTTTATATTTTCTGATTTCCATAGTATATTAGGGGTGTAACGGATCACGACCCACCGTTTAGAATGCATGTGACACGCAGAGTAGTACCTTTTTTGAACTTGTAGGTTAATCCAAAAATGTTTTTAAATTATGTACAAAACAACAATTATGAACAAAATAAATTGAGAGAAATTATCTTAGTTATACAATCAAAGTATAAACAGATGCAAGGGGTAAAAAAAGAGATAATAATAATAACAAAAATACATTTATTTAATCAAATGAAATTTACATAATGCTTCATGTTTTTTTTTTAGCTTTTCTTTTTAGAATGTTACATAGTGTAGTACCATATTGTTTAATCTTCTTTATAAAATGTTCACAATTTGGCTTGGCTTTGGCTCATTTCTTGACATGAATATGGTATTTTCCAAATTCAACATTTATTTTATTTATTTTATTTTATTAAATTCAATATTAATAGACCCTTTCCACAATGACATGACTTCACTTCGCCCTATCAGTGTATTTCTAATTCCGGTTTACCTCTGAATGAATAGGAAACTTCTCTGGTAAATTGAAAACTGAGAATATGATCATTGCTTGTTGTGATATAGGACTATTAAAGTATTGGGGATGTGTCCAAATGTCTCTCTGTAAATACTGAGATGCTTTCTGAGTTTGAAAATGATTGTTTAAGTCAGGGGTTCCCAAACTTTTCAGCCCGCGACCCCCAAAATGATAATGCCAGTGACTCGTGACTCCCAATATCCTCTGAGGTGGTTATAAATAAAGAAACTTTGCATGCAATGGTGCACACACACCAATAAACCCAAGTCTATTCTTCGTTTAGTTTTTTTTTAAATGTATGTCAATGCTGTAAATGGGCCAGAAAGTTTAGCCTGGCGTTATAAAATCAATCTGCTGCATTTGATACTAATGTTGTGTCTTTAATATAATGTACCCCGGGGGTCGCAATCCAATAGAACTATAAGCTACTTTAGTAACTATATAGTATATAGTAACTCTAAACGACTATTTTTTCTCTTCAGTAGGTTATAAATAAAATATGGTAATTCTTATGGTTTAATTAAAATAAATAGATTTTTGAAAATCACCAGACGACCCCCCCCCCCCCCCCCCCCCCCCTATTCATTGTCCTTCGACCCCTCTGGGGGTCCCAACCCCCACTTTGAGAACCACTGGTTTAAGTTTTTAAGAATCGGAGTAAGCTATTGCTTATCAAGTAAAGTATACGTTTGCAACCTTTTCACTAATTAAGTTTATTTAGTTTTATATTATTTAATCTATAATTTATTTATTTTTACTTTGATTCTGGAAACCGCGTGACGTTATGTGAAAAGGGTCTATTGCAGAGAGATCGCCTACAGCGTCATTCAAATCTTGTGTATGAAAGCATTTTGGCTTAATAATAATAATTAATAATCCCTTACATTTATATAACGCTTTTCTGGGCACTCAAAGCGCTTTACACAATGGGGGGGAATCTCCTCATCCACCACCAGCGTGCAGCATCCACCTGGATGACGCGACGGCAGCCATTTTGCGCCAGACCGCACACCACACAGCAGCTGATTGGTGGATAGGACACAGAGATGAGGCCATGATGGACAGAGGCCAGTTTGGCCAGGATGCCGGGGTTAAACCCCTACTCTTTTTCGAAGGACATCCTGGGATTTTTAACGACCACAGAGAGTCGGGACCTCGGTTTAACGTCTTATCCGAAACACGGCGCTCACTGAGCAGTATAGCGTCCCCGTCACTATACTGGGGCATTAGGACCCACACAGACCGCAGGTTGAGCGCCCCCTGCTGGCCTCACTAACACCACTTCCGGCAGCAACCTAGTTTTCCCATGTGGTCTCCCATCCAGGTACTGACCGGGCGCAGCCCTGCTTAGCTTCAGTGGGCGACCATGTGAGAGTTGCAGAGAGCTAGCTGCCGGCTTCCTTGTAAAATATAATGATGACAAAAAGTTGGAACCTAGATGCTTTCTTAGGCTATTAATTAAAGGTGTTTTCTGTCACTGTTTGTTTAGCCTGCAATAATACATTCAGTGTAAAGCAGCACAATTAAACATTAAAAGATTGTGATCTCAATTCGAACCCGCACAACATGAATGATAAGTGATAATAATTTGCATGTGTTTAATAATCAGCCGAAGCTCTGCGTTCAGATCTGCGCTTGATCATGAGAGATTCAGTTTATACACTTTTTCTGTTCGTTACAAACATTTTAATAACACAAAAGCACAGTTTATAGTTCTGATATAAAGACTGATGTTTATGGTAAAGATTAAAATCACCGTTTAATGGATCTTGGAAGCTGGTGAATGTTGTAGCTGTTACACCGTTTAAACAAACAACCATCAAAATGATCTCACTGAAAATGTTTTCAGAAATGACCCATCTTTAATGAAGCATGACGTTTTGTTTGTGAATTGTTGAATCATTAAGTGGAAATAAATATGTGTTGTACAAGATGTTAGATTTCTATATTTAGCATGATCTGCAACAGAAGCAAAGATCCTTTTTCATATTGAAATTTTTCCTTTTTTTTTCCAGATGGTTCTTTCCTGATTTATATTTCTATTTAAAGTACAGGTTCAGTGTGTTAAAACCAAGGGTTTTTGCAGTAATAGTTCTGTATAAATGGAAACCAAATTACATTTGTCTCCTCTTTTCTTTCTGATTCCTTTTTGGTCCGATCCGTGACTCGAACTGTAGTGTGATCCAAACAGTGAGATTTGTGATTCATTACACCACTGTAGTATATGTATTAATTCCGGTACTTTTACCAGTCTAGATGAGCATCAGACCCGAATAATTGAAATCTGCAAAGACGAAAAAGAAGAGTTTATTGAAGGACAGTGAGAAGATGAGTGATCCAGAACCCTTCAGAATTAAAGAGGAAGAGACTGAAGAACGAACAGGTAATGTTTAATTCTGAATCTTTATTAACCCTTGTGTATTGTTCAAAGTGACTACCCATTCCTTATATTAGAGCAGGGGTCACCAATCTCGGTCCTGGAGGGCTGGTGTCCCTGCAGGGTTTAGCTCCAACTTGCTTCAACTAACCTGCCTGGATGTTTCAAGTATACCAAGTAAGAGCTTGATTAGCTTGTTCAGGTGTGTTTGATTAGGGCTAGAGCTAAAATCTACAGGACACCGGCCCTCCAGGAACAAGTTTGGTGACCCCTGTATTAGAGGCTGTTTTTGCCCCATTAACTAATATTATAACAACATTATTTGATTGCAAAGCCATGACAGCATATAAACATGCATTCTACATTGTTGGTGGTTTTCCCTGTTGGTACAGCTTGTCATTTTTACTGTTGATCAGTTGGTTTCATTCACCCTTAAGCCTAGGCGAAAATTGTCTTTTATATAAAGTTCTTTGGAGTAAAATAGCCAATTATGTGTGTGTGTGTGTGTGTGTGTGTGTGTGTGTGTGTGTATGTGTATAAATACACTTACTATGTTTAGTATGTTCTGAGTGCTGTGGGCTTATTTTGATTTTCTCATAGATATCAAGGTAAGGGCACAAGTGTTTCACACTAACCTTGACATGTCTGAGAAAATCAAAATCAAGCATCTCAGCTCTCTAAACATAGAAAACATAGTAAGTGTATCCTTCCTAACTAGCAAAACCATCAACAATTAAGAATGTATGATCATATGGTGTCATGGCTTTGCAATATTGGTCACTCTTGGTTACTCTAGAACAGGTGTCTAAACTCGGTCCTGAAGGGCCGATCTCCTGCAAAGTTTAGTTCCATCCCCAATGAGACACACCTGGGCTAGCTAATCAAACTCTTACCATGCTTTCTAGAAACATCCTTGCAGGTGTGTTGAGGCAAGTTAGAGCTGAAATCTGCAGTACACCGATCCTCCAGGCCCTCCACAGTTTGCTCCAACCCTATTCAAACACAGCTAATCCAAATAATCAAGGTGTTCAAGACTACCAGAGACTATTAAGCAGATGTGAGTTGGAGGTGGTTGGATCTAAACTGAGCAGAGCTGCAGCCCTCCAGAAATTAAGTTTGAGACCATTGGTCTAGACGGAGAAGCGTGATGGGTTACTCTTGGTTACTCTAGAACAGGAGTTTCAAATTCAGTTCCATGGAGGGCCACAGCCCTGCATAGTTTAGTTCCAACTCTGCTTCAACACTCTTACCCATAGATTTCAGATAAAACTGAAGGTATCAATTAGTTTGATGAGGTGTGTTTATTTAGGGTTGGAACTAAACTGCAGCTTCATCCCTCCAGGAACTGAGTTTGACTCCTGTGATCTAGACAAAGAAGTGTGTCACTCTTGAACAGGGGTGCTCAACCCCGTTCATGGAGAGCTACCTTCATGCAGGTTTCAGTTGCAACTCGTATCAAACGCACCTGCCTGTAATTATCAAGTGCTGTCCAGGTCCTACTTATTTGGATCAGGTGTGTATGATCAGGGTTGGAGTTCTTGGTCACTCTAGACAGAGAAGTGTGATTGGTCGCACCTAGTCACTCTATACAGAGTAGTATGATTGATTGCTCTCGGTCACTCTAGACAGAGAAGTGTGATTGGTCGCTCTAGACAGAGAAGTGTGATTGGTCGCTCTTGGTCACTCTAGACAGAGAAGTGTGATTGGTCGCTCTAGACAGAGAAGTATGATTGGTTGCTCTTGACACTCTAGAAAGAGAAGTGTGATTGGTCACTGTAGACAGAGAAGTGTGATTGGTCGCTCTAGACAGAGAAGTGTGATTGGTCGCTCTTGGTCACTCTAGACAGAGAAGTGTGATTGGTCGCTCTAGACAGAGAAGTATGATTGGTTGCTCTTGACACTCTAGAAAGAGAAGTGTGATTGGTCGCTCTAGACAGAGAAGTGTGATTGGTCACTGTAGACAGAGAAGTGTGATTGGTCGCTCTAGACAGAGAAGTGTGATTGGTCGCTCTTGGTCGCTCTAGACAGAGAAGTGTGATTGGTCACTCTAGACAGAGAAGTGTGATTGATCACTGTAGACAGAGAAGTGTGATTGGTCGCTCTAGACAGAGAAGTGTGATTGGTCGCTCTTGGTCGCTCTAGACAGAGAAGTGTGATTGGTCACTCTAGACAGAGAAGTGTGATTGGTCGCTCTAGACAGAGAAGTGTGATTGGTCACTGTAGACAGAGAAGTGTGATTGGTCGCTCTAGACAGAGAAGTGTGATTGGTCGCTCTTGGTCGCTCTAGACAGAGAAGTGTGATTGGTCACTCTAGACAGAGAAGTGTGATTGATCACTGTAGACAGAGAAGTGTGATTGGTCGCTCTAGACAGAGAAGTGTGATTGGTCGCTCTTGGTCGCTCTAGACAGAGAAGTGTGATTGGTCACTCTAGACAGAGAAGTGTGATTGGTCGCTCTAGACAGAGAAGTGTGATTGGTCACTCAAGACAGAGAAGTGTAATTCCCTTCAAAGGCAAGACCGCTCTCCTGCGTGGAAATACCAAATACCCAAGACGAAGAAACCCAGCATTATTTAATGTGGTATTTTCATGTACTTTTCAGATATAGCAGCAACACAGAACTGTAATTTACTGAGACGTTATAAATATTGAGGCAAATACTGGTCAATGACATAGTAAGATTATTCTCAGTAAGATTATCTGAGGAATGTGTCTGCAATTATGAACGTGATTTTGCGTAGCTTTTGATTGAACCAAGAGACTGTATAGTAAATGCTGCTCCATCTGAAAGGACCAGCTATATTACTAAGACCAGCTTGTCTGACAAGTTGTGCATGGTATCCTTGACGTTAGTTCCAGCCTTGCACCTTTTTCTCTGATTTATTTATATAAATTAAATGTATTTTTAATTTCAGATCTGGTGATGGAGAATGAGGAGAGGCATGTCAAAACATGTCTGATCTGCACCGAGTGTGGAAAGAGTCTCTCAACAAAAGAGGTTTTCAAGTTTCACATGATGATTCACACTGGGGAGAAACCGTACACATGTACCGAGTGTGGGAGGAGTTTCAGGAAGTCAACGCATCTTAAACAACACATGAACATTCATGCTGGAGAGAAACCATTTACATGCACTTATTGTAATAAGGGTTTTGTATCCAAGCAGACTCTTAATTTTCACGTTATGATTCACACTGGAGAGAAACCATTCATATGTTCTCAGTGTGGGAGTAGTTTTAGGAGCTTGACATACCTTAATCAACACATGAGGATTCACACTGGAGAGAAACCATACGCGTGTACTCACTGTGGGAAGAGTTTTAGGCAATCGTCATCCCTCAATCAACACATGCTGACTCACACTGGAGAGAAAACACACAAGTGTGATCACTGCGGCAAAATGTTTGTGCGGGCTGCACAGCTGAGGCATCATCTCAGAGTTCATACCAACGAGAAGCCTTACTCGTGTTCTGAGTGTGGAAAGAGTTTTACACAGCTTTCAAGTTTAAGTCTGCATCAGAAGATGCACACTGGTACGAGAGACTATGTGTGCTTCGAGTGCGAGAGGACTTTTATTACAGCTATACATTTGAAAGAGCACCAGAGGATCCACACTGGAGAGAGACCTTACAAGTGTCCACACTGCGACAAGAGCTTCAGACTTTCAGGAGACCTAAAAGCACATGAGAGGATTCACACTGGCGAGAAACCTCACAAGTGTTCACACTGCAACAAAGGATTCAGAGTTTCGGGAGATCTGAGAAGACATGAGAGGATTCACACTGGAGAGAAGCCGTACAAGTGTTCACACTGCGACAAGAGCTTCTGTCAGTCAGGAGAGCTGAAATCCCATGAGATGATTCACACTGGAGAGAAACCGTTCAAATGTGCTCACTGCGGCAAGGGATTCATACATTTAAGACATATGAAAACACACGAGAGGATTCACACTAGAGAGAATTCTTACAAGGGCTCACACTCCGACGAGACGTTCGGAAATTCAGGACATCCAGAAACGCATGAAAGGATTCACCCTTGAGGGAAATCTTGCATGTTTTCACCCCCTTTATATTTAAGATCTTTAACATAGTCACTCCTGTGGCCGGTCTCTGGGGTCTTCTGGCGGAGCCCTTTCAGCTATTCCCACAACACGTCTTAAGGCTGCTTTCACACCTGTGAATCGATTCATTTGTTCCAAAACAGGGATTAAAATTGTTAGATTGTTGCTCTTTCCTCTTAGTGCGGTTCGCTTTCACACTGCAAAGTTTCTGAACGGACCAAATGAGCTAAAACAAGACGTGTGAGTAAACTCTCTTCACATTGGTCAGAGTTTCAGGGTTTATTCAGGGTCCCGCTCAGCTGTCAGGGAGGGGGGTGGTGTTTGACAGGGTGTGTGACGTGTCTGAAGAGCGGGGAGGGATGCGGTGGGGATGGGTGAAAAGGGTGTGCAATGTATTTGAGGACCGGGAGGGAGAGGCGCAATTTCTGGGAGATTATAACTAGTTTGCGGAAACCAGGGAGTCTGTGCATTTGCGGGAAACTTCCGTGAGACTTGGGATGTCTGGAATGACCTTCGCCCTACTCATAATTCTCTCTTCACTTAGCCGTATGCCTATTACATATCCATAATACACTATAATATAACCGGGTTCGGATCGAATCGCTTTCTCGCTACAATCGATCCGCACCAGAGTTTGTTTCAATCGAGCCAAGAGCACCTCATTCAGGCGATCTCAGAGCGATTGTTTTGGAGCGCATCCGAGCTCGATTGCTGGTTACACATATGCCAAACGAAGCGCGCTAACTGGGCAAACGATCCCAAACAAAAGTGTAGGTGTGAAAGCACCCTAAGACTAAATGCTGATTTATCGAGTGATCTGCAGGACCTACGGCGCCTTCCTTGCTCGTAGTCATGCATTTATACTTCTACATGCTGTTTGTGTTGTTCTGCAGTAACACTTCCAAAACGGTAGCTGGCAGTAGGTTTTTACGTTCCTCTGTGTCGACTAGGCATGGGCCGGTGTAAGATTCTGACGGTATGATAACCTTGAATAAAAATATCAAGGTATTGTGATTACTGCTCTAAAATATATTCTTTTTAAATGTCTGGGTCAAAAAAAAACATTTTCCCCTTTGAACACATTTTATTTTGAGAAACATTTAAAATATTTTGGCAGCAGGCACAGGATGTCAACATGACGTCAGATTGACGTTGTACCACAACACCGTTGGGACATTGTGTTTTGTTTTGGAATTGAAAATCGAGTTGATGTCAGAAGCCAACGTCCAACCTAAAATCAACTAAATATCAACATCTAAAGCCTGGTTTATACTTCTGTGTCAGCTGATCGGCGTGACCCATGGCGCATGCAAGATGCGTAGCTGTGCATTCATACTTCTGCGCGCTGTTTCTGTTGCTCTGCATTAACACTTCTGAAACACTAGTTGGCAGTGAGGTCTTTATGTTCTTTTGTTTCGAGTTTCTTCTCTGGTGTTTTGTTTTTGTGAACATTTTCTGAATGTTCAAGTGGTTCAAACTCGCTCATTCAGAGGCAGGAACTGGTGGACGTGCAACAACTTTAATTATAAGGTAAAAACAAAACAAAACTTTCCATCCGGAGCTCCTTCACAGGACTTCACACTTGTAAACAATTGGTCCATCAGGCTTGCACAGCTCTTGGTCCAGCCCACACTCGTCAGCGCTACCAAGCCGACCAATCACAGAGCTTGCGCTATGCGTCATTATGACGTGTATTTGCATTTTTTAAGAGGTGCGCGTCAGCGACGCCGATGGCCACGGTGAGGGTTAAAATGCGTCCATGCGTAGGCCGCACCGTAGTATAAGCGTGCGCTTGACGCAGAAGTATAAATCAGCCTTGATGTTACAGCTTGACATTATATGGACATTACCACTATGATGTTTATCAGACGTTGGATTTTGGTTGCTATACCTAACGAATAAATGTCAGTACTTTCTAACACAACCTAAAATCAACCAAATATCAATGTATGACTCAATACCTCGCAATTCTGACTTATAAACTCGCAATTCGGACTTAATAGTTTTTTTTTTTTTTTAATTCAGTGGCAGGAACGGGGTTCCATAAAATCTGCATAAAAAAGATTACGTTTTATAGTGAAGCAGATGTTAAAATTTGTATATAAAAAATATATATATAATTACATTTGGAGACTCAGAAAAATTCCGTGAAGTAATATTTGCTATAAATAAATTAACATCTTGACAAAATTGGAACATGTACTTGCATGAGCAAAATAAAGGATTTCCCAGTAGATTACGTTGGGATTTTTCAATACAAAAACTCCCTCTTAAATGATCAGATTTTCATAAACAGACTCTTTTATACAAGCAATTAATTTACAAACATAATTTCCCCCCCATATAATTCACCAATTATGAACAATAGGCACATTTCACTTAGAAACAAATCTCTCTCTCTCTTTTATTTTTTATTTTTTTAATAAAGATTGGAGAGGTATTTGGTCGGTTGTCCATCTATTAGACAAAGAGGGTGAGGTTCTCAGTCATAGAAAGTTTTGTGTATATAACTTTGAATGTGATCATAAGCAATACGCTAGGGTATTGAAATCTGTCCCGAAGACATTTCTAATGATAGTTAGTAATGTGGTTACCAATATAAATAACACACTTCATCTGCCTGATTTTTTGATGAATGGACAAGATTGTATTCAGAGTGAAACACCTAATAAAATAAGATCAATATTAACCCAAGATAAGTTTCCAACACAAGCTAGTAGAAATAGTGTCTTCTTCTTTTCAATAGCTGTATTATCAAATTAAGATCAATGTTTGCTTCCTTCCCCATATTTCCCAAATCTATAGAAGTGGTGACGTGCAGATTGATACTAAAATATCGATATCTCTGATACCACCTTTGTATGTTTTAGAATTGATTATCTAATCAAAAAATTGATATTTCAGTTATTTAGAGCAAATATGTAGTTTATTGCAAATAGAAATACAGCGGAAAGTAGCCACAATTACCCTAGTTTATCTGAATAACGCCAACTTACAGTTGAATTCAGAATTATTAGCCCCCCCCTCTATTTATTTCCCAAATTTCTATTTAACAAAGTTTTTTTTCAACACATTTCTAATCATATTAGTTTTAATAACTCATCTCTAATAACTGATTTATTTTCTCTTTCATGATGACAGTAAATAATATTAGACTAGATATTCTTCAAGACACTTCTATACAGCTTAAAGTGACATTTAAAAGCTTAACTAGGTTAATTAGGGCAATTAGGCAAGTTATTGTATAACGATGGTTTGTTTTGTAGACTATCGAAAAAATATATAGCTGAAGGGGGCTAATGATAATGACCTTAAAATGGGTTTTAAAAAATTAAAAACTGATTTTATTCTAGCCGAAATAAAACAAGTAAGACTTTTTCCAGAAGAACAAATATTATCAGACATACTGTGAACATTTCCTGAATCTGTTCAACATCTTTGGTAAATATTTAAAAAAGAAAACATAATTCAAAGGGGGGCTAATAATTCTGACTTCAACTGTAATAATAATTAATAATAACTGAATATTGTCGGAACTACTTGTTCTTCCTCCTGCCAAGTCACTTGACATCGTCACGACTAGACGGTCAGAAGAGGAGGAAAGAAGAGGCGCAGGTGCTGCTAGGGCGAGACAGACATCGCTTTCAGAGTGCTTATGTGCAGCAGGCACTATCCAAGTACAGAGGGAGAAAATGTGGAGATGTGGCTGTATTTTGGGGACTTTGTGACATTGAATATGTAAGTTGGCTCTTTTTTTGTATAATTCTTCATCAATAAACACGAATAACCCGTAATATGTCTCGTATTCAGTGTGAAGTGACACTTTTAAGTGCAGTACTTGTTACTTTAATTTCCTAAACAGAATTGGATCGGTATCGCCGATACTCGCCTTCATTTTACTTGGTATCAGATCAGATAGGAAACCAGTGGTATCGCACATTACTAAAAAGAAGTACAGTTTAAAATATTCACTGATGTTTACCCATCTTCAGAGTTCTTAAGCAGATTTAATTTTGAGCTCAACAATTGTACATTCTGTGAGGTTGACAGTGAACCGACTGCACATTTGTTTTTTGACTGTTTTAGCAGAATCTTTTGGTCTGATTTATTCCAGTGGTTGAAGATTTCTCTCAAGTTGTCCTCTCATTTTTCTAAAACTAGTGTTTTATTTGGTTTATTGGGGACATATGTTAATATTCAATTTGTATTGAACAATATTCTAATTTTGGAGAAATGTTTTATTCATAAAGTGCCTTAAAACAAAACCACTGTTCGTAGTTTTCCAAAAGGAATTTTGGTTATGCTGTTAATCTTTAAAGTTGCTAAAAACTAAATGTGAAAGAAGACTGTTTAGTTTATTGCAAAAATATTCATTAATAGAAAACTCGGTAGTGTAAATGTGTTTTTTTTCTCTCTTTCTTTTAGTTGTGTGTGTAAGATTGGGCAATCTTATTATTTCTGGTATTAATTTTACTGTAATAATAAGATTAAGCATGTTAGTAAATACACAGCTTTTCCCTTCAGAACTTAAGAGACCCCTTGTTTAAGATTTTCCTGAAGACAAGCTGGTTTGAATTCGATTTCTCTCTTTTCCACGTCTACCGAAGGCAAAAGAAGTTTAGTTTAAAATTATTCATGATATTTACCCTTGTAATGAGTTCCTCAGACATAGTTTTAATATGGATTGTAGCGTTTGTACCTTTTGTGAAGCAGACAGAGGAACAGGTTTCATTTATGTAACTTTTCTGTTTGGTTAAGATTAAAATATGTAACAGCTGATTTTGATTTTAAAACTATTAAATATTCATCTTTTTGTCAGAATTCCGATCTGGAATTTTTGTTTGACAATATTGTGACGATGACAAATTATTTCTTTCATAAATGCACATTTTTTTAAATAAGTTTTTTGCTTTTCCACAAATATTTAATGGTCTTTAATTCTTTAAAGCTTACGAGACATAAAAAAGCCCTTGGACTATATAGTCTGTTAAAGGCAGTTTTTGATGATTAACCCTCTTGTATTATATTGCATTGTATTTTATTATTTATTTATAATTATTTGTTTTTGTTTAATAATAATTATATTTTTAATTTTATATATCTTTTTGTGGAAGCTGAGTTATTTGGACTTCCTAGTTGATTAAGATGTTTCTATGACTGGTTATGTGTTTCTTTCTGTATGCTCTTATAAGAAATTAAATAAAAGTTGTGTAGAGCGAATGAACTCAGCTTTTTTACGCTGGAATGGGCGTGGCTTACGAAGAAAGCGCTTGTACTTCCGGAGCTGCCGCTTTTAGCAGTAGATAAATAGAATGGCGATATGATTGCTGCTTTGATCGTACGCGTTCGGAACGCTTCTTCTGTTCGATTGTTTGGAACGCGAGTTCTATTTTGCTGTTCACGCGGGTAAAACGGGAATAGCGGCGAAACGGACTCTCATTAGCAAATGTAAACAGCTCAATATAGAGGTCCGACTGTTTGTTAATCAGTACCTCGGGACTGCTGTTACGGATTGAGAATTGGTATTGTTAACCCTATTGGCGGTCAATACTAGTATACTCTACATGAGAAAATAGTAGAATATCCAGAGTTAAGAGTTCACTGAAGAGGATGGATCCATATGAAGATTTTGCAGAACAAAGAGGTTAGTGATTATTGATCATTCTTCGGTGGAATTAATCAAGTAGCCTAATAATTTCTGCACCACATGCTATATGAGAATAGTCATCTGTTTATAATGAAAACGACAGTAAATGTCATAAACAGAGTCTCAAATGTCTTCATGACAGATTTATTTTCAAAGTGTTTTCCTACTTTACGTAAATAAATCATGTGTTTATTAATGACTACTGATTAACCTTTAGTGTAATCGCTAAAAAGGTTAAACTGTTATTTGAACTAATGGAACTGATGTTCATTTTCGTGAGGAGTGTAGAGATAAACATTAAGAAATAATCGCAAAATCTTTCTCAAGGAAGGAAACTTACATTTTCATTCTATTACATTTAAAACGCTTCATTTGTTTATATTCAGGCACTTATTTGATTGCCAGCCCTTTTGATGATATACACTCACCGGCCACTTTATTAGGTACACCTTACTTGTACCGGGCTGGACCCCCTTTTGCCTTCAGAACTGCCTTAATCCTTCAGATTAAACAAGGCACTGTAAATATTCCTCTGAGATTTTGCTCCATATTGACATGATAGCATCACACAGTTGCTGCAGATTTGTCGGCTGCACATCCATGATGCCAATCTCCCGTTCCACCACATCCCAAAGCTGCTCTATTGGATTGAGAGCTGGTGACTGTGGAGGCCATTTGAGTACAGTGAACTCATCGTCATGTTCAAGAAAGCAGTCTGAGATGATTGAGCTTCATGACATGCTGCGTTATCCTGCTGGAAGTAGCCATCACTCACTAGCTGGCCTCCGTTACATTCACCCCCTAAACCTCACTCTCATACGGGTCACGGCACCAATGGGAGTGAGGTTTAGGGGGTGAGTGTAACGGAGGCCAGCTAGTGAGTGCTGTGCAGGTAAACCTCACTCCTCTGACCTCTAAAGGTGCTCTAGCGACAGACGCTAGAGGTCATGGTCTTTAGCCTCCTTGTTAGAGCAACCGACTCCCATGCGGAAGGTCGTCGGTTCGAAACCAGCTCGGAGCGGGTTGGGTGGCGTAGGACCGGCGGGTTTACATATCTATCTAAAAACACTATAGTATTTGCTAGAGTGTTTTGTGTGTTATGATTTACAAGATTTGAAAAGTTTAACATGTGATGTAAGAATATTTCTCAATGAAACACAACCTGTATTTTTGTATTTTAGATCTGATGGAGGTAAAAGAGGAACCTACAAAGCTGAACGAGGAGGAAGAGGAGGAGGAGGAGCCGCCAAGTATCTATTACATCACTGAAGAAAACCCGTCGACTTTATCGCCAACAGCAACCAAACTTAAAAACTACGTCTGTTCTATCTGTGAAAAGAGCTTTGCAAGGAAATACAGATTAGATCGGCACGTCCGAACGCACACCGGAGAGAAACCGTTCGCGTGCGTCGAGTGCGCAAAGAGTTTCGCGTGCAAAGAAAAACTCGCCAGACACGCGAAAATACACACCGGAGAAAAACCGTACACGTGCAGTCTATGCGGGAAGAGTCTGGCGTGTAAAACGAGATTAAAGCGACACATGAACACACACACCGGAGAAAAGCCGCACGTTTGTTTGCAATGCGGGAAATGCTTCACGTGTAACGCAAGTCTACAGCGGCACGTCAAACTGCACACCGGAGAGCGTCCGCATATATGTCGTGAGTGCGGGAAGGGCTTCATACGCAATGAAAAACTAATCAGTCACATGACCATTCACACCGGAGAGCGGCCTTTTATTTGCGACGAATGCGGGAAAAGTTTCCGACACGTCAATGGACTTCGCGATCATCAACTTTCGCACTCCGCCGTCAAATCCTTTCCGTGCGATCAATGCAATAAAGAGTTTATCACTCCATCTGCGCTGAAAAGACACCTCAGGGTTCACTCTGGCGAGAAGCCGTATTTGTGTACGCTGTGTGGGCGGAGTTTCTCTCGAGTGGATATTTTTAAAAGGCATCAGGAGGTCCATATTGGTGTGAAGGATCACGTCTGCTTCGAATGCGGGAAGGCGTTTATTACGTCCGACCAGCTCAAGCAGCACCAGAGGATTCACAGCGGAGAAAAACCCTACACGTGTTCGGTTTGCGCAAAGAGTTTCACGCAGTCGGCGCATCTGAAAGTACACGACAGAGTTCACCATAAGAAAACTGTGCAGCACTGTGATACGGTGCTCGAAGAGTTTCAGGCGGGCGAGCCGTTTGTTGATTCATTTGAACAAGCATCATTCGATGAATCTAACATTGTGGATTTTTCATGTTCATGAAAATTATGTGTGTAGGCCAATATTATGGAATTATATATAAATATATATATACACAGTGGTCCCTCGTTATTCGCAGGAGTTACGTTCTAAAAATAACCTGTGATAGGCGAAATTCGCAAATGAGTCTGCTTTGTTTTACAATTATTATAAATAGTTTAAGGCTGTAAAACCCCTCACTGCACACGTTGTACACTTTTCTCTCAAAGTTGAAACCTTCATAGGAAAATTAGTCCAGTATTATAAAAAAAAAACCAAAGATCAAAACCATTTCATCTTCATTTGTTTATTACATAAGCCGGGTAACTTCTACCTTCCTTCTACCTAACTTTTTGTGCGATGGTTAGCATCTTGCCTTTTAGGTGCTACCACAGGTGCCTTTGACGGTGCAGAACGTTTAGTCGCTATTTTGGGAAGAAATCTTGGTACAGCACTTCAGAGTCACACTGCTAGCTATCAAAGATTCATGTCAATTTGACGAGCTGAACCCATTCTGTACTGTACAGGAGACAATTATTGACAATGGTCTACAGCCAATCAGGACGCAGAACACAATGCGCTAATCAGGATGCAGATGTGCTGTAGAAAAAAAGCATGTCAATGTGCTCAATAAAAATCTGCGAGACCGCGTAAAGTGACCCTTGTTATATCTGAGGACCACTTTCTGTCTATCTGTCTGTCTATCTATCTATCTATCTATGAACACACACGCAGTTGATGTCAGAATTATAAGCGCCCTCCTGTTAAATTTGAATGCTTTTTTTATTTTTTAGGGTGAATAATTGAGACTTTAAGTGTAAATGTGCGTGTTTCCTATGACTGGGCTGTTGAATGCTTGATTCTGATTGGCTGATGGGCATTATAAGCAGGGGCATCGCCAGTGAGGGGAAAAAGGGGACTGAGTAATATATAAATTGTCACTGGCAATCGCGACGGCAAGTGGAGAGGCCTGCGCGACCAACTATTCCCCTCTCCACCCCCCTTCACTTTCGCCAATCTCGCATCCCCCCCACCCCCACTCCTCACTTAGCCGATCCCAATCAATCACCCCCCACCCCCGCTCTTCACTTAGCCGATCCCAATCACCCCCGCTCTTCACTTAGCCGATCCCAATCACCCCCGCTCTTCACTTAGCCGATCCCAATCACCCCCGCTCTTCACTTAGCCGATCCCAATCACCCCCGCTCTTCACTTAGCCGATCCCAATCACCCCCGCTCTTCACTTAGCCGATCCCAATCACCCCCGCTCTTCACTTAGCCGATCCCAATCACCCCCGCTCTTAACTTAGCCGATCCCAATCAATCACACCCCAGCCCCGCTCCTCACTTAGCCGATCCCAATCACCCCCGCTCTTCACTTAGCCGATCCCAATCACCCCCGCTCTTCACTTAGCCGATCCCAATCACCCCCGCTCTTAACTTAGCCGATCCCAATCAATCACACCCCAGCCCCGCTCCTCACTTAGCCGATCCCAATCACCCCCGCTCTTCACTTAGCCGATCCCAATCACCCCCGCTCTTCACTTAGCCGATCCCAATCACCCCCGCTCTTCACTTAGCCGATCCCAATCAATCACACCCCAGCCCCGCTCCTCACTTAGCCGATCCCAATCACCCCCGCTCTTCACTTAGCCGATCCCAATCAATCACCCCCCACTCCCGCTCTTCACCTAGCCGATCGCAAACTTACCGCCATCCCTCTTCACTTTTGTCGACCGCACCACAACATCCCGACTTTTCACTTAGCCGAACTCCCCAACCCCTCCCCCACCCTCCTTATTGCCCCCATGACTCTTTACTTAGCCGACCACAATCCCCCCTTTCCCCCCCTGCTCTTCACTTTCGCAGATCGCAAACTGCCCCCACCCCTTTTTACTTTTGCCGACCAAATTCCCCACCCCCACCCCCTGCTCTTCACTTTCGCCGAACGCAAACTTTCACCCCCCCCCCCCCCCCCCACAGCTGTACACTTTTGCCGATCTCAAACTACCACCACCCTTTTTCACTTTCGCTGACTGCACACTCCCCAAACACCCCCCTCACCCTTCTGCTCTTTCACCGACCGCACACCCCCTCGACTTTGTGCTTAGCCGAGATCACATCCCCTCCACCCGTTCATCACTGTCACCCATTGCTAACTCTCCCCTCACCCACTCCTCCTTAATTTTGTCAACCATACCTCCCACCCCCCACCAACTCTTCACTTTGCATGCCCCACACCCTGCTCTTCACTTTCCACTCTTTGTGATTAGAGGGGCCCACTAAAAACATTGTGCATATGGCCAAAAACTGCTGGCTACGCCCCTGATTATAAGGTGTGTCATTTTTTTAATATAGTTATATACAGTTGAAGTCAGAATTATTAGCCCCCTGTATTATTAGCGCCCCTGTTTATTTTTTTCCCCAATTTCTGTTTAATGGAGGGAAGATTGTTTCAGCACATTTCTAAGCATAATAGTTTTAAAAACTTATTTCTAATAACAGATGTATTTTGTCTTTGTCATGATGACAGTAAATAATATTTTACTTGAAATTTTTCAAGACACTTCTATACAGCTTAAAGTGACATTTAAAAGCTTAACTAGGGTAATAAGGTGCACTAGGCAGGTTAGGGTAATTAGTCAAATTATTGTATGATGATGGTTTGTTCTGTAGACTATCCAAAAAAGAATTAGCTTAAAGGGGCTAATAATTTTGTCCCAAAAATGTTTTAAAAAAAATTAATAACTACTTTTATTCTAGCCAAAATAAAACAAATAAGACTTTCTTCAGAAGAAAAAATATTATCAGACATACTGTAAAAATGTCATTGCTCTGTTAAAGATCATTTGGGAAATATTTAAAAAAGAAAATAAAAATCAAAAGGGGGCTAATAATTCTGACTTCAACTGTATATATATATTTATATATATATATATATATATATATATATATATATATATATATATATATATATGACCATTTAATGTTGTATTTATTCACTGTCATAACATTATTTATCAGTCTGTAGACCTCTTTGGATGTTTGGAAGCGATGGAAATTAAAAACGCAAGCCTGGACATACATTAGGACCATTGTTATTGTTTACATGCTTCAAAATGGTCTATATATACATCAACATGTAGGATTTTGATTGTAATGCAATGCTTTGTAACCATAATTATTGTGAAAAGCTCTGTAAAAATAAACCCGAATTGAATTTAGAATGTAATTGGGACATTTATTTGTTCAGTAAAGGGTTTATATTATATTTCAGTTTCAGGTTTGAAACTTCAAGAATCAATTCAGGATTTTGGCTATTTAATTCACAATTCTGACTTTTCTCAACATTGCGATTTTATTTTATTTTTTATTTAATTAATTTTTTACATATGTGAAGATTCTGTCTTTTTCAAAAGTTGCAACTATTATTTTAGTTTTCTTTATGAATGTTTAATATTCAGATTTTTGAAATATTTAGTTGTGAATGTATTTTCTTAACCCTAAAATTTATACGAACAATGAAATAAAACAGGCTAGATTTTCATTCATTCATTTTCCTTTGGCTTAGTCCCTTAAGGTGGTCACCACAGCGGAAGGAGCTGCCAATTAATCCAGCATATGTTTTACACAGCGGATGCCCTTCCAGCCACAACCCAGTACTGGGAAACACCTATAGACACTCATTCACACACACGCATACACTACGGCCAATGTAGTTGATCAATTCCCCTATAGCGCGTGTGTTTGGTCTGTGGGGGAAACCGGAGCACCTGGAGGAAACCCACGCCAACACAGGGAGAACATGCAAACTCCATACAGAAATGCCAACGGACCCAGGTGGGACTCGATCCAGCAACTGTCTTGCCACACTGGCCACAGTACTAACCTCTGAGCCTCCGTGTCGCCCTGGCTAGATTTTAATGTTTTTTTTTTCATGCATTTTATAAAGCCTTAAAGTTACAAAATCTATTTCTTATGCATTTACAAAATACTTTAGCTTTCGACTTCTTAGCATATGAGGAGGGGAATAGCAGATTATAAAAAAACAGCATACAATGTTTTTATCTTAATAATACATTTTTACCCCATTACCTTCATTTATATTCTAGTGTTTATTATTATTATTATTGCTGAACTTTCTAAATGCATTTTTAATGTTTACACAAAGCTGTAAACACAGCGCAAATCCACTAGGTGGCGCACAAGCACTCTAAAGCAGCTTTGTAACTTGACATAAGACCAAAGAGAAAGACGGCGGTGAAGGGAATGCTACTTATTTCCCCACTTTTCCCAAAATACGAAGCTTTAAATGGTGAGTAAAATTGTCGTTTTTCAATGCAAAGTGATCTTTGATATATTCACTATCACAGCTGTTAAATCCCAAGATCGTTATCTGTACGTTTTCCTTTATGTGCGAGTAAACTGACCATGAACTGCTCCGTGTCATGTTCTGTACTGTAGTTTGTTTGTTTGGTGTGTCGCGACAGATCGCTAGTGTTTCCCCGATCACTGCGTGTTACATTATAGAAGGCGATTTGGGGCAAGACCGTTTGAATAACTAAAACAAACCAATAAATCATTTCAGTCTCAAAGAATCAACATTGTCGATCCAACTTTATTTCTGCAGGGCTTTTATTATGTAGCTTGTGTCACAGCAGCTTCACATCTTTTGACCAAGCGGCAACCTCCCGCTCTCCCTCAGGAAGCCAATACGGAAGTAACTAAAACTGCAATTCATCCGAAATTCCGCTAGTCCTGGCCGCTCCTGGCTCCAAAACAGAGCAAATTTCAATTGAGCCCACTGTTAGAATGGCCAACTTTACAGCAGAAAAAAAGGTGTTTACAGCCTGCTACAAAAAAGATTTTGGTTAATACAGCTAATATTACCCTTCATGACAACTGTGAGGGGGTGAATTTTTTTATAACTCATCCGTTTCCTTTATATTAAGTTATATTAAGTTTGCATAATTAAGGGCGTGGTCAGTTGATTGACAGCTAGCTCTCGCTGGCCGCCTTCACGTCACCTCAGCTGAATCCTGCAGATTAGCGACTGAACTCGGCATATTTATCGTATTTCTGTGTTGTTTTATGTGGCTTTACACAGTCAGCTGCCTTTTGGACTTGTTTCCCACAATTATTAGATGGCATGGCATGCTGAGTGAACTTAATTGTGCTCACAAACCATTCACGTGGCCTCCGTTTCCCATGTGAGTAAAGTTATATACTTATCTACCACCTCTATACATGTATTTGTTTTATTTAAGATCATTTATCGTTTATATTTATATTTAGAGCTGTAATGCACTCCAGAATCTGTCAGATTGATCAGCTGTAGGCTCTAGATCAGTCATCTGAAGCGTTGTCATACAGTGTTATGCTGGAGTTCATCAATAGTCTTACAGTAACTAACACAGACTATCTGAAGTGATTGGATGTAATTCGCGTTTTCCTCCTGTTGAAAAACGTCATAAGAACAATGTTTAGTGGCTCAGTGTATTACAGCAGTGTTTTTAAAAGTCTAAACACTTTACTGATATAGTGTACAACCAAGCACAAGTGGTCAGAATACAAACGAGTCGCAGGGGATAAAGTATTAAGCATTTCTCCCAAAGTAAAGTGTGTCTGAACCAGGTCCAAGCTAAATGCTAGCAGGTGTCTGTAGCTCCGCTCACTCTCCGCCTCTTTGCCCTTGTTTGGTATCCCGCCGTGGGTGTGATGACGCGTGACCAAAATGGCGACGGTTGGCCGCGCCTACTTGTGGCTTCTTTTGCGCTCTTTAGAAACCTATGGGTGACGTCACGGATACTACGTCCATATATATTAGTCTATGCTTTTGACTGAACCAGCTGTAAATGGTCCATCAGACGTCACATAAATTAATGATTAATATTTTAACCTGTAGCATAAATGTTAAGGACAATATCTCTTTTTTTTAATTAGCATTTTGTTGTCTGCTTTTATTAAATCCATGATTTATTCAATTGTTTTTCTCCCCAATAACCTGATCGATGTGTGAATGTATTATTCATTCATTCATTTTCTTTTCGGCTTAGTCCCTTTATTAATCTGGGGTCACCACAGCGAAATGAACCGACAACCTATACAGCATATGTTTTACGCAGCAAATGCCCTTCCAGCGTCAACCCATCACTGGGAAACATCCATACACGCTCATTCACACTCGTACACTACAGACAATTTAGCCTACCCAATTCACCTATAGCACATCTTTGGACTGTGGGGGAAACAGGAGCACCTGGTGGAAACTCATCACGGGGAGAACATGCAAACTCCACACTGAAATGCCAACTGACCCAGCCAAGGCTC